TTTGAGTTTCTGTTTATCATTTAACCACAAAGTCTAATTATTTTTTGAAACTTTTTCAGTTGAGAAAACAAATGTTATATAATATTCATCATCTCTTGATCATCATTCTCAATGTAAACAAACTTGATCATCATCTTCATCATCATCTCTCTGTCATCCTCATTGAAACAGAAAATTATTTCATCTTCAATGAATGATTCTGGTGGAAAGAGGATTCTCGTTGAAGATAAAGATGAAGATGAAGATGAGGATAAGGGTAAAATCAATTAACAAGATATAATCAACTGAATCCTCCTCCTGTTTGAATAAATTTCATCTTCATCTTGATCATCTTTTGCCAGGTAACCTCCTATTTCTTGATCATAATTTCATCTTGTTTGTTGTATTACTTATGAAAATATATCATTTACTCACTGTAAGTGGTCTTAATCACAATTAACTTAATCATCTTTTATATTTTTAACAACATTTAGAAAACTTAATCAAAGGAATCACTTTGATTGGCTTAGTTAATTGTTTCCATGTTTGTTTTTTGCTTCATTTCCAAGTGAATAGTTTGTCTCATTGAGAAATGACAATTTATGATTATTATTTATTAGTATTTTTGTTTTAATCATTTAATTACAATTTCAATTAAATAATATAATTAAATTTGAGAAACAAGTTATTAGGGTTTTTTTTATTTACACCCTGATAATTAGACAAACAATTTGATTCTGTGTTAATTGATTGTTGACAATTAAGACCCAAAAGTCAATGTCAAGTATCACACTGTATATATAATTATTAATCTTTACGACAATTAAAGTGATAGTTTAATCATCAATTTGATTGTTGTTTGTTGTTAATCATCTTGTTTGATGACAGAAAATAAATTGTTGACTTTAATTTTTGGCTTCTCGTTCAATAAAAACTCATATTAATTGTATACTTATTATTATATTATGATAACAATTAAGTTTCTTAAATTGCTACAATTTATTCAACAGGTTATCCCTCTTATCCTTTAACAATTGACGCTCAAAGCAAAGGCCTGGGGATCAACTTTAATTGCTATGATGTTAAGACATAAATTAGTGATTAAGATGAAATTTGCATCTAATTGTTAATCGAAAAGCAATTTAATAAATATGATCAGAAATTCATCTTCAGGGAAATTGATTTGATGATGAGGAAGATTTTTACTTTTCTCTTCCTCTTGTGATAATTTAAATACTATTATCAGGAAAGGTGATTAAATATTAACACCCATTGGTTAATCATAGTATTGAAATGATTAACTGGCCGTTCAATTTAATTGTAATGACAATGTTACTAAATATTGATGAAAATTAATTTTAATTGTGATTGAATCATTGAATGAAGGATAAGCTCAACCCTAATTGATATCAAAATGTTACAATTAGCGTTTGAATTGCGTTAATTGTGGTGAAAATTAATTCCTGATTTGATTAACCAAGTCTAACAATTTCTCTCTTCATGGTGATTAACTTTAATTGTTACATTGGTTACAATTAAATTACTGGAAAATCAATCAACTACAAATTCAATCACCATTTAATATGAATCGACATCGCCACCTATTAGGAATCATTGGAATCTTTTTTTTTAGTGATTAACTAATTATCTCAATCAAGAGCAACTGATTAACTAATCTGACTTATTTAACTACGATTTGTTTATATTGTGTTATCAATGGACATCGTTTTAATTAGGAATGAATTTAAGTAATCAGCTATTGATTATTTTTTATCTTTAATCTTTGACTTTTAATCTTAAATCACAAATTGATGAATTACTTTTGATAATCAAAACAAGATGATAGTTAATCGGTTAATTAGAAAATAGTTATGGTAACAATTAGTTGGAAATTGAAAGTAACAATAATCTAACTGAATAACTATGATTTATCTGAACAAATGATTAAATGATCACAATTAGGATTACTGATTGATCAGCTAGATTTTTTTTTTCTTAGATGCTAAATCATTTATCTTGGGTTAATTGTTAATCGGTGATTAGTGTTGATAAGTGTTGAATCAAGTTAATCAATGAATTTATAGTTGATCAAGTTTGGAAAAAAACTTTCAAGTTCATTTTGAAAGTTGATATAAGATGAGGATGAGGATGATGAAGTTGAGTTGTCGTAATTGATGATGGATGATCATCAATAGATTATCAATGGAGAAACTAATTGATGCTCAAGGAATCGGATTAAAATTGATTCGAGGGAAAGAAAATCTGACAAAATGGTTTAAATACTGATCATTAATTGGAAGATGAAGTTGATGATGATTATCATGATTACGATGGAAATGAAGAGGATCGATTCTAATGAAGATAATGATGATAATCTATGTAAAAGTACCGAGGGTTACATGAATTTCACGGTTTCCATTAAATTACATGAGAAAACATCATAATTAATGAATAGCAATTTAAATTTCATTAAATTCAGTCCAGTTTATTGTTCATGTGGTGACAAGATTATCACCATCATGATGATCATTTAAATGACACCTTAAAGCTCAGCAGGAAATTGAATCAAGGATTAAAAATCAACTTTCACTTTAATCCGTTCATTAATAATCACTAATCCAGATTTAAACATATGTAACGTTGATTACATTTGATTAAACTTTATTTTTTCAGTTAATTGTTGTATGATTATGTGTCAGTAAGACTTGATGTTCAGTCCAATCATCATCAAAACAAATTATCAACACGTAACAATTAACGGAGCATCACAGTTAATCCTTTACCTTAATCCAATTAGTAGATTTAAATTGCTGCTTACTTATTGTGGCTAATTAATTGTTAATTGCTAACAATCAGTGGATTACATTCATATTGACACCTTGAGGTTGAAATTGTCAGATAATTTTGTGGATCACAATCAAAATGATAACTGAAAATTCAACTCGAAATCTAATTGTGGTTAAATTGTTTCAATTTTCATCAACTTACCAGAAATTAAACTGATCAGTGAACCAAATGGTTTCAAATTAATAAATTCAACCATTAACTAATATTAAATGTGTCTCCAGTGATTAAGAAACCGGATTAATGTAATTGAAAACTCCGTGATTAGATACTTAATGGTTAATCTTTGATGATAATTATAATTACTATTATTATTATCAATTTAATTTAAAAGCCACTCTCTTAATCTTTACAATTAACAATTTGTATTAACTTTAAGTTTGGAAAAAGAAAAAAAAAACTTTTTAATTGCTCTTTAAAAGTTTTCTTATTTGATTTGATTTAGTTTTTTTATCAACTCAAACCAGATAAAACTTGGTTAATAAATTGTTGTGGTTAAAACAGTTAATCAGTTGATCAAGACTGGAATCACAATTAGATTTGATATCAAATTGTTACTCTTTGTTTTCTTTGATACTTTTAATCAACTACAATCATCCACTAATTGTTAAAGTTAATCTTTCCCATTGGAATCATTTGAATCTAATTATTAGCAGTGAATTGATTACAACAATCAGATTAAATTGTGACCATGTGATTTGATTAGGAAATTAATTATTATCCAACTATGAGGGAAAAAGATTATATTTATCATTACAATTAACGAAACTTTGATTAATTGTTTATGATCAATTGTTTCTCATTGATTGTGATAATGTAGTTAATTGATTGTAATTTGAAATACAATCACATAGGATTTTAAAATTAATCACTTTTAATTGATTAAGAGGGATCATGATTTAATTAGTTAGCAATTTAACTCATTCGCGGTTCTTAATTAATAGAGTTAATGTTAATTAAAAGGATGAAAATACAATTTAATTATCATGAATTGATGAGGTTTGAATGACATGACAATTTGATTGATTTGATTACTAAGATGAACAACAATTGAAAATTGAATTGAACCGAAACATAATTAACATGGTTCAATATTTAATCCAATTGTTATTACCAATCAATATTAGCATAGTTAATGATCGTAAATTGTTTGATTGTATTGATCATGATTAAGAATAAGATGAAATAATCATCTGATCATCTTGTAAGTGGATAAAAATTATGTCACCTTAAGGGTTAGTCCTTATTTCTTGACCACCTTTGTGATTATTACGCCTCAGGGTATTTAGTTAATCATTTGCTGGTTAATTCAAATGACACAGAATCCTAATCAAACTAAATTAACCTTATTTGTGTTGATTGTGATTAAATTATCTATCTATATGTTACTCAAATATAAATAATAATGTCTAACCTTAATCACCAAGACAAACAATTTGATCGCGATCGGTGAAATTTATTGTTTCCCTTTTGTGTAAATGTAATACAATTAAGTTAATCATGAACGAGAAAAATGAATAAATTAATAACAATTGAATGGACAATTGTTTACTTTAATCAATTGGTTTGTTTAATCATTTCACTGTTTGAACAGTAAATGTCCAACAATTGTGAAAATTGATAATTTAATCAACAATCATCTTGATCACAATTAACGTTTACCTTAATTATTTTACTGATTTCAATTCACTTTTGATTTTATCCTAAAACTATTCACTATGATTAAATTTCAATTATTGTAAACATTTAATTATTGATGTAAGTTGATGATTGATTGTTACAGTTTGTATTCATTATCTTGATTTAGTTTATTGGGTAATTTGTTTTCAGCTCATCTCTTAGCAGTTAATTAATTTTGATATGATTTTCCAATATCTTGCCAATAACTGATTATTTAACTTGTTGTTTATCATTAATTATATTAGATATGAAACTTTAGCGTTACAATTAATAGTTAATCGTTGCAACTAAATCAAATCAAATTGTGATAAAAGTTGATTGTTAGAGGAAAATTATTGATACTTGATAAACATTTTCGTAATTTATGAGACTAGGTTAATCTTTTCTTTCGGTTAATTAGTTTGGACAGAAAAGTTGTAATTAGAACCAAACAATTTACTAATTTTGATTCTTATTCTTTGTTATTAGAATTTGAGAATCGTAATGAGCAAACGCTCCCTCGGCGTGTTTTTAATTCAAGAATTTGAATTTGTAAACAAAGTCTCTTGATTGTTTTCCTAATTGTTTAATTTCATTTCGAAATAATTTACTTGGTATAAGTTAATTTAATTCCATTCCTTTGGGTAAACTAATTGTTTCTTTGTCAATTATGGTTAAATTAAAAGTGGTTCGTATCTTTTTCTAATTGTTTGTTCACTTTTTTGGTTTTACGATTTGAAAGTTAATTTTTTGTTGTCAATTGATTTTCAGCTTCGAAATGAGGAAGATGGACACTGTTTGACCCTCGAAATGATGGACGAAGATCATACTTTGGGAAATGCTTTGCGTTATATTATCATGAAAAAGTAAGATTATTGTTTCGGATAATTAGTATGAGAGCATTTATCAGGAAGCAACTTAAATTCATTTGGAATTGATTGTGTTTTCATTTGTTTCTCTTTCCATCTTTTTTTCTAGTGAATGTGTTAAATTCTGTGGTTATTCAATTCCGCATCCAACTGAGAGAAAGGTGATCATGCAAATACAGACACATGCCAGTAAAGGAACAACAGGATTACAAGTATTTGAACAAGGACTTCAAGATTTACTCTCAATTAGTCAAGTGATCAAGCATAAGTTCAACGAAGCGCTAGATGAATATGATTCAATGGTGAAAATTGATAATTGATTTATGAAAATGTATCAACTTGTATAAATTTTGGTATCAAAGAAAAAAAAAGACTGGTTATTCCTTGAAAGAATCCAAATCACTATGGCTATTATTAATCTCGAATCTCTTCATTTCCAATGATATTTGAGGGATTAATCTCCTTTTCCAACCACCAATCAGATTAATTTCATATCTTGTCCAAGGCTTCTAATCCAATTAAATTGAGACCTTTTTGTAATATTTTTCTGCTACAATGGTAAACTAATAATCTTGTTTGAGCAATTTCTTTAGGTTCTCCTTTCACCTTGGAAACCGTTATACAACCATTAGTAAATTTACTGTTAAAAGAAAAATACAAATTAGTTGAATGAAAACAAAAGTTATGGATTCTAATTAACTTTGTTTTCTTACCTGAGTCCGGTTAAATATCGAACTAAAATACTTGGATCACGTCTCATAGAAGTTTCATCGAGAACATCATCAAATCGCGATAAATGAATTAAAAGTTTATTCCAAAAAGATCCGTCGATTGCTTCAATGTTTAACTGGGTATTTAAATCGAGATCCACATTGGACAATTTTTCAATGCTAAAAGAAAATTAAAAGAATGTAATTACTTAGTATAGAAATTGAATAATCAATACAATGTATTACCTGTGTATCCTCGCGTGAACATATTGTAAACTAATTCCTGATTGTCCTTTCAAATTTAAGGCACTCGACCAATTGAATTTATAATCTGAACCTCTTGGTATTTTTAAATCATAAGTATAAATTGCAGTCAATCCAAGAATTGAGGCCAATCGATCAATTTGACTAGGATCACTTTTGGTTGCTGGAAAATATGAAACAAAAAGTTTAGAAATTGATTTGATTGTTACAATTTATATTTGTATTAAATTACTATTGGATTTTAAAGTTGATTCGATGCATTTCTGTTTAGCTTCATCAATAATATCCTGTAGAAATACAGCTTCTCCCTTTCTGGTTCTCATTCCAATAACTCGACCGAAACTCACATGGAAAAGATTTCTGAAACGTGACAATTAATTATTTTGATAACAATCGAATCAGTTCAACAAGTTACCTTGCCCAATTGTGGCCCATTTTCAATAGAATCGATCGAAGTTGCTGAAAGTGTGCAGTTTGCTCTTTTCCGACGACATAATACATTTCGTTGAAATTATACTTTTCCATTCTGTCGATAGCAGCGGCAATATCTCTGCAAATGAAGATGAATGAAACATTTAATTAGTTTGAACAATTTCCAAATTAGTCTTGTAATTAATAACCTGCTAATATAAAGGCTACTGCCGTCATTTTTCATCAACATGACTCTGGTAAAGGTACTTTGGTTTTCGTCTTCATCATCATCGGGATTTTTTTTCTTCAAATCTTCAAGAGTTATCGACTTGCCTCCATCCGAATACGTTTCAGTTAATCCAAGAGTTTCTAATTGTTTAATCCAGTGATGAGCTAGTTGACTGTACATTGATTCAAAGTGAAAATCGTCAAAAGTAATACCTAAATTACGATATATTTTATCATATTCATCCATTGAATATTTTCTGAATAGGGTCCACTTTCTGGTCTCATGTTCATTACAATTTAACTCCATTGATCTGAATTTGGATTTTGCTTCTTCACTAAAAGTATCATCAGTTTCTGATACTTGATTAGCTTTAACATAAACATCGTATAAATGTTTAATTGGATTAGATTTAAGAGCATCTTCATTTCCAAACAGATCATAACCATGAGATAATAATCCAAATTGTGTTCCCCAATCACCCAGATAGTTTAATCTAATCACATCATTTCCAAGATAACTTTTAATATTTGCTAAGGCATTTCCGATAATCGTTGATCGTAAATGTCCACAATGAAATGGTTTGGCAATATTGGGCGAGCTAAATTCAACTGAGAAAAAGAAAAGAGAAAAAAATCTCAATTAAACAATAGAAACATTGTAATAGTTATAGTAAATAATACCTACTTATTTGTCTAATTGGTTCGTTTGAATTTAATCCACAAATTTTAGGAAAATCATCTAGATTATGACGCAATTTATTTATCGTATCGTTGATAAAATCATCACGTTTTATGATTAACTGAACGACAGGACCTTCATTAGAATCTTCAACTGTCGCTTCCTCGACGAAAGAAACTTCTTGAGGTAAACGATAGATCACCTTCTAATTAAGAAAATAAAATAAACATTGATTAGTTAAATAATCGGACGATTTAAAAAAAGAAATTTAAAATAAACAATCACCTGAACGGCATCAGAATCTAATTTATCATTAACATTTGATTGTAATGTTGGTCGCAATAAGAGTTCACCATTAACAGATTGTAAAGTCTTGAATTTAAATCGAAGTGAATGATTTGAACGAAACCAATCAGTAAGATATTGTTTAATTGGTAAGGCTCGAGTCGTCATGAGAAATTAGATAATTAACAATTAGAAACCTGGTTGAGGAAAAGACAAAGAAAAAAAAAATCAACCACAAAACAATAAGAAGATAGAAAAGTAAATCAAAAAGAATCATAATTGTTGGAATCTAATTAAGATTCTAGAGTACTTACCGATTAACTTGGAGCTTAACTATCAAAAAAACAATTAAGTTTAAATACAAATGAACAACAATTAAGTTAATTAAAACACGAGAAAAAATTGAAAAATGATAAACCAACAAACCGCCAGAGCAGATCAGCTGAGTCTAAATGTCACAATTATCTTGATGGTGAAAACCAATCAGGTGAAGTGATGAAAATTAATTAATTTGTTTCAACATTTTAATTGTTATTGTTTTGATTGCTTTGACTCTTGTTAATTGACTTTCCTTTTACAATTAAGTCTCCAACTATCGGCGAGCAGGTTGAAATTGTGATCTTGTCGATTCCATGTTACTTTGTATGGATTAAGAATTTTGAATTTGGTGTTGATCATATTGATTATGAATGACCGATGGTTAAGATTAGGATTAGGATTAAATTATGTAACTTGTTTGGTCGGTAAAGATTTCAGGTAATTTGGATTCCAATCGATAAATGGATCATGAATCTTGTGAATATCTCGGAAAACTAACTATGTTTGTCTCTATATTAATAACAGTGATCGTTGATCGATGAATTATAATTCTGGTTTCAAATGTGAAGATGAGATAATCTGTTCTTGGTAATCTTTGGGTGCTCGATGTTCATTTGGTTTGTCGAGATGGAAAAGGAACTGAACAAATTTGGAACTTCATTTGCATCAATTACTTTGTTAAAGACTCGAGAAAATATCAACTGACCTTGGGTCAAATCGATCTGTTCTTGATGAATATCTTTCTTCATTCTGTCTCATGATCAAGATCATCTGAGATAATCTCAGAAAATTTCCGGATCGAATCGAATTAAGTTCCTGAAATCGTGAATCATTATGAAAGTAAAACGTTGAGTCGATTCCAGATCCAAGAACCTAATGCAAAGATGATAATACGATAATTACATCTCGATGTGCGATCGATATAATTGAACGCGATCATTGGTGGTCCCGAACGAATCGGTGACCATTTTGACTTAAATTTGTTCTTGATGGAGAAAATCATAAAATCAATTAATTAGCATGTGACTGATCACAATTTGTCTCAGACAATTTAAGTTGACTTGTTGTGCCTGGAACAACAATTAAAACTAATCTGGATTGTCCAATAATCTGATATCATTTTATGATTTACTTTTTGATTCTCGTTTCTCCTTTTTAATTAGCTAATATTTAATCATCAAGTTAATCCACTTTTAATTACAATCGATTGGGAAATTAAATCATCTGGAATAACGTAGAGAATCAATAATTTACTAATTCACTTTTACTTTTCAGGTCAAATTACCGCTTAAAGGTAAGATTTGATTTCTTTTTTTCTGATTATGTTTTTTATCCGTTTCTCTTTTTGTTGTTGATTTTTCAACTGATACACTTTTGAGAAGCAATTAAATGAGAAATTACATTAATTTCGATTAAAATCAATTTACATTTATTACAATTTGTATCGGTCATTAGATAATCATCTTTTCCAATTAATATTGGCAAATGATTAGAACCATTTAATGGTCAATCCATTGCTCTCACATATAAACAAACATCAAATCATTTTCTAAATTAAAAAGGTTAATCTTTTCTTATGATAATTAACACTAATTGTCTTTAATTTTCTTATTATTTTTCTCTATACAGATTAACGGGTCATCTTACAATTAAATTTATAACAATATTTATAGTGGATAAAACTAATGAGCGATTATCCAATTTTCGGAAGTTGAGTGATCTTTTGAAAAGTAGTTACTCCAAGGTAGGTAAGAGTGATGAAGATAATTAATGAAACAATGGAAGTGAAAACAATTAAAATTTTCTCATTCTTTTTGATTGAAGCTCGTTTCCGTTTTCGATGCCACATTTCCGTGTCCCATAGACGAGGTAAAGCCGAATAATATGTTAAATGTTTATCTATGGTTCCATTTAAATAGTAATTACCATTTTCTGGTGAACCTTTAAAACGAGCTAATCCAGTTTTAGAGCAAGAAGGACAATAAAGTGTAAACAATTGATTGTCACCCGTCGAGAGGGACAAATGACCAACTGACCGTTGAACTGGTTCGATGTAACATTTACCAGCACAACCAGGACATCGTTGAACCTTTTTAATGTACTTTAATGGCGTCTTTGTTTTCACCTTTTTACCTCCTTGTTGATTTGATTTACTAATCAAAGGCACTTTCGGAAGAGATAAAATTACTTTTGACCCAATTCTTTCCTGTAAATGATGAGGATTATGAGAATGATGATGATGATGATGATGAGGATGAGGATGATAACCATTGGCTTGACCATTTTGCAATCGACATGGACTATATCTTGGCGGATCGTCCGGTGAACAGTGTGAGCCAATTAGATCACATTTAATTACACTGTGTCCATTTGATTGATGGAAACGGTCATTGCCGTGTGGACGATTTGACGATTTAATCCCATTGGGAATTGTATATGATTCATTTGAGACTTGCTCAGAATCTGAACTACCAAGATGGACACCACAAGATGGACAATGAGGAGGTTCATTGGTTTGGTCACACATTAATTGTCCAGTTGATGTTTTAACTTGATTTAATCGAGAACCTCGGATCAATTGATCGGTACCAGTAGCAGCAGCAGCAGTTGATGAAATACTTGAATAACAAGAGACGTCACTTTCACCTTTAATTAAATTAACATTTCCATTGGCGATTGTTGTTAATTGTGATGTTAATCCATTCGTACCCGATGAAGTTGTCGCTATGATTTGAGGTGGAACGTAATTCCTGTTAATTGTTAGAGGTGAAGTTGTTGGGATAAAAGATGATGGTATTGTTGTTGTGGTCAATGAGGGTCCAGTATATTTGGATGTTGTGGTCAGTGGAGTTGAAATTGAATTTGATTGTGGACGAGAAAGAAATGTTGATAAAATTGGAGTTTGTTGTTGATGATGATTATTATTCTGATAAACTGATGAAGATACTTTACCGTTAGCCAGACCATTTACCGTTAAAAAGGTGTGATCTGATTTACGGTCAACGGGTTTTCTAATAACAAAAGTGGCATTATTATCATAAATATCAACATCTCGAACCTCTTCACGACCTGGACCTGAATCCCGTCTCTCGTAAGGAAGAGTTGACGAAGCTTCCATCGCTTTACCATGAGCACGAATCTCGGACATTAAACGTTTAACCAAATCCTCTGATGTTTCAGTGGACATTGTTGGGGGGAAAACTCTAACGGGCGATTCAATGAACAATCAAACAAAATGGAAACAAGGAAAAGAGGTTGATACTTGATATAATTGCGAATTGAATATTAATATTATCAAGTTTAACTCTTGAATGATTAGCAAAGGATCGAGATGTTTACCCGAAAAAAAGTTTCAACTGATCACTTGAGGTGGAGTTTAAATTGTTGATTAAAATGATGATGAGGATGATACTGACCACGGAACAGTTATTCACAGTTAGTTGATCATCGAGTGTTTATTTTAAGAATTCATAAAAAGCAGCAGCAAGATGATTAAGATGATAATGATTGTTTTCTGATCAAGATGAAGATAAGATGAGAAAATTTTTAATTCTTGATTTGGTTTCTCTTTTTTTGCTCCAAATTGTGTTAAATTAACTTTATTTTCGGGCAATTCTGGATACCAAAAATCTCATTAATTACAATTGAATATCAATTGTTACCGTTGATTAATATTAACACAATGAACCAGTGAAACGCGATTAACATTTACAATCGTTGTAAGTGATTCAACAATTAAATTAGGTGATGAATCACAATGAGCACTTGAAACAATCAGGGTAAGAGTTTTCATCTAAATTGTTATGATTGAGATGAAAAAAAAGTTGCGATCAGAGAATCGAAAAGTAAATCAAAGTTGATTAAGATGATTTAAATTGGAAATAAGCTGATGAGAAAATTGATCACAAACTGTGAAGTATTTAAATTGATTGTCAATTGTTAATTTAAATTCAGTTGAAAGTGTTAACCATTAACTCATAATATAACTTTTTTTGTCCCAACAATTGTGTGAATATTAAAATATTATCACAATTAACTGTTAATAAGATAAAAAAAAATTGATTATTGATTATCACAATTAGTGGAGAAACAATTTAATTGACAATAACAATTGGATAGAAACAAGGGAATTAAGTTAATCACTAATCGTTTGATTTAGTTTGATACTTTTCCGTGAGAGACATTAAAGTTAACTAATAATGTCCAACATTTGAACGAGTGAATTAAAAGTTAATCATCGTGATTGTAATCGAGTGAGACTTTAATCATTGGACAGGTTTTCGTTTCTATTTACCTTTAAGTAATTAGAATCAAATTAAATTGTTTAATTTAAATTATTAAAGAGACGACGAAGGCGGGATAATGGGAAGTGTTGTTTTCGTTGTTTAAATTATAAAGGAAAACTTGATTTTCCTTTTTAATTGTGATTAAATTTCACATTATTTGTTTATATCAATACTCGAGAATTGATTGTTGGTGACTAAATATCATGATTAGGTGATAATATTGAAATTGTTTTACTTATTTGATTGATTTTTGTGATTAACATGATTATCATTTTTCATTTCATTCATAAAGTTTAACTGTTTCCTTTATGGTTGATTGTTAATCATTAACTAATTTACTTGATTAACAACTTTCTCGTTGACCATTAGTTAATTTTTTTTTGTATTTCATAAAATGTCCAACCAACTGACCAGATTAATTTATTATAATTTAATGGTGATTTAATCATTAGTAGGAAAAGTGAAATTAAAAATTAACCAGAAAACTGGTTTGGTTAGAAATTGATTATTTGTGTTCACGTTTGTTGATTGTTTGTTGATTGTTGGTTGATTAAAGATGATGATGATTAGTATTATTTTCGCGATTGTTAATCTACTCAATTTTTTACCCAAATATTATAACCAACTCTCAGTTTGATGTGTATTATTAATATTTATGTATTAAATTGTTGATGAGATTAAGAGGTTATCCTTTTTTTTTTAATTTACTTGATGCGAGTTGATTAAGAAAATTAAATCATCAGAATCGTCTTCTGAATTTTAAATCAACTTTTCGCTTTCTGTATCAAACAGGGTACATTTATAATCGGTGCGATATCAGAACTTTTTATATATAAAGTGTATAAAAATATCTCTTGGAACGGAAGTTTGGACTTAAATGTTCATCATGAGAATTGTGAATTACTGAAGAAAGTTGATTTTCTTTTTCTCGATTTAATTATTTATATTATTCTATTCTGAGAGTTTTCATTTGGTTCATTTGACGATTTCGTTTACGGATGTGACAACTTTTCGTTTCGTTAATTTGGTCATAAACAATTAATTTAGTAATTAATCTCAATCCAATCCATTTACATCATCTCTTTTTAATTCAATGTAAAAACCAGCAACAGATAGAAAGACATTGAAACAATTAATGATTTTCTGAGTTCCCGATTTGGTTGAGACTATTAATCAACAGGATTAAGATTCATCATAAGCTGGATTTTCAAATTTAGATGTTGATGGTTTGAATAGTGGATTCTGGTTCTGTAATTAGATAGATAATAAGATAATTAGATGGATTGATTAAGGTTTAATTGTTGTAGTGATTTACCTCTGGAAAGTCAATGTTAGCACAAGCTTTGAGAAATTTTTGATACTCATGTCGGTCAATCATGAATGTAATTAACCTCCAAACTAGAAGTGTAATTAAGCCGATGATCACAATTGAGCCAATATATTCAACGATATAAGCTGATAAATTGATTGGTTGTTTGCAGACTCGATTACGTGAGATTTTAATGATTACTAATTGTTCTGGTTGACGATTACTTATATTTGATGTTTGAGACATTGATGATAAACCACCGTAATTATAAATAAAACTGTAAGCACAATTATCGTGACCAATAAATTGGCATCTTTTATCACCAGGATTCATGATTAAATTGTTGACCAAAGTTGAATGAATCACATTAGATTTGGTTATTGTGGTCAATCTAATTGTTCCATTGGATATTTGACTCTCAACCAGATCTGTGTAGAGTGGACATTGACCAGGACAAGTTGGACATTCGTCACAATAAGGTCCAGTGTATTGGTTTGAACTACATGAACACGAACCACAAACACAATTACCTCGACCATTACAAGTTAATCCATTGGTTGGGTCAATACAAGTTAAATTTGAAAGTGGACAACCACAATCTGACCCAGAGTAAAGGTCAGCACAAGAGCACTTACCACACCTACACATTCCTCTGTTTGGTCCACCACACAATTGATTTTGATAAAAGTCACAAGCTAAATCGTCACATTGACAATATTCACCAGAATAAAAATGACCAGCAACAGGGAAACATGAACACTGACCACAAATACAATTACCTCGACCCGAACATGGTTTAGTATCGTTAACGTTGGAGTAACATTTACTATCGTCCACCAAACGGGAATCATGAGCGTCACATTCACACCGAGAACCATAACTACCTTGATTACAATTACATATTCCACAGGAATGAGTTCCCTTACCGTTACATTGATCCGCTGATTTAATCTGATTACGATCACAATTACAATCACATATCATATTCACCTCGACAATTAATCCTTCCTCCAATCCCAGTGGACTAATCTTGATTATTTCTCGTCGATCGGAAACTTTTTTAGGACAAGACAATAGTTCAATCTTCACTTTAAACATGACCTGAGAATCGACCTGAAGACCTTCACATACTTGAGTTCGACGAAGGTTCGAATCGGTTGACCTTTCACCTTCTTTTGACGATAAACAAGCGGAATAATAGGTCAATGAAAGGTACTCGGAATTATTTGCCACTAACTGGACACTTGAGGTCACTTTTTTATACTCTCCTTTTATAATGTCAACTATGTTTGATGAATTGCTAGATAATTGTGCTAAACTGGAGGATTTAAGTTTCTTAATCAACTTCTCATAAGGAGCAATCCGATTCTCAGCAATTGAGAAAATTATATGAACATTATTATCTTGAGAAACCGAATCTATTTGATTAATCGATGGATAATCCTGATTGTTTCCTTCAACATAGAAACCATTTGAATCCAAATGACATTGTTCATCGTTGGGCTTGATTAAACCTGCGAGCTAATTAGAGCAGAGCAATAATTAGATCATTTTAATCATTGTAATTTAACTTACCCTTCCATCACCAGCATGATGAAAACCAGCATCAGTTGTAACAATTAGCAAATGCCTTGCCCCTTGTCTCCAACCAATTTGATTTCGACAAACAATTGATTGCATGATGGCGTCGAATCCGCCCTCAGGGCCATCGATATTTCCAGATATTGGACTTTCCTCGACAAGTTTGGTGAATTTATCGGTGTCAGTGTCGAGTGACATTCTATTTTTAAACACATACGGAGAAGCACAATCTTCACATGGTCTTTTTAATCTGATGAGAGGTAACGATTAGGATTAGTTTGAATCGACAATCAACCAAACAATTAACTCACTTCTGGGGATTAGAATCGGTAAAAGGTTGAATACTTTTGTCTATGAATGAACCAAAACCAAGGCGAAAATTTTTGGTTATCAATCTCATCTGATGAGCTAATTCATTGCCAAGAGTAGCTAATGTCTCTTTATGAGCCTTCATGGTTTTAGATAAATCCATTAAATAGTATAAATCAACTGGGTAATCAACTGCTTGTCGATAGTAAAGGTTAATTGTTTCCACTTTATGAGGTCTTAAAGCTAATTTAATATGTTGAGGTTTCACCTGAATCGCTTCATTTTTAGTGGCCACTTTGATCCTACTCAATTCTTGATTAATTTTAATTTCGAGTTTGTTAGTTGGAAATTCAATCGATCTATTTGAACAGCCTGATTTAATTAGATTGGTTATTGATGAACAACGTGAACTAGGATAATTATCGGCACTGCACCAGCCACAATCAGAGCTCAGGGTAATACACTGACCACAGGTTAGTCCAGCGGAGCAAATATCTAACATTGAAATCAATAGGAGCAAAAAAGTTAATTGTTTGAACTTGTAGTTGATCAAATCAAAGGTAAACTTACCACTGTGGACAAGTTGAATTGTTAACAAGAGTAAATGAAATATTATCAGTGAGAAATTAGATGAATACATTGTTAGCTAATCGACAAGATGACCAATATCAACTATGGAATCAGAAACAGTGTAATTAGTGTAACAATTTACACCTAATAACATACGAAGAGTTGGTTAAACATTTCCGTTGATTTGTGAGCTTTTCAAATGATAGAATTAATTTCTATCTCCTTTTCCAGCTTATTTGAACCATTTTAATTACGATAATCTTTTCATCTTTATGCTAAACTAAAAAGGAAACAGAATTAAAAAAGTCACAGGAAATCAACGAGTTTTTCATCAAATTCATCAAATTCATTCAATCACTTTCTACACATTCGTAACTGTCATTCTAATATTACATTCAAATTGTTATCAGTCAACAATTAATGAGAGAGTTGAACAAAATGAATGAATGATTTTAAATGACCAATGTTAATCGTAATTATATCGAATAGGTCAAATTAGAAAAATAAACTTGTGTAAATTTAAAAAAGTTTCAAGTTCTAATTTATTCCATTCAGATTCTCGATTTCTTAAGATAAATTAATTCGCTTTAATCGCTTTAATTTGGTGAATTATCATCGATTCTTAATCTCCTTTAAATTAAAACAATTTAACTCGTTTGGATTAATCATAATCATCAAGGATTCGAAAGACTTTTAATTCAAAACGATTTACATTTTTTTTCTTTCAAAATAATGGAAGTGGTTTTTTCAACTGACGAACATGATTCCTAAGATTTTCGACAAAATTGCAAAATGAGAGAAATAGAATTTATCAATTCGAAATGAGAAATTAATAGAAATGGAAAAAAGAATTGGAAAAGAATTGATTATCTTTGGAATTTCAAAAAGCGCGCGCTAAAAGAAGTTATACTCCTTCTCTTCTCTGATTGGTTTATGCGAATTGGGATTTTGACTCTCTGTCTTTTTTATTTCTTTTCGTTATATTTTCAATATTATATTGAGGCAGTGGCTTTCTGTTTACTATTTTGGTCTTTTTTTTCGGTGTTCGGTCCTTTTTTTCTCTGCCAATTTTATTCTTTTCTCAGGTGATCACCTTGTCCTCTTGAAAATCTTACCAAATTGACGGAAATCAACACTATCATGGATAAAGGTAAATTTCTCTCCACCTTTCTCTTGCTTCTTCTCTTTCTAGCTCTCTTTCTCTCCTTCAATCAATTTTTCATATTCTCTCTCTCTCTCTTTTTCTCTCCCTCTCCAGGTAACTCAGATAAGGAAGACAAGCAAACGGTTCTCGCGACTCCAGGCCAAGGATCTGATCGACCTGTACCCATTCAATATTCCAATTCAAAAGTTATTGGTAATGGCTCTTTCGGGGTGGTATATTCTGCTAAGCTCGATTCTGGTGAAATGATTGCCATAAAGAAAGTGTTGCAAGACAAGAGGTTCAAAAATAGAGAGCTTCAAATTATGCGTAGACTGGACCATTGTAATGTCGTTAAATTAAAATACTTCTTTTATACATCTGGGGAAAAGGTAAAGGTATATTAGTAGCAGTTCCTTTTTTAGATTTTCCTTCGATATTTACAATCATTATACTTCAACTACCTGACCTGTTTAGTAGGGACTGTAGAATATAATGATTTTCATAATACCCTTTATTGGTTCTATTCTAATCATAACCTTTTTTCTCTCTGCTCTTTCAACCTTTTCTCATTCTCTTTCATCTGGTTGACTACTGCTTTCCTTGTCTTTGGTGCACATTGGCTTCTGTAGAAAGACGAAATTTTTTTAAACTTGGTTTTAGAATATATCCCCGAGACGGTTTATCGAGTTGCAAGGCATCACAGCAAACAGAAAATACCAATTAACATGTCACTCATAAAACTGTACATGTATCAACTATTCAGAAGCTTAGCATACATCCATTCTTTAGGAATTTGTCATCGCGATATTAAACCACAAAACCTGCTTTTGCACCCAGAAACTGCGGTACTTAAGCTCTGTGATTTTGGAAGGTAAGAGATTAGTTTCTATTTGGTTAGAAAGCTTTTTTTTCTGTCACAATGTTTAATGTAAATTCTGTCATTTTTTTCTTTCATCTTCAGTGCAAAACATCTTGTCGTTGGTGAACCAAATGTTTCTTACATTTGCTCTCGTTATTATCGAGCCCCGGAGTTGATATTCGGTGCTACTGATTACACAACCATGATAGGTAAGCTTTACTCTTTCACATCTTTAATCCTGCATCACATTTTATCTTGATTATATTTTGACTTGACTACTCATCCTCTTAATCCATCACTTTACTATCTTAGACGTGTGGTCCGCAGGCTGTGTATTGGCCGAATTGATTCTTGGACAACCCATTTTCCCTGGTGATTCTGGTGTTGATCAGCTTGTTGAGATAATCAAAGTTCTTGGTACACCAACGAAAGAGCAAATAAAGGAAATGAATCGCAACTACACAGAGTTCAGATTCCCTCAAATTAAAGCTCATCCTTGGCAAAAGGTATTTATAAAGGTGCAATCAAATCCCAGAATATTAATTATTCGGTCATTATTTATTTATTTTTCTTACTTTTCTTTTCTTCCTTCAGGTTTTTAGAGTTCGAACACCCCCCGAAGCAATTGATCTAGTTTCTAAACTACTAGAATACACACCATCACAACGGATTACGCCTTTACAAGCTTGTGCTCATCACTTTTTTGATGAAATACGAGGACCCAATTTCGAACCACAAACTAAATCTGGTGAATTACCTCCACTTTTCAATTTTACTGAACATGGTATGAATCTTTAGTCATAAATTAGCTTGTTACACCCAAGATACGTCTTCTCAACATTGCCTTGTTTCTCTTATTGATTGTTCTCGTTACGAATTAGCCTTTATCCTAACTCTTTTTTCTAATTAGTTATATAAATTTAATATGTTCAGTTTTCCTTGGAATGATATTTGTAAATTTTTCTCTCTTCCTTCTTTTTTAAATCAGAAGTGTATTTGAGTTAATTAACATTCAATTAATTATCTTTTTTTCAATCTATCAGAAAAACAAAATCTCTATTTTATTTTTCTGCAATCGGGTTTTATGCTCAGTAATTTAGTGTTTTAATTTTAATTGATTACATCTTATCTAAATTCTGTTCTTTTTTCATTTTTCTTTTACTTATCTATTTGCCTTCATTTCCTAATTTTATCTCTCTCTCTCTCTCTCTCTCTCTCTCTCTCTCTCTCTAATCATTTTTCGCATTCACGATTTTTACTCCATTTCTCTCTCTCTCTCTCTCTCTCTCTCTCTCTCCTTCTCACTTATCCTCTCTTTCACCATAATTTTTTGTCTCCTCTTTTCCTCGTTTATTTTCTTCCTTATATTATTTATATTCATATGTATTGCTTGAATGTTGGCAAAAAGCTTAATGGTAAACAAAAACTAGAATAATACTCAACTTACCTCATTACAGAATTGAAGATTCAGCCTGCGCTGAACACAAAACTCATACCTCCCCATGTACGAGGCTCTGGTGGTTTACCAGTGTCAACTTCTGGTTCAACAATGTCGACATCATCAAGTAATGCGGACATAACACCAACCGACTCAACCAGTGTTTCAACCGTGATGACAAACATACCCACCAGTACAAGCTCTCAAGACCTAAATCCAAGTGGTGATGCTTCCTCTAAATCATCATAATCATCATGAACACACACACACACACATTAATACATACATTAAAAAACCACACACAACATAAACTAAAACACCATCATTACCACTATCACCTCCAAAATTTCATCATCCTTCATCGTCTCATCTGTTTCATCCTATCGTCATCATTTGTCATCAACATTGTTATCAACAACCAAAATATATACAAGGAATCAAGATATAAAATTCCCATATTGGTAATAACGCTTTTGGGTGCCAACGAGTAATTAAAATAATAATGATCCGAAAAAGTATGATAAATGAAGATGAAAATGCCTTTGCCGAGCATTTTAGTCTTTCTAATTTTCTTTTCTCTCTCTTCTTTCTTTTCATCACTTTCTTTTTCTTTTTTCCTCTCTCTCCCTCTCTTTCTCTCTTTCTCTCTATCTCTCTGTTGCGTTACATTGGAATGAAACAAAAAAAATAACAAAAAACAATGAAAATATTAACGGCTTGACGAAGATAATTATAACTTAATTAAAAGAAAGCAGAGGAACAGCCGAGATGCTTCTGTAGATAAATATACATACACCATATATGATATTATACTTATAACACTCACTAAAAAACTAAAACACACACACACTTGATGCTGATTGCATATTATTACTTTATAAATACACGTTGAATCGGAAGACACGAATGTTGACTGATTATTATGGATAAAATACTTTGAAGTATATTCATCACATTAAAATTGTCATCATCATCTCACACTGATTGTTATTGGGCTCAAATTGTAGGGTAATCATCATCATCATCATCTCCCCAAGACTGATTTAAAATGATGAAACAAACAAAATCACATAAGGATTATATCGGTTACTTTATGATTAGTTGATTACCTGTCCATTAATTGATATTATACTCTAGTTACCATTGAACATTGTATTCAATCAACAACATCACAACAATTAACTTTGATTATCATCATTTTTCATCAACAATCATCGTCATCATCTAAAAACTACACATCATCATCAACACATCACAATCTTAAATCATCATTTTCATCCTCTCATCATCAACAATTAACGGAGAGTTATAATTGTGTAAAGAATTGTCTCCTTATTGAAAGGTAACCATTAAGTCATGTTAGAAAAGTAAATGATTAACACTGGAAAATTGTGTGTTAATTGTTACATCTTTCTCTCTCTCTCTCTCTCTCTCTCTCTCAAACTATATTCTTCTCCACCTCTACCACAACAACCACCACTCGATTAATATAATTAAATTACAAAATAGCCATGCAAAAGAAACATAATATCATCAAATTATCTGGAAAAGGATTAAACATAAAACAGATTCACCATTTAATAGAAGCTTTAAAAATATTGATTAATGAGACCAGCTTGTTGATGAGAAACTGCCAACAATCAATTACCTTTTCCGCTAATCTTGATGATTAAAGTTTAGAGAAATTGAAAGAACAACAATTAACATCAACCAGCATCAAAACAGCAACAACATCAACGGACTAAATGAGGTGATAATTATTATTGGTTAATTACAAATGATTGTGCTGATTCCATGTTGGCTTTCGTGTTTAAATCAATTTGCTTATTAATAGCAAATTAAAGCCTATAAATTATAATCAACAATTCTAATTGTTATTGAATTGTTTCGAGTTTCAGCTTCACTTCAACTGTGATCTCTTCTTATTTTCTTGTCTTTTTTTCTGTTTTGTTTTTTCTTCTTCTCTTCCTTAATCTTCCTTAATCTTCATTTTTTCTTCTTCTTCTGCTTAATTATAATTAGCTTATTAACCTTGTTAAGTTTAAATCCCAATGTAATCTATCTTGATGTAATAATTTGATTTTCCTTTGAAATCAACAAGAAAAATCGTAAACAAAACAAATGAATCTTTTCATTTTCTCCAATCAAATAATCCTCTTTGATAAATACATATTATAACATATTGAGAAATAATTGTAATTAAAAAATTTCTTTTAATTACATTGAATGATAATACGCTTTTACTTTTTAATTGGTTGAATTTCATTTTTTCCTGATTTTATTTTGTCACTGTGGTTGTTTTTGTTGTTATTATTGTTGTTGATGAAATTTTCATTGATTAGATTTTTTTTATATCCGTGATCGAGGAGATCGAGGTGATCTGGGTGATCGGGGTGATTGTGGAGATCGATTGGAACGTGGTGATCGAGCGTAAACAGGAGATGGTGATCCAGGGGGTGGTGATCTTCGTGATCGTTCTCTAGAAATTGATCGAACATGTCGAGCTGTTCCTTTACGTCTAACTGCTGGTGATCTGTTGATGTCAGAGAGAAAAAAGAAGTAGAGGAGAAATAAACAAATTATGATGATGTTCACTTTCAATTTCGTAAGATGGAAAGATGATGATGGTGTTTGTGTGTGTGTGTTTTTGATGAGATGAATAAAGATGAAATGGATGAGAAAAGGTTTAGAGATGCTAGTTAATTAATCGTTGAAGGGTAAGGAGATGAAAACAGGAAAGAAAGAGGGATAGAGATGAAGCGGCCTTTTCGCCCTTTGATTCCATACTTATCATCGACAGAAGGGAAGAGATGCTTAGTGGAACAAAGTTGATCTAACGATGAAGCTCAATTAATTTGGATGAGGATTTTAATTAAGATGCTTTGAAACTTTCGAAAGTCAAGTTGATGAATACCGTGAGTGCAGTGGAAAAACTAAATTTGACTTGATAACTTTTTTTTTCTCTTGAATAATCGATATTTTTTCTTTGAAACCCTTTGAAAATAGTCAATTTAGAAGATGATGTTGAAGTGATGAGGAGACAAAACAAAAAGGTTGGTGATGAGATGAAGTTTTTCTTTCTTGAAGAAGATTGAAGATTTTGAGGATGCTGATGATAAAAGCAAAGATCTGAAGATCTCATTGATTGTATTGATGCCTGAATCAATACAATGTCATGCTGATGGGTGTCAATAAGTAATCCAAATCTAAGAAAAAGGGTTAGACTTGGTCGTTTTTACTTTGACTCATGTAACTTTATAAGTTGATCTTTTGTTTGGTGCATTCGTGAGCATTTTGGTTGTGAATTTGTGTTGGAAAAAAAAGGGACACCCACAAGGCAATAAACAAATGATGAAACTGATGTTGGTTAATTTTTTTTTCGAGATCGTTGAAAACACTTATTTAGGTTTCCGCCTGATCTGCTGGCAACAAAGTAGGATGTCGATGGTTGATTGTTTCTCACAACGTTTAGGTCAGATGAGAGAATAGGACTCAACATATTCATTTTTCAGATATTCAACTATCAAGATGATAATGATGAGATGATGATTTTCAAGTGCTGAAGCTTCTGCAATAATATTATCATAATAAACCTCAAGTTAATGTTATGGTATAAAAAATGGTTAAAACAAAAATAGAAATAAAACTAAGATAAAAAATCTAGTAATATTCCAAATGTGTTGTTAACATTTTCGGACTGTGGAAAAACAGTCTTGGGTGTAAGCTTTTTTAGTCGATTTTACCTTTACAGCAAAATGAATAAAAAAGACACTTTTAAGTTAAAGAGATAACAAACCTTGATCGAGATCTGGAAAATGATCGTGATGGGGATCGAGATGGGGAACGACTAACGGATCTTGACTTTCGATATGGACGAGGCTCTTCACGCCGCCTAAAAATAGAGAGAAAGAAAACAACATTAATAAAACTCGATCATATCGATAATGAAGTATTATATTAATAGATTTACAACTGAAAATTTACTATCATTACCTTTTGGGTTCAATGCCATGATCACGCCGCTCTCTAGGTTCTCTTGGTTCTCGGCTATCTCGCACTTCTCTGACATCTCTAATATCATGAGCATCTCCTCTGTCAAAAGGAACTCCTCTTCCACCGCCACCTCCACGACGTCGTGCACCGGGAGGTCCTCCACGCCTTGACTTACCATGTGACATTTCTACTCTAACCCTTGAAGGGCCAATTCTGGTTCCATCTAAGCCCCGGCAAGCATCCTCAGCATCACGACTATCTTCAAATTCAACAAAAGCAAAACCTAAAACACAATCAATAGAGAAGATAAAAGAAAAGATAAAACAATAGGTTAATCATGTGCTCCTTTTATAGATAAACAGCATTGACGAGTAAACAACAAGCCAATCAATCAAAATAGATAGTAACTCATCGAAAAGAACAGAATTTAATGGAGAAAATGGCCACTTACCGGGTGGATTCCTTGCGACCCAAACATTTTTCAAGGGCCCATACCAAGCGAATGCATTTTCTACTTCAGCTCTTGATGTGGTCTCACTCAGATTACCGATATAAACTTTACAAGCTAAATTCCAATCTTTGTGACTTTTAGCCATGATACTGTTGATTTGCGCCAATGTGGTAAAATTTCAAAGGAACAGTTAAAATTAATATAAGAATAAAGATCACCGAAGATGAAGATAAAATTGACAAAACAAAGGACAAAAAGACCAAGAATTTAATAGAATCAAGTCACAGCCTTTAAAGAAAGAAGCGAAAGAGAAACAAAAAGAAAGAGAGAAAATCTAAATTCGCATAAGCCAATCAGAGAAGAGAACAAAGTATCAATTCCTTTTAAGCGCTTTTTTCGAAATAGATCAGTCATATTCTATTTGGAGAAAATAAAAACTTTTAATTCTCAACTTTAATAATAGTTTTCGCAATTTATGGTGAAAAAAAACATTTAATTTCCATAGTTAAGTCAACGTTTGTTGTAAAAATAACAAAGGATTAGAAATAGATTCACTTCTTGAATTTCTTGAACTTCTTTTTTCCTACTTTTTTCCTTTTGATCGATTTGTGTTTATTTGATGAATTTGATTGTCCAGGATTTTCTGAGGTCAAAAACGATGTGTCACCAAAGTTTGTCACCTCATCTACGAGACTGTTTCCTGCGTTTGTTGGTCTTTTAAGGCTTTTCTTGTCTTTCTTGCTTAAAGTAACTCGGATGAAATTTTCTTCTTCAAAGTCTTTTATCTCATTCAATTTTCTCTCAATCTTTTTCTTCCTAGAAGATCCTGATTTGATCTCTTCCGGTCCCTCGTCGTACTCCCGTCGTAAATCTTGAATAATATTACTGGATAAGGCTCTCTTTTTGGCCTTTTCTATGGCCTTTTGTTTGGCCAATTCAGCTGATTCGTCGTCATCATACATCATTGCAGCAACTTTTGGAGGGATGTAAACATTTGATTTAACTTTAGGTCGACGGGTTCCCTTAGAGGTCGATGCTGATTGATTGTATTCATCTTCGTCATCTTCTCCTCCAGATCCACCGTCTTCATCTTCAAGATCTACAATAGGATAAAAATAAATTGAATTTAAAATTCTCTTGAACCAGTTATCAATAAATAACAAAACTCACCTAAAAGATTATGAGGCGCGGGTTTAAATACCAATGGATTATTTGATTTATCATCAATATTTTTACCAAAAGATAAAATTTTCTCAATTTGGTAGCTCATTTTCTTGTAAATCTTTTGACCCTTTTCTATATAAACTCTTAATTGAGTTAATCGATCAACAACAGGATTAGATTCCAATTGTTGACCAGAACATTTTCCTTGAATCAGTCTAGTTAAATTTGTAATATAACCAACTAATAATTGGTTCCGAACTCTAAGAAAATCATTACCATAATCCATATTCAATTCACCATTTTCTATTCGAGCAGTGATGGTCTCAATTAATTTACGACAAGAAGACGAGTCAACAGCAATTTCATTAAAATATTTAATCAACAAATCAACTTCCTAGAAATGAAAACAAAACAACAAATGAAAAACATAAATTAACAAAAGAAAATCACAAATTTATGGAGCCAGTACTCACTTTCTCAGAATCCATTTAATCCACATTCAATGAGATCAATCAGAGTAAACGATCAACAAACAATTAAATTAGAAATTAACAATAAACAATTAAGAAAACAAATCAAGTGTCAGCAAAACATTGAAACGATTTAATGAAAAACATGTGAGTCGAAATTTGGATCATATTCTTCCGATAGATGTCACTAGTTTATCTTCAATCGAATTCGTGATTAAATTTAATTGATTTATCGTCTAAATAACACTTTATTTTTGATCATTTCGATAATTTGTTTTTTTCTTAGGTACAAAAAGCATTATATAAGACTCATTAAATGAGATTTAACTGTACAGCACCTTTGAGTCTCTACAATAAGTAGAAAAATTAGAAATAAGAAAAAGGAACAAGGAAGTTGATGATAGATGACAATTAATGAATAAGATGAGTTAAGATTTTGGTGAATGGAAGAGGAAAAGGTGAAGATATTTGGAAGATCAGAGTGTTAACTTTTTACAAAAAGGTAGATTGATTGTCACAGAGACCAGTGTCTTCCATAAACAAGGTTCACATGAAATTTATACAAGAAAATATAAAAAAAATGATCATAAGATTGACATGATTGGAAAAAAAGAGTTGGTCATTAATTTTGACATTTTAAACAATCAGTGTGTAAATTTGATAAGTAAAAAATCATCTTAAGAGTATATCAATTGGTTTAAAGGTATAATGATAGAGTTGTTCTGTTTTAGGTCCAAGAATTGACCGAAAGTGACGAGAAACATAAATTATATGTTGTGTAAATTGTGTAAAAAAATTTATGAATTGATTGTTGATGATTTTCCAGAGTCGATGAAAATTAATATATGAAAATACCAATAGATTTGATATTTGGTTTTTTTGTAAATGTCAAGATGTATAATAATTTGATGTCTGTTTTATAATTAAATAATAATCATCTGGTTATGTATGTTGACTCTGTTGGTTGTTTCTTGTTTTGATTGTTATTAATATCTTCAAATTGGATTCTCGGTCTTTGTTTCGTGGTTGATGTTGATTGTGTTGATGCTTATTTTTAAATAAATTGTCAATCTTTTTTGCTTCACTTTTCAAATGTAAATACTCAGGTATAAATAAATAAATCCTCTGTTGTATATTTTATACAATATAACTTTTGTTTAAAATTGTTTTTTTTTCAGTGAAATCCAGGGCTGATTATTGTTAACTTTAAATCTTTCATGAGACTTTTAAAAGTCCATTAAACTGCAGAGACTTTGTCATCTTGTTGGATATTATTTTTAATTATTGGCACCTTTTTAAGATTATTGTTCACTGGTAAGTTATTTGTCTGTGGAGGTGGTTGAGGTTGTGATGATGGTGTTGGATGAACGGCTTGACGGGTGATTGTGTTGCAAGCTAAATTGACCAGTTTCTGTTTCCTCAGTAGAGCTTCATCGTAATCGGGAGGTCGCGGTCTATACGCTGTGTGACTCGCAAGATTATTTAATTGGTGATTAAGTGGTAACGAAGCTGAATGAGAATAAGAATGAGAATGAGGCAGATGAGATTGTTGAGATGATACATTTGATGATTGCTGCATTTGTTGTTGTTGTTGTTGTTGTTGCTGCTGCTGCTGTTGTTGTTGCAGAGATGCTGCTTGTTTTGAAAGCTGAGCTGTTACATGTTGCTGAAGACCAAGGGCAGTAGCTGCTTGTTGAAGTTGATTAATCCTTCTTAAACTAGTGACTGATGATGATTCTATTGGTAATGGAACAGTTGATTTAGTTGGTGAAATGGCTCGTGGCATTGTTGAGTTGGTGATAAAATTATTCGATGATCCTTCACTAACAGATCTTGTGTGTGATTGAGTAGATGAATTATTAAGAGCTAATATTTGTGGAAAATGGCTTCTTTGGTCTCTGGATGATTGATTGTGATGATTAAGACTATGATTTTTGGTATGATTACTTCGACCATATTCCATCTCACTGAGACTTAGTAATTTGCGAAGTTGTTGAGGTGATTCAGCACCAAATTTAAGTCGACCAGAAGATGAGCCTGAAGATGCTGAAGATAGAGTGGGTGATGGATGAGGTTGTTTCGGTGATGGGTTAATGTTAAGAGAGCCTCGAGATGAGCTACAATTATTTGTTGATCCTTGGAGAGATCCACTTTGACCTCCTTCCAATTCAATTGATTTAGCTAGAAGAGCATCTTCATCATAATTAATATGACCAAAAGTTTGATTTAAATAATGTTTCACTTTTTTTCTCATCAAAGATTCCTCGAACATCCGTTTTACTGAAGTCACCGAAATCGGTGCTGCTATGGGCGGTGGAGGTGGTAATGGAACTCTCATCATCTCATTGTTGGTATTATAGTCGTTGGCATAAGCACTTGTCACACTGAAACCATGACTGTTGAGCAAATTAGCATATGATGAGCCAACAGAATATTGGGATGATGACATATTCATAATGTTACGAATCTCTTTGGAAATCATTCTAAGCTTTTCAAAATTCACCAGTTCTTGGTCATCGGTTGTCGGATGCGCCAAATGGATGAAGGTCAGATCTTTTTTGACTATCGGAAAAAATGGGATAATGGGTGGAGGACAACAATTAATTTCCCTTCTATAATTTAACATGTTACGAGATGGATCCATAAGTGACTGTAAATTTTTCAGAAGTTTATTATATTTTGTCGGTATTTTATCCCAAGTTGACTTTAAACGTTGGACAGAACCATGACCAAGACCAGAAAGAATAGCGAACAAAGAATTATAATTGTGAAGATGACGACAAATGTTGGCAACTTTGATGAAATATTTGATTATTTTGATTCTCTTGACAACACTGGTTTCGTTTAGGATCTCATTGATGACCCAGAACATTTCCTTATTACTTAATGATTCAAATTCGTTCAACTCTTTTTTACACTTTTCATCAATTGTGCCAATATTACTTCTCATCTCAAAGACATCGTAGATAAAAGATTGAGGTTCAATGCAGCGAAATATGTTAAAATCATGTAAAGTCAATTCGATGGCAATGACAGTTGAGTTAAGTGATAAAAGATTTATCGGCATTGGACATTCCTTTAAAATCTCTTGAGCTAATTCATCATTCGATGAGTTGTTGGACGAAGATGATCCAGTGGATAAAAGAGGATTATTATTCTCTTTGAGGTAGTACCGAGACAATAAAGATGCTTTCTCAGAAAGATTATTTAGTTGATCAGGTAAACGTCGTTGTTTGATTGTGTTATTAGCCTATTGTGGGAAAGAAGATGAAAAATGTAAATATTAGGTTTAAAAAGGTTAAGTAAAGGATAAAGAAATTGTAAATTTCTTTAACCTCTGGAGTGAAAGTTGATCAAAAGCTAATTAATTGTCACTTCAACAGAAATAAATTAAACATCACACCTTCAAATGATTTGGGCGGAAAACATAATCTGTAAATGATCAATAATTGTCAGAGTGGGGTAACTGATTACAGCACAATCTCAATTTTTCATGTGAGTTAATTGTAATTTTTAAACATAATAAAAGCATAAAAATATGAAACAATTAAAATACTCAAAAAGTACAATGTGAAACTAAATTGTCAAGTTAAAAATGGCTCAACAATTTGAGTCATTTAGATATTGAAAAAGGTAAAGATTGATAATCACAGTAATTCTGATAACAACCTTGTAATCAAATACAATCAATTGTTGAGTGTATAATGTTGATTATGAATCTGTTTTGACTGGCAGAAAAAAGAGACAATCAAATGAAAAAATGTAAATGGGTCACGTTTAACTTTAAATCAGAAAATTGGATAAAAATGATGGTTAATCATGTGGTTGGTGCCTCAATTAATAATAATAGAAGGTAGGAAAAGGGTAGAAAATTGTTTTTCTTGGTTGTCAATTTACCTCAGGTACAACGGATACTTCATACAGGGCATAGTTTAATGAAGATTTGGCAGATTCTCCCGATGACTGTTTGTTGCCCGCTGAAGTTTGTGTACAAAGGCCAAACTCTTTACAACTGACCATAACAACGTCTCGGGCAGTATTTTCTTCGTGAATTAATAAAAATCTAGAATCACCGTTTACTGCATTGAAAATTCTTATCACAAGTTGAGGATCAGGTGTAGGATCAGAATTTGGTGGCTCCATAAGAGCTGAAGTAAAGATTGAGTGAAGATCAGGATTTGAAAGTGATCTATGGACAGTGTTTTTACCACCATGGTCCCGGTTTGGTCGAGATGAATCAACTTCACATGAATTGAGAACATCATTTTCAAAATCAGAATAGAAATTAGGTAAATGTCTTGAAATGAAATTGGCAAATTTAGGAATCGCTTTTTTAATCTTTGTTCCGCTGCCGTTAGAATTTGTAGTTCCGGTTTGACTTTTATTCTTCTTGTGGAATGTTCCTTTGCTGTTTGGAGATGTGTTCATAGAGGTTTGCAGGTTCGGAAGAAGTGCCGATGAAATCGAATACTTTTTACCTTTTGAATCTAGAGGAAAATAAAAGAGAGAGAAATAAAAGAAAGATATGATGAAAAAGAAGGATTATTGAACCATATAAGTGGAAAAGAAGAAGAGAGGGAAAAAGAATAGATAATTGAAAAGATGAGGATGTAAGTGAGAGTAAAAAGGTAGAAAAGATGTGGCATCGTAATAGAGAGGGAAGGACTGAGTAGATGAAGAAAAAGAAAGAGAAAAAGAGGGAAATATGCAGTTGAAAGAAAGAGCAAAAGAAAGGCGGAAGGGTAAGTTACTTAAGAATGAAGAAGAAGAGAAAAAAGTAAAGAGATGAGATGAGGATGAAAAACAAGTTTACAGGTAAAGAGAATTATTTTTTTTATATATTCAAGTTAGATAATTAAATACCTTCAGGCAAACTGATCATCTCTCGGAACATGAATGGATTATATTTTACAGTGAGTTGTAAGTGTGTTGTTGATCTTAATGTATCCAATGCTTTTAAATGGGGTATCCTTGTGAAATTTATACCATTCACTTCAAGAATCTGATCTCCGCGCCTTAAACCAAGAGATTCAGCTTTAGAACCAGAATCAACTTTAGATACAAAAATACCATAGCCGCGTTCATATCCGCCTAATATTGAAAAATGTAGCACCTCTTCATCTCTATTGGATCGGGTTAAAGTGATGTTACGTTGCTTTGCTTTAGTTGATATTGTCATGTGAAGAAGACTTAATTGTGTTGATAAGCTGCTGATTGAGGATAATTTTGTTTCAAAAATCTCCAAAAACTTTTGTCCATGTGAAAAATTGGATACGGGTGACGATGTGTTTTTAGCTGTTGTTGTTGTTGTTGTAGTTGTGGTTGTGGTTGCAGTTGCAGTTGACGATGAGGATGATGATGTTGTTGATGGTGGTGTTATTGTTGATGCTGTTGTTGTATTTAAAACAGAGCTTTCACTTGAAACAAGCTCAAAGTCAAGGTAATAGTTGCTAATCCATGTTTGCACAATTTGAATAACCTTACTCCTAAGGCTGGGATCGTCAAACCATGAGAGTAAGGTTGAACAAATCTGATTCATACCATTAACTAAAACAAGATCAGCTTTACCTGGAGACTTGTCATTTGGGTCGTTTGAAGGCATAAAGACGCGATAGGTTAATAAAAAATCATCAATATAATATGGATCAGATGTATCAGAGTCTAATAGACCATAGAGAAGCCTTTCAGGTGTACCCTGTCAACCAAAGGTAAAGAAAAAGATGAGAAAAATTGATATTAGATTAAAAAGCTAAAAAACAATGAGTTATACAAAACAAGAGATTAGTTGAATATTAAAGGTTAGAAAAAGAATATGATTTGTAATCAGATAAGTTATTGGCCCAACTTAATTTTATCTTCACCGATATCCAACTAAATGGACAGTCTCTTGAGCGCAAGGATGGTTATCATCATTTTGAACAAATTCATTTTCTTAAGGGTAAATATTTAAAGCATCTAACAGTCCAGGTCAAGCGGATGAGAGATTAATGGTTATAACTGAGAGATGGTTATAAAGGAGGAAAGAGAAAGAGAAAGAAACAGGTAGAAAGAGAGAAAGCCAGCAAAAAGAGAAAAAGAAAGAGACTCTATAAGAGAAAAAGGAAAAAAAGAATTTTTTTTCTTACCCTCACTATTATATGGGCTTTTCTTTGGCCATCAATAGTTTTAAATTCAGTTATTAGGACAACTCGACCATCCTGAGATTCATGTTTACAATATTCGGTTTGAGGCTCATCAAGAACCGATGGCCAAACATCATCACTTAATTCGTCTTCATCATCATCAACCATAGACTCAATGAGTCCATTCAAGTCCAACACATAAAATTCACCTTCATAATTGGTCATCTCACTCGGTTGTTTGTAAGGTTGAAAAGATGATTCCAACATTTAAGAATCTTTTCCGTTTTTCTTTCTCTCTCTTTCTCTATAAAACAAAACACAAATACTCACAATTATTCGTATTATGAATCAACTACACAAGGTAAATAAAACTTCATTAGGCTCAACAATTGGAAACAAAAATATAAATGAAAATAAACAAGAATAAAAATCATTTACATTGTTTGATGTTTGAGATGAAATTAGAAACTGAATCAAAATGGATTATAGAATAACTTGTGACTTCTCTAGATTAGAATACGGTCCCTGGTTCTCGAAGGGGAAAAAATTTCCGGTTCCTCATTCGGGTTGAGAGGTTTGAGTTTGGTTTCCAATTGTTTTAATTTGTAATTTATTTTTCAACTAATTTTCGGTCTTTGTTTTTAATTAATTGTATTATTTATCTATTGACTTGATTGTCTCATTTCTTGATTGACTTTAGTTCCAAAATCGATTGTTTATTAAATTCAAATGGCAAGACATTCATCTGAAGATAAACGGAAAGCGAGGTGAGTCGTGATTTTTTTTTCTATTTTATTTTGTTCTTTTCTATTATTAATCTATCTAATTGCTGATGATCTGGTCTTTTCTCTTTTACTTGAACTTTACATGTGACAATTATCCTCTTACTGTGATGATTATCTTTTTCGATTCTTGACCCAATTTCTATTTTTATGCTACTAACTGATTTTCTCTTTGACTCTTATATTCTCTTTTTTTGTTTACCATGTTTTCTGTTTTCTGTTGTCTTTGTCTTTTTTTTCTTCGATCTTTTCAAATGGACTTTCTTTTGATGACATGGTTTTTTTCTATTCTCTTGTTTTCTTTTAGATCTCCTGAGAAGGTTAAGGAGAAACGTAGAAAGAAACCATCTAAATATTGGGATATTCCTCCTCCAGGATTTGAACATATTTCTCCTTATCAGTATAAAGCCATGCAAGCAGCCGGTCAAATACCGGCAACTTTATTCGCTACCCCAGGAACCGTACCAGTACCTATTGTAGGTTCTACGCTCACCCGTCAAGCTCGTAGATTGTATGTTGGTAATATTCCCTTTGGATGTTCCGAGGAGGAGATGATGGAATTTTTCAATGCCCAAATGCACGCTTGTGGTTTCGCTCAAGCTCCTGGTAATCCAGTTCTTGCTTCCCAGATTAATTTAGATAAGAACTTTGCCTTTCTCGAGGTGATTACAATTTTTCGTATTCTTTAATTTATTGCAAAGACTTATCATCCATTGGAATAGTTTGATATTATTATCCTTTTTTTATAAATATTTTCCAATTATAGTTCCGATCTATTGATGAAACAACTTCTGCTATGGCTTTTGATGGTATTGCTTTCAAAAGTCAATCTTTGAAAATTCGTCGTCCTCATGATTACCAACCAATGCCTGGCATGTCAGAAATTCCTCAAATTACAGTTCCAGGAGTTATATCTACAGTAGTAGCCGATTCTCCTCATAAAATATTTATTGGAGGTCTACCTAATTATCTTAATGAAGACCAAGTTAAAGGTACAATTTATTTGCAACAGTTTTCATTGATTCATCTTCTGATAATATTTTGATTTTCACAAAATTTTCTTAGAACTTTTGATGAGCTTTGGACAATTGAGAGCCTTCAATCTGGTAAAGGATTCGGCAACAGGATTATCTAAGGGTTATGCGTTTTGTGAATATGCGGATGTCAATATAACGGATCAGGTATAATTTTGAAATTAGAAAACGGGAAAAATTTTTCACACAGAGAGACACGGATAAAGTTTATCAAAGCAGCCATTGGACGAAATCTATCATTTAATTACTTTAAATTTAGGCAGCGTCGTGGTTTGGATGGTTATAAATGAATTTAACTTGAGGTTATCCTTTAATTATATCAGGATAACACAGATTCAACCATTGACACTTGTTTTAGATTAGAGAAATTGTGTCTAATGGCTCTCTCTGTTTCATTGCAGCTCTCTTTGACAGACTTTGGTTTTGTACTTATTTCAGGCAATCGCTGGTCTCAACGGAATGCAGTTGGGGGATAAGAAGCTAATTGTTCAAAGAGCGAGTGTCGGTGCTAAAAGTGGTCCATTGGCTCAACCTGGTGCAGCATTGGCGGCTCCCGTTCAAATTCAAGTTCCAGGACTTCAAGTGGTCTCCTCAGGCGTTGGTCAACCTACTGAAGTCTTATGTCTAATGAACATGGTCACTGCATCGGAATTATCAGATGACGAGGAATATGATGACATTCTCAAAGATATCGAAGAGGAATGTGGCAAATACGGAGTTGTTAGATCAATCGAAATCCCAAGACCCATTCCAGGAGTCGAAGTACCAGGCGTTGGAAAAGTGAGTTTATCTTTTTCATATCTAATCGTTTTTCTTTCCAAAACTAATCGAAACTAAATTTTTATTTTATCTTAGGTTTTCGTGGAGTTTAGTACAATACCCGAGTGTCAACGAGCCCAACAAGCCTTAACTGGACGTAAATTCTCAGACAGAGTAGTGGTTACATCATTCTTAGACCCTGATAAATATCATAGAAGACAATTTCAATAATTTTTCGTCGCATCAAAATTAATCAAACCTTTTTTTGATCTCTTCATATCTTTCATAAACATCACACTTTCTATTCAATTAAGAAAACAATCCAAATCTTTTCATCTCTTCACAGATCACATAATTTTTGTTTTTTTATTCTTTCACTAATCAACAACTTTGGGCAACTTATAGATTCACTAGGAAAGATGACCATCCCACACTTTGGCACTGAGAAGAAAAAAATCAGACAAATCAACTCTAACCATTCATAAAATCAATTAACTGATTCAAATTATTGATCAAGATTAGAAATGTGTTTGTGCCATACCATTGGATTTAAAGCAAATGGATCGATAAATTAACCAAAAAAAAAACACAAACTAATCATAGAACCGAGTTAAACCAATTGTCAGAAATGTGTACAATCTACAAGAGAATCTATGATTAGTTTGAATTAGTCTTGATAAAGATAATTGTGGTGTAAAATTGATTATTTTATTCCTCGAATGTTTCAATTACATCTAAATAGAAACAAAAATCACAGCAATCAAATAGCAAGAAAATTATTTCTCACCATTGCTTGGTAATATTACCAATCAAAAGTTATTACATTTTAATTGGAAACAAAATTATTTATCCAGTCCAAAGCCACACATAATATTATCAGAACAGTTTGTAAATTGTTGACAAAAGAAAGGCAATTAAGGCCGCAAATCTATTATGAGATAATCATTGACAACCTGATGGTTTAGTTCAAATGAATTTTTTGCATTAATTCATTTTGAATATGCACTAGTTATCGATGTTTAGAGAGAGAGAGGTTAAGCAAAATTAGTGTTACAATCGATAGAAAAAACGATGTTATTTACAATCAACTAATTAGAAGAAGAAAACAATCAATTTTGTAGATTTATTATTTAAAAAAGTTGGTTTAGTTTCTTTGGAGCCTGAGAACAGTAACACTTTTTACCTGTTCTAATTGACGATTAGAAAGATTTGATCACAATTCGATGGACATTGGATCTTAAATGGTTTCATCTTTGGAAGAATTATTATTTTTCTCGTAATTAATTCAGGCCAACAGTAATTCTTAGATTATTTGGTTTGATTTTGACATTGATAGTAGTTGGTTTTTGGATCTTCTCTCTAATTGTTGATCAAAAATGGTTGATTTAAGTAACGATGATTGAGAAGATATCACATTGTGTTGAAAATGGTGAAGATGATGGTGATCATGATGAAGAGAAGATTAATCTGATTCTTGAGATTTTTGTTTACAATCATATTTCTCGGCGATAGATTTTCCTATGAATGTCCAGTATTCCGATCTGATTTTATCCATTTCCGTTGCTAATTTAGCAATTAAAGTGAGAGCTTTTCCAACAATCGATTTATCAGGTTTTTCTTGATTCATTAACAGTTCATCCAAAGAATCAATTCTAAATGAATAACAATGGACACTGGTGATTCCCTCGAAGACTTTGATCTCATCAGGGAACTTATTCAATCCAACTCCCGATAAAATGCCTCTCAAATAGTTCCAAGTACTTTCATTGTCTGGAACTTTAATTATATTCTCAACGGTAAAGATAACTTCTTTTTTGATTAAATTCTCATCCTCCAATTGTTTAGTTCTTTTTAATACAAAATATCGGTGATTCCAGGCAGAGTTATTTCTAAGATCTTCTGAGATTAATGTTTCTGTATAATCGAGCTCACCTTCCCACCTAGAAAAAGATGAAAACAATAAATGGAATAAGAATTGCATCTTGATGATGGATTATTTTAATTCCAAGTGGATTAACTTACCAATTGAAATGTGAGATTACCCATTGGCGATGTTGCCAAGCATGATAGTTCTTACAATCTTGCTTGAAAAGCTCCTCGGTGAAAGCTTTTTCCCTCTTTGGATCGTTTAATTGTTCAACTATCCATCTTCGATGTTGCCAAACTTGGTAGTTTTTAGGTTTATCGACAATAATATTACTCAAATAATCCAATTCGGTTGATAAATTTCGAGCCAATAGAAGTAAACATTTTCTTCTGAAAACCCAAACGGTTGAATTTGCAGCATTCCATGAGATACAATCTTCTGTCAGTTTTAAGGCTCTTTCAGAATATTCATTCTTCCTGAATATCGCCCTGAAATATTCATGAGCTTCACGAAATTTATCCGTATAAGGAATACCAACGATCTTTTCCTCATATGGATCAGGTACAATCGGTTTAATGTCAGCCCATTCAGGATTTTTACTATAAAAACAAGAGTAAAAACCTTCACCCTCTTCAATATCACTCGATGGTGAACTACTGTTGGAACCATCTAATCCTCCGGCATCTCCACTATTACTGCTGTCCGAACTGTTAGCACTGTTTAATTCACCAACAATTAACTTATTAACACACGATTTATCCGATAGATTATTGTCCTGTGAGGTTGAATATTCCATGGCACAATTAAATCTTTTCTCTTTCTCTAATGTTAGCAAAATGTTTTTCCCTTTACACCAAAAAAGAACAATAGTTTAACATTGGTCGATGAAAACAATTAGATGACAAAGATTCTTTGTCAAAACACTTGACAATTATGATGGAATTGGTAATCAATTGTTGACAGAAATATGAATTAGATAAAAAACACCAATGAGAAAACAAAGTAACCAAGAAAAAAGAAAAACAAAACAATCAGTTTGTTGTGTTTTCGTTTTCTAAATTTTCTCATGTGCGCTCACTCATTTTTCTTTGGAGCCTCATTTGAATTCTTCAAGTTTTAATTGTTACTCGACTCGAATTGCAAGAACTTGTGTTAATTTTGATCTTCGATAAAAACTTGTTATCTAGTATTTTGATAAATTGTTGTTCTAATCATGATAATGTTAATAATTGATTGATTCTTTTTTTACTTTTTCATTTAAATTAACCAGATCGCTGTGATTGTCTCACTATTAGAGCGCAATCATAAACTCCTCTGATTACTTACAGGTCAATAAATAACTATATGAAACAAATTTGAAAGTTCATAGCGAATAGATGATAGAGAATTGATTAATTAAAAATATTTCATATTAAAATTCAGGTCTTCATTTATTGTGAGCCACATTTTCACAGAATTTTGTCCAATGGTTTACGAACAGTTCAATTTCGAAAAAAAATCGAAAAAATCAATCTGTTAATTGGGAATCGCCTTTGAAGCTCTATAACTAAAAAACCGATGATTAAAAAGAAACAAAAAAACTAAATTATATACAACTTGGTGATCTAAATAACATATGTGAATTCGAAGTGTGAGCAACAAAGCGTTCTGAAGATATTCGAATTTGAAATTTCGGCAAAATTAAAAAGCGCGAAAATTCAAATTCTCTATGGGAAATTAACATGGGATTAACAAAATGATTTTTGGGTTTTTTCGATCTTAATTAATTTTCTCGAAAACCACTGGTCAGAATTAAATAAAAATTGGTCTCAATATAAATTACGGAATATGCTTTCTATTAATGTTTAATTCTATTTATTAATCATTTTTTAAGAACCTGTAATTTTTTGTCAAATTTGTTCCATAAAGTTATTTATTGCCCTGTATGAAAATGATGGAAAGTTATTTCGATCAGGATTTTGATATTTGTTGAAAAATGGAATTAATTAATAATTCGTAAAGTTTATTTAGAAAATGATAAGAAAATTTGTTCTAATGTTGTTCCAGTTAAAGTAAAATCTTCAATGGGCAATAATCGTTTTGCTTCATCTAAACACCTCAACATTTGCCCCCAACGCAAGGAATTGTCCCTTAAATGATAGTGAAGAATAGTTTTATTAACGTCTCTCAAAATGGACGAAGGGAATTTCTGAGCCATCCATATTTTAATTTTATCCAATTGTATTTCTTGTTGATTCCATTGATTCCATTGATTTGATTGATTCCATTGACTCATTTTAATCTTCAATGTAAATCCAAACCCAAACTTTTCTTTTAAATGTTGAGATGAACCAAGGCACTTGAAATTGCCTCGAGCCATTATACCGATTCGTGAACATAAGGCTTCACATTCATCCATAGAGTGACTGGTTAGTACAATTGATGATCCAATTGTATCGCGAAGATGAATCAATGTGGACCATATTTTCCGTCTCGATGCTGGATCGACACCAGTGGTTGGTTCATCCAAGAAAATCACCTCTGGTTTAGCAATCGACGCAATGGCCAATGACAATTTCCTCTTATTACCGCCACTTAGATTCTTATTACATATGTTGGCAAATGGAGTTAAATCAGTTGATTCAATTAAATAATTGACATTATCCTTTACTTTACTTTCAGGCATTCCCCTGATTCGTGCAAATAACATTAGACTTTCGACTGGAGTTAAGTGGTCAAGTAGCGCATCAGATTGTGGACAATAACTTATTGATTTTTGGAAATTGAGTAAATCTTTTCGCAATGAATATCCTCCGATATAAGCTTCTCCCGAAGTAACAATAATATCACCAGTTAGCATTCGGAATGTTGTTGTTTTACCTGCACCATTAACACCCAACAAACCAAAGCACTCGGCTTTATGTACTCCGAAAGTAATCCTATCAACAGCTCGAGAGGATTCGAAATCCTTAGTTAAATCATCGACAATTAAAGCTTCATTTCTAATTCCACTTGAAGAAATCAAACTTTTCACTCGATCTCTTTCTTGAACTACATCTTTATCTTCAACATCATTTTCTGAATTTGGATAAGATAAACTTTGGTGATTCGATTCATACCAATATCCAAGTCGATGTAGGTTCATATCCAACACAATCAAAACGATCGTGTATAAGAAAATGTCCAATAACAGTATTAATATTTCAGGATAAATTCCATCATTTTCCCATGAAAATGGCTCATATGTTATGTAAGTTGAATTATTTTCACAGCAAATATCCCGAGCCCATATGTTTCCGTCTGGACAAGCGTTGATCTTTTTACATTCCGTGGACAACACAATCGCCCCATAGATTTTGGACAATCCAAATGACATCGCAAATGGAGGGAATAAGTTACCGATAAAGAAGTGAATCGGTTTCAATGCTCCAAAACCTACAAGACATGCAGCTAATGCCGAACCAATAAGAGTACTAACGACTGAGATACCTGCTAGCGATGAGAATCCAGTGTCCCGATTCAAAGGTAAAAACGAGAATAGATAAGACAATGGAATTGATGCCAATCCGAATAACATGAAAAGCACCATGAAAGAAGCTAAATTCAGAACGAGAAGTAATATTAATAATGGACAATATTCAGATAAATAGTTTGAAAGTTCGAGAAAACTTACCGAAAGTTTTAAAACTTATTAGAAGAAATTGATCGATTATGATTATTGATAGAAATACGATTAGAAATATCATCATGTTATAACTTAGATCGAAAATGTAATGGCTGAACCAGAATATTGGAGCTTTGATTCCACTCATTTTCTGAATTAAGTTGACCTATGAAAAAATCGTCATTAGTTGTGAGCCAAAATGTGAAATTCTGTATTGGTAAACTAACCTTGTTTTGAGATTCTGTTGAAGGGAATAGGAAAAAGGAAACAGCGATGAGACAAAAAGCAACGGGGCTTAACATTGCTGACAGGATTCGAGCGATTATCGATTTATATTTCGGCTGTAAAGTTTGTCGATTTGGCATCGGCATGTATGTTGTGTACAACATCGGAGACTTGAGTTCAGGCCTTTTAAGCCTAAGCAAAGCATTCGTATAAGCATCGACAGTCAACGGCAGCGATAATGAGGCTTTTGGATTGTACCATAAACTAAACCCCAACTCTGACCAGGGTGCAGGATCTAAGGGGTCATTCTCAATAATACCAAATACATGATCTTTCATAAATTGATCAGCATTTTGTGATGTCGCCGACAGATAGTCAACAATAGTTAATGATGAATTTATGTCAACTACTTGGATGCCCAAACTTTTCATTGATTTTCGATATGAATCAATAAACGGTTGATTCTTTTTGCTAGTAAATGAGGCTCGAATCACGGATTTTACATTAGAACCATAGATCTGTTTGGCATTCAGTTCGATGGGATAAGGATAATCTGTGATGGATTCAACATATTTAATTGCATTCTGAGAAGTATAAAATATGAACATCATAACCAAAGCGGGAATAATTAAAGTGAACCCAATCGTCTTAAAGTGTCTTCTAGTGTAATGGAATCGTTTCATGAGTAATGCTTTAATACGCTGAATTAGTAGGCTAGATCCAGTTAATCGTTGATAATCAAGAATTTTATCCACTCCAAACAATTTGTCTTCCATTGTTATTATTGTCTTATCAGCTTCATCTTCAGCGACCTTGATGAAAACATCTTCGAGCGTTGTTACCGATACTCCATAAGAAGTGATACCAAACGATGTTGGATTATTATCTAAATCATCACAAAGATTGGCCAGTGAAGTCATTGATTCTTGGTTCGATTTATCATTCAAATGATAAATAATCTCTAAATTTGTCTCATTCGTAACTGTAGCTTCCTCAAAATATTTCGTTATCAAAGCTCCAAGTTCAGAAGGTTTATAAACCCAAGCATCTTTTGCGATTCTGATTGAATAACCAGCTCCAAATTGTTTCTTAAGAAACATCGATGATCCTGAACATTTGATTTTACCCGAACTCATGATAATTATACGATCTCCTAACGCATCAGCTTCTTCCATGTGATGAGTAGTCAATAATATTGTGTAATCTTTTCGCAATTTCAACAATAGATTCCATATTTGTCGGCGAGACTCTGGATCTATACCTGATGTTGGTTCATCTAAAATCAATATCTCTGATTTCATCGAAAGAGCCAAGGCCAATTGAATACGACGTTTCATTCCACCCGATAATGCACTGACTAGTGTGTTTTCACTTTCTGTTAAGTCTACTCGTTCCATGTTCAAGAGAATTAATTGCTTCTTAGTCTGGTCACTCAAACCTCGAAGTCCAGAACAAAGTTCTAAAAGTAGTAGGTATGTAGCATAACGTGAAAGAGGAGGAGTCACGTTATGCTACCCCGAATTAAATAATTATTAAAAACTAAAGTTTTATAAAATTCATTTATTTGATGAGCCAAAAATCGTCATCATCATCAACATCATCATCATCAAACCATATTTTTTTAATTAAAAGTTTCATCTTCTCATCATCATCATCATAACCAACATCATAATCATTATCACCATCATTTCTTTTCCTCTTCGAGGAGATAAAATGTTTCCTCTCTCCTTCTCCGTCCGATTCTGACCACGAGTATGAAGGTGAACTCATGGTCAGAACTGAATTCACTGTTGAATTCGATTCAAATTCATCATCTGAATCGAATTCAACAGTGAATTCTGGATCTGGAATGGAGAGGAACATAAGATCGTCTCTCGAGGTCGATAAGGCCAAAAATGGGATCGCTGGTGGTGGTGGTAATGGCGATGAGATCGCTGGTGTTGGTGGTGGCGATGGGATCGCTGGTGGTGGCGATAAGATCGCTGGTGGTGGTGATGGGATCACTGGTGGTGGCGATGAGATCGCTGGTGGTGGTAATGGCGATGGACTCACTGGTGGTGGTGGTGGCGATGAGATCTCTGGTGGTGGTGGCGATGAGATCGCTGGTGGTGATGGGATCACTGGTGGCGATGAGATCGCTGGTGGTGATGGGATCACTGGTGGCGATGAGATCGCTGGTGGTGGTGGTGGCGATGAGATCGCTGGTGGTGATGGGATCACTGGTGGCGATGAGATCGCTGGTGGTGGTGATGGGATCACTGGTGGTGGCGATGGGATCGCTGGTGGTGACGATGGGATCACTGGTGGTGGCGATGGGATCGCTGGTGGTGGCGATGGGATCGCTGGTGGTGACGATGGGATCACTGGTGGTGGTGATGGGATCACTGGTGGTGGCGATGGGATCGCTGGTGGTGGTGATGGGATCACGGGTGTTGGTGGCTGAGGTAATGGAGTTGCTGGTGGCGAAGGAAATGCCGATGATGTTGCTGTTGTTGGTGGAAGTGATGGTGATGGGGATGCTGGTGGTGGCTGAAGCACCGGTGGTGATAAATTTATCACCCCAGTAGGTGATGAGGATGGAGATGTTGTCAGACATTGGGGTGGTGGTGGTGGCGGTGGAGATAAAAAAAAATCTATGGCCTGAAAGAGTTGGTGATGGTTGAAACAATAAGTTTAAGTGAACTTAAACCCATTGTGTCAACTGTCACCAACTCTTTCAGGCCATAAACTTTATGACCGTGAAGATAGGAGATGGACTTTGGAGCGAAAATTTTCCGCCCTCTACCAAAAGTTTTTTTTTCTCGAAAACTATACCACCTAACGGAAAAAAAGATAAACTAAGTGGAAAAAAATTTTAGAACGCGCTTTCAATAATGTTTAATATCCGAAATAAATAGAAAAACGTTTTAATTTAATTTTTTTATGCAATCAGTAGATTTATTTCATGGCCGTTAACGTATACATATCTAAGTATCATAAGAATGAATAAAAAAGACAATACGGATAAAAAATACAATATATTTATGTTCATACCACTAAATGAATCCAGAAAATAAAAGAATTAATTTCAACTGATCGAAAATTTGTAAAGTCTCCTTGTATGATTTACATCCGGTTATTATAAATTTACCTGTATGGAAAATGAGACATCTTTTGCTATCCTCTGTCAAATAAGCTGCAGGATATAATTCAGGGTAATAAGTAAATGATTCGCTACAAGCAACGCAGAGTTTAAGAAGATTAATTCTTTTGTTGAGATTACCTGTTGCCACGACGTTGACAACCTCTTTATATGTGTAATCACACGGAAGACGAAGCGACACGCAGAATTTTTCCATAGCCAGATAGGCGTCATTAATAGACTTAGCTCCAACAACATTAACCTTTCCATTTCTGAAGATTAACAGACAGGGCTTAGGTAATTTGAGAATAGCACCATTGAATCTTTTTGGTTGGTAGTTTATCGTTGGGAAAAATTTCACTAAGTCAGTCAAAGCGAAAGGAAACGAACGAAGTTGAAACTTCATGACAATATTACTTATCATTGGATTTTTTATCTCGGTCATCATGGTTGGCAAGATTGAAGCACTAATTGGAAATCAAAATTTTGAGTTGTTTTTCTAAAAAATGAATGTAAGCAATTGATACCCGGACTTCTTCTTGTAAAGATAACACAATACTAAGTGTCAGCTCTAGATTATCAAGGTTTGGACAAAATGGATCGCAATGAGAACTCAGAATCCTAACTTCGTCCCTCAATCGTTTGTTGGATTTTTTGAGACGCTTATTCAAGCTTTTTGTTCGATGTAATTTTTGTCTCAGAGTCTTATTTTCCACATTGACTGAATCACATACTAATTCAAGAGCGAGAGAAAGACGATCCATGTTGACATATCGAGGTCAGGGATGAAACTGATTGAAACTTAGATTTGTAGCTATTCAAATAGTTTTGCTCAGAAAATAAACGGGAGTCGTTAGTTTGATGTTTTAATCTTTTTTATTGGTCATTCTGCAGATAACAATACAAGAGATCATTTGCTGTAAGAATTGTACCAGCTTGCTTTTTATTAATCTTTTGTAGACTTTACAATGTCTAGATCATTACAAAGTTCATGATTAATCATGCTACGTGCAAGTAGGTATGAAGCTAACTTAGAACTTGTGCGTACTTTTAATTGCACAGCTGTACTAAAGATTGAAAAGACCTTCTTGATTCGCTCGATGCTATCACTTCCAATAGCATTTTCCAAGTTTCGTGTGGGGGATCCATCAGAGTTTAGTGCAGGCCCCTTCATGAAAGATTGTGTGCCACATACATCAAATTCCAACATGAAACAGTATGTTATTTCATCTTTGTAGTCCCATACTTTGATTTTAATTTCACTGACGTTGTCATCATCAGGCAGAAGAAAAACTGATACAATCACCGAATCCCAGTTAAACATCGTCAATTATTTTCCAAGCTTTATTATCGTTGAGTTGTAAGTCCGATGAAAATCTTTTAATTATGTTATCGAATGATTCGCCTCTTGATCTCAACTTCACAAAGCAAATACAGAAAGCCCCACAGTTTTTAGAAGAGAAACTTTGTAACCTTTTATTGTTCCAAACTAAAGGACGATCTTGGATCAACTGACTGATTTCTGTATGAATCGGTGGAAGTCCAAATGAGTCAAAATATTCGCATCTGCGTGAATCAACTCTACATGCTAACCAATGACTACCTCGTTCTGAAGCAACATCACTATTCATGATGAAATAACTAGGATATTTTCGTATTAATGGTAATTTATCTCTCGAAAAAACACCAATGAAGTTTGGAAAAGAACGGCAAATGGTTTCAATCTCAAAATCGAACATACTTAAATGAAGTCACAGCTAACGTTTCTTTCTTTGTCAATTTCGATCATATTATCATACTCGCAGAATAAAACAACATCGATTACTTCAGGCAATGCCTTCTTGAAACGCAAATAAACACGGAGGGTACCTCGATTTGCTGGATTTACGTGTCCTACAAGACCACAGCCGTGAGATAAGTCAGGTGCGAAATTGAAACCATAAATTGTTTTCCCATTAGCATAATCATTTCTTTTTATATCAATGGTTGATTCAGTTGAATTCATGTTCATTGCTTGAAACAATCCTGAATATTCTCGAACAAAAAGATTTTGATCGAAATTTGGTTGATAAGCATTTGTAGGATACTGAATGCCATCAAGATAGCATGCCAAGTAGTTGACATCATAGTGGTTGAATTTGAATGGATCTTCATCTTTGGCTCCATTAAGAGCTGTATTTTTAACACATGCTAAAAACATTCGTCTTGGTAATTGTCCAATTATGACATTGTCGAGCATTGCATCCATAGATCCTGAAGGAATGGGTACATGTTTCACCTCCACACGGGTGATAGGATATCGTGAAGAGGCTGTTTGCAAAGCTCTCGAATGTGCATTAACAAGCATTGGTTTAGCTTTTAAACGGTGAATGTATACAGATGCATCTTTGATTATGGGAATAATATTCACTGATTTTGGATAGATGAAACAGAATTCAGGGTTGTTCAATATCAATTTTATTTTGATATCACATCCACCAAGCAATGCTTTGCCTTGAAATGTAAGGTCAAGATGTAACTTTCCATACATGTCAACTATTTTACTTTGTGATGGATCTTTATTTGTTGTTTCTGGGACAAAGTTCGAGATGATATCGTCCTTTTCTGACCAAAATCCTGTAGAAAGATGTGTTTCCTTAGCGTCTTTCGAAAAACCGAGTAAATTTTCAAAGTATGCTCTATATGCATAAGTATTTGATACAGATGACATTTCTTTATTACCGATCTTTAGATCTATTTGTTTAATCATGCTATGCATCAAGTTATTGGCTGCTCTAATTTTACTCCAATCTGGGTTAACAATATCTTTGCCGTCTTCATTTTTTATTTTAAGCTGCAATTTGAAGTATAAGTAAGTTTCATGAAAAAGAATATATTCATCTTTTGAGGTAGGTATATGAAACTCTATGTAGCTAGAGCCTTCTATAGAGGAGATTGGTCTGTGTTGAGTCTCATAGCTTCTTTCGATTGACAACTGAACAGGGGGGATGGTGAATAAATCAAGCTCCGGTAGCAAAGCTTCAGCTGCTAGATTATGCATATTACTTTAAGAAGTCAAAATCAGATTTTTTGAATGATTTAATTTTCTTTCGGGTTTTTCGTTTTACATTTCCTTTTATCATCTTTCTTTTTATAGACTTTAAACCGCTTCCATTCTGTGTGTCAGTACTTTTTTCAGACAATTTCTGTATCGCATCACTGGTTATTCTATCCATTGTAGCACTGACTCTATCCTTAGCTGATTTTTTGGTATCACTTAGAATAGCTTGACCAGTTGAAAGTGCTTGCTCTCCCAAATATCTCAAAATCGGCATAATTTTTGACATGAAAAATCTGCCAAAGAACCCATTACCTCTCTGATAACGAGTTCCCGCAAATATTTGAAGGGGTAAACCTGTCCCCGCTTGATTCAAATAATAGGTTTCCATTTTCGGCGAAAGTGTAAAACAACAACTACTCGGCCTTGTCTGAACTTAATGTCCTGGCCTGAATCATCCTTTATATTAATCATTATTCTATCAATCTCTTTGCTTGCTAAGGGTTGGTAATATGGTTGTGTATAAATCAAATTTATATCTTCACCAAACTTTTCGCCCGCTATTCTTATAGATCTGAGAAACTGAGCATAAGTATTTCCTACTACAGATGGTTCAACGACATCTGAATATATCATAAGATTGTGAACACCACCAGAAAGATCATAATGATGTTGAGCTTTTCTTTGCATGTAACCATTGTCAAAAATTGTTTGAAAGTTTGAGTATCTAGTTAATACTCCAAATCTTTCATTCTCTAAGTTATATGAGGAAAATCCAAGCATGTACTCGAGTTGCTGCCCCAGATGTACTAAAACATTTCTTTCTGATGCAGTTCCTCCAATCTTAGGAATAGAAATTGGCCAACTTGTTGCGTGATATATCCTTGTTGTGAATTGACGACAAGATATGGTGCATGTTTGACATGTCCTGTCCGACTGAGCACTTTGATCATCTCTGCGTTTATCACATCACACAGATCGTGAATACTCGTGTATGAACCCGGTTGTAAATCTAATATGAATTCTTCAAAATCTATTTCTTCAAGGAATCTTCCTGACTCCGGCGTTGGAGTATCTACAAAATTGTTAAACGTTGTGGTTCGGAAATATTATACCAACTGCGGGTGTATGTTATCTCTGCTAACCCAACCACCCAATCGTCATCAACTTTTAATGTATTTGGTAAATAAGTCACATAAGAGCCTATAGTATTATCAGCATAGCTTTTTACGTTACTTGGTAATGTTAAATAAAATGAATCAGACATGTCTTCTTATTTTAAATCAAATTGGATTTATTTTATTAGCTTTATATAGAAATTGGTTCAGCTTTTTGTTTAAACTTTGGAGTAGGTAGAATACATCCTAAAGACATCGTCAAAAGCCCTAACCAAAGTCGTTGGTCTCCTAAATTCAAAGACAAATTTATCATCGAAATTATCGATATCAAAAACAGCGTTAATACTTGAATAATAAAGAGAAATAAGTGAGGATTTTTCACGCCAATCTCCGAATGTCCTGAGATGGTATCCATGAGTTGTAACTGCTTGAATAACCTAACCACTTTACAAAGTAATACACACGCCCCCTAACTGTTTTTCTTTTTATAATCTTCTCAATTCGATGCTCGTCTTCAGATACTTCTTGAAGCTCTTCATGGTAAAATTTCCTTTCCATAGGTGTTCCATTGTGTTCTCTTAATAAGTACAAAGGTTTTTCTTTGCTTTTGTCAATAGAAGATATTGTATAGATATGTTCAGACCAGTTAGGATAGAATGATTTATCAAACGGGCCAAGCTCATATTTAATCCGTACTTTTGAACCTACTTCAAACACCTTTGGAGATATTGTTTTCTGATCTTTCACCATTTCAAGGAGGCTATCATAACCATACAAATTCCTGAAGACATCATTCGAGTTAGAATTTGTCACAGAATTAGGTGCCATTTTAATTGATCGATGAAAATCAGCGTTATAACTTTCCACTAGTTTTGGTAACACATCTGTGTACTTTCTGGTTCCCTTAAAAGTGAAGTATTTGAACATTTTACCTTTAAGGGTTCTGTTAAATCTTTCAACAATAGCACATTTGATATTACTGTTTTTCGTTGAATAATGTCTAATAGATTCATTATCAAGAAGAGTTTTAAAACTGCTATTGAGAAACTCTTTGCCTTTATCTGTACGTAAAGACTCAGGCTTTCTATTTTTAAAGAGTTTTCGGAAAATCTCTGTAACTGCAATACCTGTTTTTGCGTGTACTGGAATAGCCCAAGCATACTTGCTGAAACAATCTATTATCGTTAGAATGTATCTTAACCCCTTGTTCTGACGCGAAAACTCTTGCATTTCAACTAAATCTGCTTCCCATTGTTCATCGATTGCACAGACCACTATTTTATTTCGCTTAAATTTTTTCCGAGCTTGTTTATGCAAAGTGTATGTAAGCTGTGTTTTTAACCAGTTTTTCACATGATTTATCGTGATTTCAGGAATTAGCTCTTTTGCAGCAATGTAAAGTTTATTGACTGAAGATAGCGATCCAGTTTTTTCGACATTGTAATACAATCGTTTTAAAACTGTTTCAATTTTTTCATTCGCTGATTCTACACCATTTTGATGAACTGAAGTATGAGTTACCATTTTGTCCGTCGAACTTCTTTTTCTTGTCTGCAATCCTGTCAGAAAATCTTATGTTGTCGTATAAGTTTTCAACTAATTTTCTTTTTCTCGGATTTCGAGATTTTTTCACTATCCCTGCATCAGATTCGTGTGTTGCGATTTCATCAATTGGTTCAGCATAAATATTAGGAAACGTAACCGGAAATGAATAGGATGGAGGGGGTCTGCTATCAATGATGATACTTCTCTTTTTATGGTTTGATTTCAACAATTTTTTCAATGACTTGTGTAACACATCACTAGGTAATATGTTACTTCTTCTTAATATGGTCACCAAACTGGTTGGCCATAGAATCGGTGAGTTTTCTTCAGTAACAGCCGAAATCAAATACTTAAGTAAATTAGTGTTCTTGATTTCAGACCCATTAATAACCAGATTCATCTTTTCATTATAAACACCTGAAAATGCTAGTTTCAGACTCAACTTGAGAATTTTCCGTACAAAAATAGGATTGAGTGCGTTTTGTACAATGGCTGATTTTTCTTCTGATTGAGGTAAAGTTCCGATTTTGGCAGTGATGAGAGGATATTCTTTTTTAACAATTTCAGCCATTTATTAAAGATGTCAAGAGTGAAACAACTGCCGGGATAATGATCGGAAGATAGCCTCCACTTTGCGTTATGTACTTTTTTCTTCTCGATACTGATTTATCTTTCACTATGTTCAAAATATCATGCTTGTACCTGGCTAGTTGTTTCTTTTCTTTATCCGTAAGCTTGACGTTTTTATTAACTATATTCAACATCACTTCTTTGATTGCTTTATATAGCAACGGATCTGCTTTGTATTGATCGTGGAGAAAAGCTGTTCTCAGTTTTTTACTCTTTATCATTGAAGCTATTTTCAAAAGATTTAGATAGTCTTCTATATTGATTGACATTATATCTCATAAACTGTAACAGAATGATTCAATGACAATGGAATTATATTAGTCTGAACACGAAATTTCTCAGGTGTTTGAGGAGTAAGATCCACCTTTATATAACTATAAGGTAAAGCTGTTGCGTCTTCATAGGCTGCAACAAACTTTTTGATATTAATTGGATAAAGTTGTCGAGCCAACGCATAGATTTGTGCTTTGTCACGAGGATTTTTCATTAGTATAAGATAATGACAGTTCAGACTTATATTTCTCATATTCTTACCCTGATGAAATATATTCTGCACTATAAAAATGACGGAAACTCCTAAATGATGACTTCCTTTCGTGAAAAGATGCATGAGTTTCGGATCATCACCGCATTCATGCATAAGATCGTCAATGATAATGAGATCGTAACCGGAAGAATCTTCTATCATCCCTTGATGATGTTGTATATCTTTATGTTTAGAATAACGATCTTGCCATTGACCATAACACCACAGTATTTTAGAATTCTCATTTAATGAAGGTATTAATATATTTCTATGATGAATTATTCTTTCTACTAAGACCGTTTTCCCGCTTGATGTAGGTCCTGCTATCATACATGTGAATGGGTGTTTGAAAATAAAATTTGACATAGTGACACAAAAGTAATAAGTTTCAATTCTTTTTATTAAAGATTCGAATTTCATCGTAAGTTCAAGGATCAACTGAAAAATACAAAGCTTGGTTTTAGTCATCAATACTCGAATTCCATTTTCGCTTGTTAGATTTTAGCTGTGTCTTACCATCAACAATTTCTAAATTGTCCTGCTTCCAAACTTCCTTAAAATGGTTGCGAATATCCATGAGAGCCAATCCATAAGCCAGGATTATCAACAGCAGCGTCAAGGATATCACATCCTATTCCGAGAGTTGTTTCTTCAGCGTCACAGTAGACGATTATGCCAGTTCCTGTAACCATTAGTCTGTGTTGAAGCCATCGGCTCACAGAGTATTTAGAGTACAATAACGCTGTCAACTCACTGTATATGTTTTTACGCCAATTCGAATTTTTCTCCACAAACTGATCCATGTACCGAGAAACAGAGAATACCCACTGATCATTGTGTTTAAACGGATGTTCATATTTAGGAGCCATCCATTTGTGTGTGTTTGTGAGATCAGTGCTGATTTTGAAGAACTCACTATAACCACTGAATGAAACTTTTCCAACAATTGGCTTGGGAGATGAAACTTGAGAACTCATGTTTTTCAAAAAAAAAGGACACAGAGTAACTTTAACTTTGAACTGAAAACTTTAAATGGACACAGAGTAGAAGATAAAGTACAACTTCACAAGATGAAACAAGAAAATGTAATGAATACAAAAAATAAAATGTGTCTCTATTTATACCAAAACTGACGATAGCTGCGCCTCCTGGTTCATCCAGCCTTCGGTATCATTCAAAAGCGTTTCCAATGTTAACTGCTATAATAAAGTAATAAAACAAATGTCATTTATTAGTGCCATAAAGTTTGGAATACTATAGTTCTTTGTTTCTATTTTACAGCACCTGGATTTTATTGCTTACAAAAGAAAAGTTTAATGTTGTTTTCAAAATATGATGAAATTTTGTATACATTGTAATAGGTTGACTATTTACATTTAAAAGTTATTTATTTATATCCGTAGGGCAAAGTATTATTGCCTATTACTCTTCGTTTTTCAGAAACTGCTCTATATATTTTTTCAAACTTCTTAGTGCAAACTTTATGAGTGTACTTATCAGATTCGATATTAGTTTGCTTAACAGAAATGGATGATTGCTCTCCGTTGGTATAATCTTCTGCCATTTTACAAAGTTTCTGTAATGTGATAAGTTCCAGAGCTTTTGAAGTGAGTTTTATTCCTTTAACTTTTATGACCGTTTTCTTTTCACCAGTTGGAGACGTTACTTCGTAAGCGTAATTTTTGGGACCAAGCGTAACAAATTTATTACAGTAATAGCCATCAGGAATTTCATCAGTAAGTTCGCCGAGGTAATCTCCGCATTTAACAACCGGATCATTTTCTTGTTCGATAAATACAACTGAATCAGTGTCGAAATACAATACACGTCCTGGTCTAATAGACTCTATAGTTTGTATCAGATTGAAGAGCTCCAACCTTGCATAAGCTGTAACAAAACTCGCCACAGCAATGTTTGATTTAGATGATGATATTTCAGCTTCATAATCAGCAGCTACTTTATGCTGGATGAGAATAACCTCAGGTGATGCTTCAAAAATACCCATTATTTCAAGAGTGTCATCATTCATCTTTCTCCAAAGCTCAGCATAGTTTCTGACGATAGATGTTTGCATTAAATTATGATTTTGCGCAAACTTTCCCCAGAGACTGTTCAACATCAGCTTTGCAATACTCCTTTTGCCAGGATTCTTTGATATTTCCGTTTTTTCTAGTCCAATTTTTTCATGCTGCTCATAGTCATTTATATATTTTGTTTGAGAAGCTTCGTCTGTACACCATGTAGGCCAACCACTGGCTTGCTGTTTTATCTTAAGCCACATTGCTATATAATCATTAAAAAGATTCGGTGTTCGATCATACTGGAGAATTTGGTAGATCTTAATTATTTGATAACCGTTTTTAACTGCTACATTGAGCTCTTCAGATGTCCAAGTGTTTGTTATCATTCTTTCTTGGTCTGTATGATTGCAGCTTAAATTCGCTCTTGTATTCAAACAGGAAAAACAAAGAGGAAAAATAAGTTTTTTGCTGAATCTCAATGGCAAAACGGGGATATTTAACTTTTCAGGAGGTAAAACTTTGCATTTGATGAAGCCAAAGTACTTGGAGACATCATTTGAAAACCCTTCTTCAATAAGTTTTGGGTGTCCTGCTGGAAAGGAATTCTTTTTGAGAACATGAGGATATAATGATGTGAAATCTAGATAACGGATTTTTTCGTTTGGTAAACATTCATGATAAAATTTGATGTTATTTGTTCTCCCACCGAAGAAACTTTCTTTGATATTTATTGATCCGGTTTCTTTTATCTCATATCGATGTTTAATTCTAGTAGATATGTACTCCTCTTTTCTAATTTTGTTGAAGTCATGTTCCCATATCTCGGTCAAGTTGAATCCTCTCTGGTTATAATATGATCGTTTGTTTTGAAGACGTTTGAATAGTTCTGAATATGTTGTTGGTTCACTCAGAAGAGTATTGATACCATCATCAGGATAACAATCGGGGCAACCATGGAAAAAACATCCGTAAAATTCATAAACGCGGTTTTGTTCTTTGACGAACCCATCAGCATAGAACGGTCCAATTTTAAATTCCCTCTGAATTATGAATTGGTTACCTAAAATATTTTGTTGGTAGTCTAACCAAACAGCTGCTGAGATTGATTGTAATCTGGAACAATAACCATCAATCGGACTTATCGCAAGCAGTTTCGGAGGAGAAGCTTCCCGAAGAATTTCCATTGCTACAGAAGCCAAGGTAAATCTTCTTTTATGGGGTTAAGGTCTGTTATTTGCTTGAAAAGCGTAATGAATTTCATCATTGCCGTCGTCAATATATCCACATCCGACCTACAGTACTGTACAATTTCTGTCTGCATATCAAAACGTAGTCTTCGTTTTGCTGAGCCAAGTACCAAGTTTTGAATTCTTTTGCATGATTGGTTTCATATCATCAAACCCGTAAAACTCTATCGCAGGTAATGTTCCTTTGTAGTTTTGGTTTGCCTTTGTGTTGAAATAATGAGGAAAGAATCCTTTTTTCATTTCTGATATGTTAAATGACTTGCAGAGAGAAGAAAGCGGCTGTTGTAGTAATGAAAGTGAATCAACAAAACGTAAATTTTCAACCTTGATGTAAACAAGCTTGGACCCCTGCATTATTATTTCAGGAATCGCTTGGAAGTTTCGAGAGTAAAAGTCCTGAATCAAGAAATGGCCATCATATCCTTTTTGGTTATGTGCAATAACAGTCACAGTTGCTGATCTTTTTCTCGCTTTTTGAGCTGCTTCCTCGTAGAGATAACTGCAGAAATTTTTAACACACTCAGATCCTTTGAAGATTTGATACCCTATTCCACAAATATCACATTTCTCAGTCCTTTTTTTGTATGTTTCTAAATCAAAACAAAAAGTGCATAATGTATTACATATGAGTAAATTTGGAGAGTGGAAGCTTGGAGTATCATCAGGTTCTTGGCTGGCTTCGATATCGTAAAATATTAGGACAGAATAAGCTTCATCTTGTTCTAATAGCTTTTTGAGGTCCAGAGGCGTAAGATAACAATAATGCGGTGTGACTGTGTAAGTATCTTCACATTTTTCGCAGTGATAAACATCACAAATATGAGGATCTTTGGTACCATGAATTATCCAACACTTTGAACATTTGATCTTTGCCATACATATCTTTTTCAGAAGATGATTTTCATAACAAACATTGTTTTTGAACTCAAGTTTGCAACGGATGCAACTAAGAGGTTCTGACTCAAAACATGGAGGATTGCTATTACATTGAGCACATGAGTCGAAGCAGAAATGTTGATTCAGCCTATGTTTTATCCAACATCTAACACAAAATGCTTCATACTGCATATATCCTTTGATATTGGTGATTAAATTATAATGATCAGCCAGATTTTCGAGGATAATCTTTTTAACAGCATCTGGTCCTTTGAAAAGTGGCAGTTTGTCCTTGAATCAACAACAATGATTTGATATGATGGTAATTTCTGTTGAATTTCGCTGATTTTGTCCATATTAACAGCTTTGTCGATATCTATAGATAGCTCACTGAAAAGCTGTGCGGCTAACAATTTCTGGTGTTTATTATAACGAATCAGCGCAGACCATTGAGCACTTTGCCCCTTATGCATATCTGCTAAGAATTTACCAACTGCTAGAGCGTAATATCCACAAAACTCGTCTTTGTTCTTAATACATACAGTTGAGCGACGTTTTGTTGAAAGATTATCTGGAGGTAATAACTGTGATAACCTTCGTCCAGATCCTGACACGTTTTCATAATTTTCATCATGATTTCTAATGCTTTACCATCTAAAATGCACCGCTAGATTGAGCGAGTTTTTCCTCTAGCTAGAAATTCTGTTTTATCGAAATTTGAAGCTCTGAAGTTAATGTAAAGTTGACGACCATCTCTAGGATTAGAAAAGGTTAAATTAACAATGTCCGCTGGTGCAGCTTCAGCAATGTGGAGCTGTATGAACCGTTCATAAGCAGCATTTATTGCGTCTGAAATGTTCAAGAAATCTAAACGCTGTACTGATGTAGCATTGCCTATTTGTACTTTGAGTAGCTTAGTTAATGTGTGAAACCGTGAGTTGGTTTTCCAACCACTATCACTTACCACTTCGAATTCGATTTCAGGTTCTATACCAAATCCAATTTGATTTTCAGCATCACTTTCTTGTGAATTTATGGAGAAACATGGTGAAGATGGTGCTGATATGGTTATGGTGCGTGAATCATCAAGAGAGTAACTGTCAAGAGCAATCGGTGTTTCTGTTAAGGATTCAGGATCAGGATAGATAATTTCGTCGATAACTAAATCTGGAGTTGTTCTTTCACTTGGCGATGATGCATGAATATCCGAAAGAGGGCGGTATTCAGCCTCACGGCAGAGCTGATCAGCTTCATCGTCTATCATAAGAATATCCTCTGGAAGCTCTATGTTGGCACAAATTTCGTCATCTTCTCGGTTAGCTAGATGAGCGTCAAGTAAAAGTTCATCATAATTTGATGGATAAGTAAATTTGTGAGCCATTACTATGAACTTAAGGTGATGAAACGAGCGTGTGAATATTATCGATGAAAACAAAAAAGGGATGAAATAAACTAATGTTAATAGCGATGATAAATAGCATGAATTTTATACTAGATAGTTGTTGACTTACCGATAACTGTATAAAATGGAATCCAAAAATAAAGGCTGTGATTAACACTGAAAGTAACCGAAGCAGATAGAAATCACAGGGTGGAAAGAGCAAGAGAGGTTAATCACAAGGAAAGAGAGAGGCACAAGTAAAGAGAGAGAGACACAAGTAAAGAGAGAGAGAGAGACACAGGTAAAGAGAGAGAGAGACACAAATAAAGAGAGAGAGACACAAATAAAGAGAGAGACACAAATAAAGAGAGAGACACAAATAAAGAGAGAGACACAAGTAAAGAGAGAGAGAGAGACACAAGTAAAGAGAGAGAGACACACAAGTAAAGAGAGAGACACAAAGAAAGGGGAGAGACACAAAACTAAACGTTGAGGATGGTTGGGGAAAACACAAAAGGCACAAAGGTAACTTGAAGGGAATCACAAGGATGAGAACAAAATCAAGACTGACAAACTTTTGGTTTTCGCTTTGCTTTATAAAGGGAATTAGGAGGAGTCATTTCTGCGCTGTTTCATATTCTAGAACAAACAATAGAAGAATTGCTTGTTTATGAGATGTACATTATACTTTGCTTTATCGAATGTAAAAGACAGTAAAGCTATAAATGAAATATAATAAAAGAAACAATTGAACCACTTTAAACTTTTGTCATATGCATTCAGATGTTCAAGTGACTTTAGTAATAAATTGTAAAATTATTCCTTTCAATTATCATCTTTGTTAGCAGTCTGCAGATGTTGGAATTACTTTAACTAATAAATCGTATCAATTGTTTAAAACTTTTTCCTGTTATGTTAGCGTTAAAATGTTTAAGTGACTTTAGTAATAAATTGAAACAATCAATCCATAACATTTTCTTGTATTTAACATTAACGTTGATTTGTTTGAGTGATCTTAGCAATCAGCTATTAGTTATATTGATTCACTTTATTTTATTATCAATTATTGCATTTCCGAACGTTAATGGACAAAACTGCCTGAGGCTACGCCAGTTTATGACTCTTTTAAAATTTAGTCTTGGCCATATAATTTTATTTTTTCATTCACAGACTCCTCCTCTTTCACGTTATGCTACATACCTACTACTTCTAAATTTTCTCGAACAGTAAGATCTTCGAATAGTAAATCATTTTGAGGACACAAAGCGAGACTCTGACGAGCAGCTAACGTGTTCGTATGAACATCAATATCATTTACATAAATACTACCAGATGAAGGTTTTAATATTCCAGTGATCATGGACATTGTGGTCGTTTTTCCAGCACCATTGGGACCCAAAAGTACAGTTATTTGACCCTTGAGAATATTAACATTGAGACCATTAACTGCGAACTCTTTCGAACCTGTTGGCCCAAACGATTTGTACAAGTCGTTACAACGAATACTTGGTCTCAGATTTCCCATTACTGGTTCATTATTATTACCAATATCCTGGTTTCGATTAGCACCGCTTTGTAATTCACTCATACCAAGCGCTGATCTATTGATTGATCTATTTTCCCCTTTTCTTGTTAAAAATTCTGAGATAGGAAAATGCCATGGCTTAGGTGAACCAATTTGCCAAGGCCAAACTGAGTCTAGATAATAGATGAGTCCAATGTACAATATCCAAGAGAAAATGGTAACAAGATAAATGGTACTAAAACTAACTGTATCAGCAACACCAGTGTACTTGAAGAGGTGCGAGAAAGACAATTGTCCTTCAACTTGACCAAAGTAAAACATATCATAGAGCGAAAAATGTAACTGACCACATGGAAGTAAGCAAGAGAGTACTTTAGGAAGTACTGACGATGTTTTCGCAGCAAAAGGGATATTAGATGAAACTACTTGACCAACAAGAACGATAAAAACACCAGCAACAGGTCGAGAAAGTATCGTTGTAAAGGTAAAGGTAAATAAGATATTGGTGACACTATCGGTTAGATAATTGAACCAGAAAATACCAGCATTCCAACCAGGGAATGGGGTCTCACTAGATACAGAATATATAAAAGTTATTACCGACCCATGGAAGACACTTAGAGTGAAATAATCGACAAAATGTGAGACCCAATAAACGATATCACTTAGACCAATAATTCGTAGTAAATCCTTTGACTTGGTCACTTTTTCTCGAAGTAGAGTTTTGGTCATTACAATTGATAGATAAATAAAACCAATCTCAATGAATATGTAAGATAAATAGAAATCAGTAGCTTTAACTAGTGAAATTGGTTCCGTTTTCTCATCCGATTTGGTATTCATTCTTATGTGACCTGATTTAGGATTACCTTCTTGAAATAGTTTATCGGTGAAATCGTAATAGAAATCTGATTCTCTGAACTTTGCGTAATTGGGATAAAAGGCTAACAATTCATTGATTACCGACTGTGCGTCGATATATTCTAAAAATGGTATATATCGTCGATCAGTCCATGGACCAGGATAATAGAAAGAGTTGCCACCGAGTGAGTAATTGGCGCGACCCAAAACTGGATCAAGTTCGTGGAAAAAAAGACCATTGTCTACTGATAAATGTTCAGACTCAATTCGATCTCCCCAAGCTTTGATCACTTCTTTATCTTCAGCTAAGCGAACTGTTTCAGCTCCACATTTTTCCTTCGACAATCCAAGGAAATCGGGTGTAGATCCATCAGGTAATGCATAGAAAATTGTTTTTCCAACGATATAACAGTAGAACGTATGAAAATAGTAACGATCGTTTGATGCAATTATAACTGAAGATTCACCGAAAGGTTCTGGGGATTGATCAAGATCGGGAAAAAGGTAAAGTTGAACCAAAACCATAACGATCGGGAAGATTAGTTCCCAAAAGGTGAGAGTATAAAGTCGCCGTCGAATAGTCCAATCTTTTTTGTACATACATTTAAATTGTTCCCAATGCAACAATCTCATTTTGAAGAGACACTCGTAAGACTAAAATTGATAACAATAAACTATTAACTTTTCAAATCAACCAAATGAAATAACTTATTGAAATTCAACATGAAAGTAAACATGCATTTATATTCATTTACTATTGGTTTGATTGATCAGATTAATCCAATAGAATAATTAATCATAACATAACTTGATTATTAAAATGATTGGATGGTGAAATCAGTCAATCAGAGGGAGGATAATTGAATAACACAATCTAATCACGAACTATTTTTACCAAGAAATTTATTATGATATCAATGTGATTACTGAATCAATTAGATAGTTGCCTGGAATTAATCAACAATCACCAGATAAAGTTTGTTATTAAAATGTATTTGTTATAACAGTGTGATAGGTACAAGAGACCAATTTGTCCGATTTCAAGATTAACTGCAATTCAAACTTAATAACATATTATTATAATATATTATTAATATTAATAATAATGATATTAGGGTGTTCAGGACAAACTGAGCCGACTTTATAATTAAATGACTTTTAAACTACTTGATTGATTCAGCAAATATTGGAATATTTTATAGAGAATGGTTCTAGTTTTGTATTACAGTCTATGAGAATTTTTTTACATTTAAGTTGATTGGTTTTCGAAGATTCGAAAAAAATATTGAATCGACGAAAAATCCTCTTTTAAGGAGTTCGAAAGGTCCTGGCGAATTTATTTTTGGTCCAATTTTTTTGTAAGATGACCAATCAAATGCACTAATTACCTGTAGTAATTTTCACTAATTAAATTAAAGAAAATTAATAAGATAAAAATTTAGTGAGTGATCGAAGCCAAAAAAGTCGAAACATCTTCCACATGAATCAAAGCGGAGTATTAATAATACTTTATGCTCATAATTGACTTTTTTTTACATTATTTTCAATGATTAACAAATTAGTGTCTTAATTAACTAATGACTTTTTTGTACCAATATTATTTCTTATGTTTGAATATTATATTCAAATAAAAGGGACTTAAATCTAAATATTGGTAATTATTTGCTTAAAAATGAAATTGGCTCAGAACAACCGAATAATATAAATAGTTCAAAGAAATGAGATCGTAAATTGAGCGTTAATTGAATTTACTAATTAGTATCATGGTACTTTAATAAAGGAATCACAGTGAAATCAATCAAATAGAGGGAGGAAAATTTTTAACAAGAAAAATGATTGAATAAGTTTATAGATAATCAGTCACGTTCATTATGTAGAGGAACATAGTCCAACACATAACCAGAACTGATAACTATTCAATCTGTTTGGTTGGAATTATCATATTCTGATTCAAGTTTTCATATTTGGATTAGTAATTCGTTATTTTGAAGATTATGTCTTCACGTTATCTTCAACAATTAACAAATTTCGGCCTTATTACAACTTTTTGCACTAATATAGTTTCTAATGTTTAAATATTATATTTAAATAGAAATGAATTTGATCTAATAATCAGAAACAAGCGTAAGTTTGTTTATTTGAGAGACCCGAGTGTTTGAATACAGACATATTGGGATAACAATAATTTTCTAACTGTTTTTCTTAATAATCAAGAATTCAAGAAAGTCCATTCTTACATTATCCATTTTTACATTGACCTTTTAGTTACTCTCTCTCTTTTCCTCTCTCATGTCTCATTTACCTGAAGATTAACTCATTGATAAGTAAACATTTGAACAACTGAAAACTTTCTTTGACTAAATATTATAATACAATATTGGATCTTGTGGTTACTATGATTTATCGATGAGATTTCCAAGTCGAATAGGTTGAGAAAATTAAAATGTTCAAAAGTAACGATTAAATTAATAAATCGAGCAACCGATAGAAAATGAAGACAAAATCGAAGCCTCTTAAACACTAAAATAATTTTCATTTGATAAAATCAAGTGCTTGTAACTTATGTATAAAATTACTTTTACAATAGATCATTTTGATTGCAAGTACTCCTGAGAGAATGGATAGGATTGTGATAATCAAAAGACAATTGAATCATTTATTATTAATCCATCATGCAGTTATTTGATTTTCTTTGATTTGTATTGACTGCGAATTCATTGTGCATTTGAACGGTGATCTATTTGTCTGTCACAATCGATGAGTTTTACAATGCCACATTGATACGGTTGTTTTTCATGATAGGCCCAAGTTTGGAGGATAAGCTGAGATCGGTGAGAGATTTGCTTTCTGACCATCATTTTCGAATTTCTTTAGCTCAAGCTCTTTGTATATACGCCGACAAAAGATCGCTTTCAAAGACGGTGGTCGGTCTACTTCTGTCAAGATGTTCGGTCTCTTTAAGTTTAATGTCTCATGAGCTCGGCGATACTCTCGGTCAAAGTGATCTAAAGAAAAAAGTTCAATTAGAATACATAAAAAAGTAAAATTTTTTTCGTTGAGCTTTTCTTACTTTGATCGATATTCTCTCGGCCCATAGCAACGAAAGATAAATAAAGAAGATCCCGATACATGCTGAAGTGCTTTATATTACCATTCGAGCCTTTTTTAAGTCTCTCATTGACCAGGACGTTCATAGCACTAATCATGTCATTACACTGTAAAGATTTGATTATTTGATTCATCAGACTTTTCCTGATTTTCCTTTCATCAGTAACTAATGCATGAAGTAATGAAGAATGGTCCGCATCTTGAAAAAAATAAAATGAAGTTAAAAAATTGCGATGAATTATTCTTAATCTAATATTTACTTGTATCTTGCCAAAGTCCGTACATTGGATGCTCGAATTCTTTATGAAGCTTAGGATTGTCCCAAATACAATGAACTTTGACATTACGAAAATCTAGACTATTCCAATAATCGTCTCGCTGTTATAAGAAAGAAAAAAATCAAGTTCAGAAAATGAAAAAGAATTGAACAAATATCATATTACCTCTTTGCTCATTAACAAGGACGATTGAAGACAAAGTCCCGAGATATGTGATGGTAAATTGATCCGTTCGAAATACCAAAGAAGATTCCAATAAATAATTGGATGATCATCAACAAATTGAGGTTTGAGAACGCAATTATCTCCTTCACTTTCGAGAACATTTTCAAACTCTTTTCTTAATACTGTTGGACTTAGATATGGGACAGTGGAGGGTTCCATCATTTCATAGTTCGATGTAAACTCCGATTCATGAGGCAAAAGTTGATTTGATAAGCTTATTGGCCCAGTTTGCTTGGCACTGCTCAATGGATCGGTAAAATGTCTGGTTCACTGGCTGATCTAAAGTTACAAGACAAAAAGTAGAATTGTTAAACTGCAATTATCACCAATAGTAAATCGACTTACATGTCAATTATTGTTCCTCCTTGATTATCTTTTTGAGGTTTATCACAAGATTTATTAACAATAGAAAGTACCTGAGGAAAAAGTTCAAATATGTAAGTACATTTAATATTGAATAGATTCATTAATTGAACTCACTTTTAAAGTTATAGTTAATAGAGGGACGAAACGAGAGTTACAAAAGCAGCATTGGGTGTTCAAATTAGAATCATCAGCTGACCATGATTCCATGATTTCTTCATCATAAAGAATAGCAGAGCAGCTTAAACACCGACAACAAGAAGTAATTTCTATGTCAACAACAGGAAGCGAATTGTCACTTGGAATCAATTTCTCATGATAATGCTTTTCGATTGTCTCAAAAAGAGGAGGACAAACATTTGTATTTTGATGAGTGAAACCGAATCCAACCAAATTCCTTCCGAGACTTCCTTCTCTTGATCTTTCACTAAGATCATCAGCACTATCGGCAATACTGAGTCGTTTGAAATCGAGAGATCGCAAACTTTGACTGTCTTCATCATCGTAACCAAAATTGGCGGGAATCTTTTCGGCAACTAGACTAGCGAATTGGGAAAGTAAAAGGGCCGGACCACTGACCCCAGAAGAATAAGAATTATCTTTAAATACTTTGGACGGTGAATTTGTTGCTGAAGAAGCGAGAGTATTCTTAATTCCTGTAAAACGATTTGCCATTGTACTGGCAGCGGATTTGATTGTCGAATTGACAAGTTCGAGATGCTTAGAAGAGGTTAACTTAGCTGTCCAAGGCGAACTCAGACTGTTCAAGTAAGATTTGTCATCATTTTCATCGGACAAATTATTTGTCGATGAAACTTTCTCTTTACTCTCAATGTTCGGAGTAATAGAAGGAAGAACATCAAGAGATGATGATGGTAGAGTTGCTGAGCGAGCCAAAGACGGTTTAGTACTTGCATCAATCTGATCAGTATCTTCACTTTTTGTTTTGAACAAACTGTTGAACTTATTGCTGAGCTTTTGGCGGACCAAACCACCAGATGAATTGGCATGAAATGTGGAGCTGCGAGTTATGGGCGGTACAGATTTAGATGCTGATGTAGGGCCAACAGCCAGGCGAGTGGCGAGGCGAAAACTAGAACGCAAAGTTGAAGCTACTCGTCCTTCAGGGGAGAAAATGCTCATATTCATGATATGATCTTTGATTGGACTTAAAGAAAATAGATTTTCTGTTTCTTCATCACTATCCATATCACTTTCACTTCCAGATTCTTCTTGTTCTTCCTCCTCTGTTCCATCTCTTGAACCTGATTTAGATGACGTTTGTTGAGATGCCTGTGAATCTGGTGTTTGATTACCTGATTGATTTCCATTACAAACTACATCTTCTTCAGGCAATTCTGTGCAAGTTGCAAGACGACATTTATCAGTAAGAGATGAGCCAATGTTAGTAGAAATGACTCCTGATGATTTCTCTCCAGTTCCATCGTCATTTAATGATTTAGTGAGAATCTGATTTAATGGATCACAACCTTTTTCCATTTCTTTTAATGCTTCAATTGTCCCTTCTCTTATATTTTGAATGATTTTTGCATCATTGCCAAAACTGAACGATCTAAAGTAAGATGGTTTTGTTGGGCATTTAATTGGTTCACAAGTACACGGATTAGAATTTGATAAAGGTGAAACAGGAGAAGGCTGATTTTGATCCTCACTTTTGTGTCTTTTTCTAATTACTCGATAATCTTTCATCGTTAAACCATTGAAAGAATCCTTATTAGAAGTTAAACTTGTCATCAAAACACCAGCAGAACTATTGTAATCCTCGAAGCAAGAAAGACTAGATGAATTACGAACAATGCTACGAGTTCTAGTACGGAATTCACTCAAACTTTGGTTGAGTTTCATATCCACCATAGTTGATGTTTTAGAACTTTTTCCAGTTGATTTTTTATTTGCACCATCTAAATCTATTTCAGCATTATTGAATGATGACCCATAACCAGCATCTGATTGATTAGAGGCTGCTTTTTCGAGAGAGTTCAGATTCTGACTTTGTGAATTGACTTCTTCTATCGGACTTGAAAAACATCTTCTTTGATTGTCTGGTAAACCCCTGAACGAGATTGAGCAGATTTACCACATCTTCTGAATTCAGATACTCCTAAAATGACATTGCGAAGTTTTTTCCACATGAGAGAAGCACTAGAATCCCCTGAAGGCCATTTACTCTCGAGTACAGCTTTGTTGTAGTGACCATAGGTGATTGCATTAGGAGTGACCCCACATCGACGCATCTCGGTGAGCACTTTCACGGCAAGAATGGGTTGACTGTAGAGTCCACATAAAAGCATGAGTATTCTGTAACAAACTTCATCAACCGGGTGAAGATTCAAAGCTTGCATCCTTTCAAGGACAGAATATGCGATTCTCAACTGTTTTGCTTTCGTCATGCCAGAAATGTTTGCTTCAACAAATGATGGGAGATGAATGAACCATAAACTGTAACAATAACTAACAAGACATTTGGCCCAAGTCAGTGGAGCTTCTGAATGATGACGAGCGATTCTTTGAGCACTTCGAATCTCTTGTTTAGTTCTTCGAGACATTGGACTGGTTAAACCGACTGTTGATCCAGTGCGTGAAAGGTTAGAAGCATCAACTGTATCTTGATCATAAGACTTTTTTGTCAATATTGGATGTCTATGGAATAATGAAATATCGAGAGTGGGAAAACAGGAATATAAATAACTCTTTTCTGATACTGGTTCAGGGGCGGGAATGAATACTGTTCGGTCATTGTGAGAAGATTCATCGATGTCCAGCAGATGAATCTTAAGTGCATCTTCTAGATCCCCATGAGCTTCAATTCTATCCAAACACTCATCGAAGAAAGCAAGACTTGCGTTTTTATCACTAACAAATGAACGCTCTTCGATGAATCGAGTGAACATTTGAGTTCTCATCATTATATGATAAAATTGTTGATGATTCTTGTCTCGAGACTTGATGAATCCCTGAAAATCAAACAATGAGTTTGGATCTGTAGTTCCAATTGTTGGGGCTCTTGTGATTGGTCTTAAATAACCACGAAAACTTTTTAAAATCGAGGCCATAAATTTGACGAAAATTTCTTGTATTTCCAGATCAATCATTGTTTCACGTTTTCGAGCAGCCATAACATCATGTGAAAAGGGTGAAGTTGAATTTCTCGATTTAGATTGAGGATTATAAGTATGACTATTAGATCTTGAGCTGGGCTTAAGTAACTTTGTATAAAGTTTTTCCAATGTATTGCGAAGCACTCGAGTGGGTCTTTTGGGTAACAGTTTTATATTGAGAATCTTCTTATGCTCGGATATGTAAATTGAATTGGTGTCTAAATCAACACAGGCCACATCCAATGGTAACTCGTACATGTCAAAGTAACGTGAATCAACACCAACAATGAAGGGCAAAGGTGCATTGAGAACATCACAAAGATTGAGAGGGCAAAGTGGTATATAAGGACATTGCCAATGGAATGGAAAGACGAGAGATGTCAATGCTTCAGAGACGCTTGTTAATACGTCGGGTCTCAGTGAATGAAGCAGAATTTTTTGCTCAGCTAATACAAGCAAAAAGACGGTGATACTATTTTCAGGTCCAAGATTACGAAGAAATATTGTAAATGAAGCTCCACTCAGAGGTAAGGGAAGGTCTTCCGATGGTTGAGAAAGTAGAGCAGTTTCATCAGTAGAATTTCCTAATTGAACTTGAATCTTGGGTCTTTGAAATGATGGAAATGGCACATCCAACAAGAAATGAGAAATATATCTTTCAATGGGTAAATTATGTTCAACATTAGGTGAGCATGTCATGTGATATAAAAAAGAGAGAAATTTTTCGAAGGGTTCGAAGAAAGGCCAACGAGATAAAATGCATATCGATTTAACAGAATTAAGTGATTTGTTTGCTTTGTCTTCAATGGAAACGAAATCGAGTCGAGACTTTTCATCCTCATTCAAAAGATCCTCATTGAATTTCTCGTAAAAAGTTATTGCAGCTCCATAGACTTTAACAGCAGCATCAGAGGTTAGAACAAAAGTTGAGAAAAGTGGACGAGGTTGTTGACACTTTTTCGGCCAACATTCAACCGTTGCTCCCATTGGCATACAAAACAAAGGTATTGATTGTGGTAACGAGTAACAGTCGTAATCAACCAAAGGAAATCGGTCGAGTATAGTTGGTTCATATCGTAAAAGAGGTGGTCTATTCATAGATTTTTTATAACATATAAATACATCGCTTCCAATGATACCCTGTGAAGGAAAATATTTCAATTCAATTAGAAATTAATATTCTAAAACTAATGTAAGAAAAGAGATTGAATGATAAAATGTCATTCGATTGTCAGAGAGCCAAACATGAAACTAAAGCTAATACTTGATCAATGAGATCGTCTTACCTTATTCAAGTTCTTGTTAATCTGACAATAAGCGTGAGGTGGAGTTTCACCCTTATTGGCGAGAACAACACAAATATCGATAACAACTAATTGATTACAAGGAGCATTTTCCTTTGCTCTTCGATATGTTAAAAATGTTCTTGAAGTACCATTGTTCACATTAGCGACTTTACCAGAGGGCGTAAAATAAACAACCTCACTGTCCGACATGACCCGTTCCTTGGCCTCATAAAGAACCCCGATGTCAACCAAAGGTGATTTGTCTGTACCTCTTTTATAACAGAGAAAAATAGTTTCAGTACGAAGGCTTCCATGGTTGAGATCAGCTGAAAATCCTAATGGTGTGGTTTCAATACATGTGTAGCCCTCGGGTACAGTTTCCCCTTGGCTTGCGATTATCACAGTTATATCAGTAATGGGAGGTAGGCCAGTGCCAGATGACCCGATTGGACTTGATAAAGAGCTAGAGTTTTCTTGAGAAAATACTGGTGCTGCAGCCGTTTGAATAGTTGGAATACCAGCAACCACGAAATAATCACAAATGCGTTTTTCATCCATACGGATTCTTTTAGAAATTTTCTGGTCACTTGGTTTTGCTCAAAAAATCACCTGATAATAGATCAGAAATGAGAGAAAATGAAGTGAATGGTGTTGATGTTGCTGACTTAGAGTCTATCGAAGTGATGAAAAGTGGTTATCATGTTGACAGTTTGTTGCAGCAAATGATTGAAATTAATCCAGTTTGGTTTGAATTTTCTGTCTCTCAGCAACTAGAAATAGAAAGATTTGAGAAATAAAAAGGTTAGTTATAAAGCATAATTGTCAGATTTTTATGAGGGAAAAGACTAAGAAAGTGAATTGTTTGAGTCGATCAATAAAACCATAAGATGAAATAAGACTACGAAAATCATTGATTGAGTTAAATGAGCGGTTTGAAGAGTTACAAGTGATAAATGAAAGACAATATCAAGAAAAATGACATGGAAGAACGTAAGCTCAAGAAGAAATTCTTAATTGTAATCACAATGATTTCTTTATCCTTAAGAATTTATCCCGTTCAAAATTCTGTCTATTCTCATATCGATTCATTGGCTAACATAAACACTAGAGACCAATCACCAATATTACCATTGGAACAGATACAGGGATGCCCTATGGGTAGTGTATGAAAGTAAAAGCTTGTTACAAGAGGACCAAAAAAGATTTTAAGAAAATTTTTTTTCAATTAGATGCGTATTATAATCAAGTTTATGATAGCAATATTCAAAATGAGCTCTTTCTTTCAAGATTTTTTTGGTCAGCAATCATTCAGAAAATTGATAGAGAAAAATAGAGCAAAAAGTTTCAAATGAGCTGCAGAAAAATCAAATAAAAAAGAATTTTCTCTCGATTCTCTTACTTGTATGCTATTCGAGGTTAATGCTAGTTCAATGATTAGTTCGATATTCAATTTAAGCACAAGATTTCGTTTTTGGTCGAATTCTACAGTTCTTTCTTCCCAAAAACGCAGTTTTCTACTAATCGATGAAATTCTATCAAAAATTCGAAATTTTTTTCTCAAAATTTGTCAAACAAAACTTGATTATATTACATAGTCAATCTCCAAAAATCATATAACCAATTTAAGTTTGAAGAAAAATATGCGAATTTACTTTCATACACTACCCATAGGGCATCCCTGTAAGTTGAAGAGATTCATTCTCGGAAAGACGACACCGTGATTTAAGAAAATATGGACGAAGAGAAAGACAAATGAAGATTAGAAGACGAAATAGAACAATCAAAATGGTGAATATGGTTAACATGATGTACCCAAGACCAAAGGAAAAGATAAATTTCTCATTGACAACACACAAAGAGTATCATGTGCACATATTGACACTTACCTTATCGATCTAAGGAGATATCAATCGTTGAAGAAAAGTGAGGTTTTTATATGTCTAAATAATTGCTAATCAACATAGCTTTTAAAACGATTATGAAATTGTTTCAAAATAACAAAAAGTCATGATAAATATGATAAATATTGGATTTATAGGTATAAATACCTGGTCTCGCCAAGAACTGTTATCATAATCTATAGAAACTGATAATATAATATATCACAATTGCACAGTTTTTTGAAACAATCAAAACAGTTGAAACTATGTAATAGTTTGATTGACGTTTAATCTACTTTAATTCACTTGATTAAAGATAAAAAGTTGATTAATTTTCTATTCTCTAGTTAATTAGATTGAAATGGTTGAGACCAGAGATTTTCTGGTTATTTGGTTGTTCCCAAGATCACCTGATGTTCACTTGACAAAAAGAACAACAGATGGAGCCAAAGTCAAATTCGATTTAGAATTTTTGAAAATTCGATTTTACTCCAATCTTATTGTTCTTTAAAGTCTTTCAATTGTTTTCGTTCATTATTTTGATTGTTACTTTAACTTTGCTCTATTTTTTAATTGTGTCTTTCATCAGATTCTAATTGGTGTTAAAGGTTCACTGTGACAATGGATTCAAGTGGTAATAATTTTGGATCAAAAATGAGTGAAAGTGAAGTGACTGATTCTGGTGTTGATGTTGGTGATTTGGAGTCTATTGAAGAGGAAAGTAGCGATCATGCTGATTTCAATTGTAGAAGTTTTAAACGGAGAGTTTTTTGTTCGGGTGATAGCTACGAAAACCTTAAAAAAGAGGATTTACTCTTTTTTGAGAGACTAGAGCGTGAAAAAGATTTAAAACGAGTCAAGAATAAATACCTGACCGACTTGTCGGACTTTGGTGAGAAAATTCAATCTCATCACTTGGCGATGAAGAGAAAAAGTGAAGTGAAAAATGAACTTTACAACTCAATTGATAAAATAATCGCCGGTTTAAAGTCTCAAATAGATTCCTGTAGTGATATCACGTCTTTAACTTTGACTATAAATGAAAATTTGTCAACCATTGTCGAAACTGAATCGTCTCATTATAACGAGTGTATCAACTTCTTTGGTGCGTTTGCCAATAGAGGAATCGATGTCTATGGATATTCTGATAAGTCCAATTTGGTGGAAAAAGTTAATATGAATAGTCAGAGAAGTACTGCCGATATCGCCACGGATTGTGTGAAGGTTCTCAACTTTCTCAAAGAAAACGGTCCATATGATGCATATGAAGATGAAATTACATCACTACGAATGTCACTCATAGAGTTACATGAGCAATTCGAGGAGTTGAGAGTGATAAACGAAATGGAAGAACAAGAAATTGAAAAACTGGACAAAGACTTAACGGTTCGAGCTGAAAAGAAAAAACTTCAAGAGCAACAAGAAGCTGAAGCAAAGAAAGCAGCCATAGAAGCTTATGAGGCAGCACGGGAGAAATTGGTCGTCATGATTTGCTCGAATACAGAAAAGCAAAAACAATATGCTGCCATTGGTGAAAAAATCGACTTCATGAGGGTGAAAATAAAGGAATTACCAGAATGCGAACAAAAACTGGATACTCTTCATGTAGAAATTACTGAAAAAGACTCAGCTCTAACGTCGTTAAAAGCCAAAAATGAGGAAACTAAAGCAAAAATAAGTGCAGAGAAAGAAAATATCGAAGCTTTGAAAAAGAAAGCTGAGATCATGGACAAAGAAAATGCTGAAAAGGTTCAGAACTTGGAAAGTAAAGTCAATAATATGGAAAGTGAACTTCATGATAAACAAGTTAAATTGAAAGAGTCAAATAAGAAGCGTGAAAGGGCACGTGAAGAATATGAGAAGACTCAGACTAGATTACAAACAATCGAGAGCCGATACAAAACCGCCAAAGACGAAGCTCGACGACAAAAAGTGATGAAAAAGAAGAACATGAAAGAAAAGCGTAAGCTCAAGGAACAGCTCACAAATGAAATCACGATGCTCTCTCTGTCCTTGGGAATTAGTCCCGTTTAAATTCTGTCCATTCTCATAATTTCCAATTCATTAACAAAAAAACTGATCTCATGTATCAATGAACAAAAAATCTGTAATAGAGACCAAAGAAAATATTTTTATTAAGAATCGAGTACAAATTCCATAACATTATAAATGGAAATAAAATGTTCAGCCAAATGATGTTAATATTAATCGACCATAAACAATTCTTTAAATCTAATTGTAAATCTATTTTCGAATTTCTTTCAACTTAATGCTGATTTTCGAAAAAAAATTATTTACTCTCATTTGATATTCTATTTCAATATTTTCATTTATTTTTTTTCTAAATTATGTTCACCATTTGTTAATTGTTTCTTTTGTTTACATCGTCATTTAGATTACATTAACCAGGTCGCTGTGATTGTCTGACTATTGGAGCGCAATCATAAACTCCTCTGATTACTTTTAATCTTAATCCAGGAACGTCTTTCGTTTTACCGAAACGGACTAAGACAACACTGTGTTCTTGTAAATTGTGACCAACACCGGGAACATAAACAATTTTTTCCACTCCAGTGGATAATTTGACTAGGACACATTTTCGATTGGCCGAATTTGGTTTCTTCGGTTTTTTAACCAACGTTCTGACCACAATTCCACGTAATTGTGGATGGCAGGCCAGAGGATGAACTCGTTTTCTCGGTTTAATCGGTCCTCTTTCATGGGTTCGCTTCAAACAGTGCAAGAAATATCTCTTATTCTCCCACCGTGTCCATAGATCTCCATATTTTTCGCGACATTCGTCGATGGTGATTCCTCTTATTGACGACCGACTAATTAAAGATGTTAATGAAAATGAGGGCAATTGATTAACAAGAGGAGAAACGAAACAATTTAATGGACTAACAAAAGCTCTAGGGATCAGCTTGGCAAGTAAAGACATGATCACATCAACCTGAAAACAAAGAAAAACATTCAATTAGAGATCACTGATTCCATGAAGAGTATAAGCTATCGCGTTAATATCACCAATAATTACTTACGAAAGTCAAGAATTGTCAACACAATCAGTAAATCACGGAAAACAACATGTAAACAAAATAATTAAAAAAAAGAAAACAAATTCAATGTTTTCAATAATTATTTTCCAATGAACAATAGATGGAGCTGCGATCACAAAGTTCAGAATTTGTATTAGTCTTGGACTTTTTATCTACTATCGGATATTTTTTCCATTGTTAAAACCTACGAATGTATATCGATAATAGATGAGAAATAAAGGATTCGAATCCAAAATTGTGATTCTTTTCCAAATCAATTGAAATAAAGTGTCAACAATTTACTAATTGTAATTTTAATTTGTTTAGTTACCTTAATTCTTATGAATGAACTACATGAAATCATCGATTACGTAAAAACAGCTGATCAATTGGAAAAAATTTCGTAATAAATGAATAACTTATTGGATTATTTATCTTTAGATAAACTTGATTGTTGAGTAAATGATAAATTGTAACAATTTTTGGTTAATTGTCTGAAGGGCAAATTTAATGTGATAATTAAATCTTTTTAAAGTATAGTAAACATGGTAATAAAAACAATTATCGAAATAAAAGTAATGAGAATCCAATCCTAAATTCATTTTTCACCGATCATCACAATTAACGATCAAATGATAAATCGTTAAACTTAATTATTACTTTCGCTCTCAATTTTTACCCTCAATCTTTAATCATGTTCATCATCATGACAACAGTTAATAAAATTTATCGTGTTTCGAATATAAAAATGGCCTTAAGTTGAAACAGCGAATGTATTTCGAGAAAGAAGAAGAAAAATAAATTATTCCAAATCAAGAATAACTTAAATCACTTTTACACCTACATTTTGCTTCTCGCAATTTAATTCTATTGTTTTAACCTCTCTCATTATCTTCATCATTTATCTTCATCTCACAAATTCATTAATAGAACTCGAGTTAATCATCCAGGTACAAATTGTCGTCTTCTTTTTTTGAAGGTCAACGTTAAAAGTTAATTTCTACAGTTCGAGTTTCTAATTCGTTTCGTTATTGTCTTCATCCTTTTTCGAACTATTTGTCTTCCTTTTTCTCTCTCACCCCTTCCCCCATTTTGACCCTTTTTCTTCATCATCCTCATCCTCTCCATCTTCTGGGTCACTGTCACCATCTTAAATTAGGCCAACAATTATGATGCTAATCGTATTCACTCATATTATTATCTTTCCGTTTCCATTATCATCTACAAATTGTCATCCGAGATGCAAATCTCATGAATATAATGGAAACCCTTTAACAATCCTGTTCGTAAATAGTGTAAACATAATCAAGATAATCATCAGACAAATTATCATCATCATCATCAACGTTATCGTGTTATCATCATCAGATTAAGTTCCATCAAGACAGAATTAGTTTAGAGAATTGGATTTAAAGATAAACTTTTCGGTTTTCTAAATATTATTTCCAATTCTAATCAGTTCTGGAAACAAAAAGTAGCAAATAATTTGAATTTATTATAATATTTAATTTCTATATTCAAACAATCAAGATAATCGCCGATGATTAATGTTCACTTTAAATGATTGATTGAAATTAAACACAGAAAGGAAGTCAATCCAATGTGAAAGTTGAATTTCATTTAATGATTTACTGAATTAATTAGTAAATTGTAATCTTGGTTGATCGTATTTATCTTAATTAGAATCATTTGTTTCACCTTAAAAAGCCACTGATTTAATTATCACAAACCTGATTCACTAATTAAATCTAACTTTCAAGTCTTTGCCTCTTTCCGTTTACCCGATGGCCTGAATAGATATCGAAATGTCCGCTTGAACTGAAATGGACTTATAATCGTTTCCGACCGTAACTCGAAAGTTAATTTAATCAACCAATTTTCACTTTCATATATTAGTAAACAATTTAATGGAAATTGTAAAATTTCAAATTGAATTAACTTCAAGTTAAATTGTTTCGTAGATCACAGTTACTAAATTACAATCGTTAATCAATGATCATACCTTCATTATAATTCACTAATCACGGAAAAAATTACCGAGGATAATCCCAATGATTAAATGTTAATTAACTTGAAGAAAACAAAAGCTCAATGTCGATTCAATTAAACTTGAAATTAACCCTTGAGTTAATTTAGTTACATTATCGCAATGAAATTCACTAACAATTTAAATTTAATTGTCATGTACCTTTCGGCTTACTAGTATATTAATCACCTTTTCTTTTAATTAGAAAGTTAATTGTCAAAGGAAACAATTGGTTAATTATAGTTGAATATGTAGACGATTTAGATTAATAATGAAATCGAGATGAAAAAAGTATCACAATTAAATTTGATTAACCTGATTAAATGTCAATAGGATTTAGTGACAAGGTTAGAAAGGAAATCATTTTGTATCACAATCAGTAAATTGTTGAGAATTAATTTTAACCAATTAATGAATGAGCAGTTTAATTGCTAAATCTTTAGATTGGCTGCTAAATTATTAGTTAATTCATAGATCACAATTAGTAAATAGATTTGAAGTTATTGATATGAGTTTTTTTAGAAAAGGGAAACACAGCAATTAAAGTGGCAATAGTTAATTGTTACTGGCTGATAATAGCGGAAGCCATTTATTTTTAAGTTAATTACCGACTACAATTTATCTGAATTAACCTGAATCAAATTAAATCAGTTGATACAAAAAAAAGTGATGAAAGTAAATTGCGAAAGGGAAAACCAAACTTGTAACCATATTGGCTAATTAACCATACGAACAATTAAAAGATCAATCAACTAAGTTTAGTAAACAATTAATAATAAGAAAAAAAATCTATTAATAAACAATTAGTTTGATTAAGAAATTAATTAAAAAGTCAATACAATTGATTGGAAATCAAAATTCAATGTCAACGAGAAAATTGAATTTGAAATAATATTTGAACTTGAAAATAAATAAATTTACTAATCATGTTGATGAGGATGATTAAGATAATTGTGATTAAAAGGAAGATTAACTTCACTAATCTTAAGGCCGAAAATAAATTGTAATTAAATTGTTGTGACCAAATTAAATTAACACTTGATGGTTGACCTTCTTTACTTGTTTACCTACAATAAGATTTCATTGATTTCTTAACTTTCACTTTTCTTGAACTTTTTTATCCTTTTTATATTTTTCCAGGTCAAAAGGCATAATCACAATTACTATCATGCCAACAATCAGCTAAATAACGGTAACAATCAACAGATAATCAATTAAATTGTGAGTACAGTTTGTATTCTGTATAATCGGGTTTTCCCTTTTCCTGTAAACTTTACTGTCTACATGTTTTTGTACGTTGATTGTCAATGATTTTTAAATTAGTTTGGTTAGTTAGTTGATCAGTTTAACAATTAACTTATGTAATAAGAGATAAAATCTTATATATACAATCAACAACAACAGTAAATCAACAAATAATCAAAGTGAGTAAATCCTTGAACATTAAATGCTGGTATTACCTGAGAAAATATCAAACTATTAAAGTGACCTTTACCTCTGTTGGTTGCAATTAGTAAATTGTATTTACACCAATCAGTTTGTGATTAATTTTGATTCTCTCCCGGTGGTTTTTTCAAACAATTTGACGGTCAACTAGTTGATCCTTGAATAGTTTATTAATTATCCAGCCTTCATCTAATCACTGTGGTCATTATCTTTGGTTAACTGCGATTGTAATAAATAGCAATCGAACAGCAGAAATTTTCATCAGTCAACAATCAACGACAACGAAAACAACATTAACTTTTGTTTTAGTAAATTAGTGAATTAACAACAATCAACAACAACAATGAAATTCTCGGTTAGTATATTCAATACAGTTCTAATTAGTGGTAATCTTAAATTGGTGATTTGTTTGTGAAAAGTTTTTCGTTTTGTTCATTTTTTGATTTATCCATTTCTCCTATTTGATTATCTCATAGGCAACAATCATCTATTTAATTGTTACTTTAACCATTGGATTAGTTTCTGCTGATTATTATGGCGCTGGTTTCCCAGTCGCTGGTGGTGCAGGTTATGGTCCAGAATTGATTCGTTACAAAAAGGTCCCATTCCCATATCGATCTGGACGTAACATCGGCTATGGTCAAGGCGGATATTTGGGTGGAGCCGGAGGCTATGGAGGGTATCCATTAAATGACGGGTATGAAGATTCATCTTCCTCTTTTGATTAACAATCGTGACTCGAATACTTATCGTTCTCTTGGTTTGTTAGGTACTAGAATCGGATGATTATCGTCATGGTTTAGAAGCCCTTCAATTGGAAAAGGACTTTTAGAGAGGATTTTGGGTTAATTTGCATAAGATATAAAACGCACTCATTTGCACGCAATTCACAATCAACAACAGCTAAACAATAATTCGTAGTTTGGTGATTGTTTGATGTATTGAGCTTCTTCTTACACTTTCACTCATTTCATCATTAATCTTTTAATCGTAATCACTTGATTACGATAATCAAGATTAGATCAGGATGGAGGATCAGGATCACTGCTTTTCCTGCTTAGCTGTGCACCTTGATGGTCAACCAATTTGCTCAATGGTCATCGAAAAAATCTTAGAATCCATCTAATTACATTGTCACCATCTCTTTAATTGTTGAGTTTAATTTTTGCTTCAATCACACAATTTGCACTTGCACTGATGCTGTTTATAGACAAAAATCACACTAATCAACCAAATTACATCAACAATCAACCACCAGATTAAATCATTAACTAATTATTAAACCATCACATCTATGCCAATCCAAAACTCTTTAAATTTTGTAATCATCTCTTTTTTTTACCTTTGTCATCAAAATGTCAACACAACTATTTTTTTGTTGTTAATTGTCATTAAAAAATAATTTAGATTGAAAATTTGCTTTAAAGTTATTCAAACAATTAACTGAACCACAATTGTCCCGTTTACATGAGTAATCAACTTGATCCTCTGTGTCCAAGAACACAAAAGATGACAATTAAAGTTAATGAGGATGAGGATGCTGATGATAATTATGAAATAAGTTGTTCAATTAAAGATTCAGTTGATTCTATCTAAAGATTAAGTTAAATCAGGCCAACAGTTTCAGTAATAATAATAATCATCATCATTATCATTTTCATCTTCATCAGTGAGTAAAAAAATAAACGTTATCCTGAGTTTAAATCTGTTTATTGTTGATACCTGTTGTTATCGTAATCATGAAGATAATGAAGATAATAATGAAAGAAAGTGAAGTGGGTAGGTGGTTGAGAGAGAAAGAGAGATGAAGATGATGAGGGGAGAGGGAAGATGAGACTGTAAGAGAAGATGATGATGATAAAAGAGGAGGGAAGATGAAGATTGAGAGAGGAAAAGAGGATTGAGATGATTAAAGTTTGATACAAAAAATACACTTTATGTTTATCGAGTTAGTTGGTACTTGTAATCGTCAAGTAACAGTGACAGTTAACCCGTTCTCGTGGTTTCTTTTGTAATAGTATCGATAATATCAGAATAGAACAGTTCAAATAACGAAAATTTTATATCAAAATGTTACCAATTGTGTTTACCTGTTTAATTGTTATCAGTTTATCTTCAGTCTCTTGTTATCCCTCCGGTGCTCCAGAGGAAACATGTAGTTCGTTGTCACCCGAACATGGCCATGGTGTTCCCTCGCAGCCCGTGGCTCAGGCTCCTTTCTATGTTGTCGCTCATGGGAAAAAGTTTTCTCCCGGTGATAAAATTGGCGGTAAGAAGATTCTACCACAATTAAGTAATCATCGATTCTAACCAATTAACTTTCTTTCGTATTCTTATTCTGTTCAGTTGAAGTTTTCCAACGGGATAAAGTTGCCACTTTCAAAGGATTTTTAGTTCAAGCTCTGGATTCGGTTACCCACCAGCCCATTGGTTCATTCATGTCGACGACGGGAATGCAACCAATTAACTCGTGCTCAGCAATTACCCACACCGACCCAAGGCCTAAGAAGGGTGTTAATCTTGTTTGGGAAGCGACTGTCCCTCAACCCGGTGAAGTAATTTTCAGGTAAGTGACAGTTAAAGTTGACTAATTACAATCAAAATCTTTTCAAATTCATTTTAATGTGTCGTGTTTACATTGAACGAAAAGAAAATCAATCAAAATTTTTCCCTCTTCTTTCATTTTCAACAATTTAAATTGTTCCCTCTGATCATTGGTTTGTTTTTCTCGAGTAATCAAGCCTATTGATTAACAGAAATCAACATTATAATCACCAATCAACTGATTAGTTAATTCATCCATCATCAGTTGATTGGATTCTATTGGATTAGCAACTTTGCTTTTTGTCTAATTATTGATTGATTGTAATATTTACACAATTGTGATTTGATTGTAAACTCAAGATGAGGGGAAATTGTTTATGTAAATTGTCAGAAATGAAAAGTTAATTAACTTTTTTTTCACTTTAATTATTATCAAATCAACGCTGAGCTAATGAACTAAATTTACTCATTGTTTCATGAAGTAAATTTAATTTCTAATTAAAATCTCAATTGTTCAATGATTTAGTTTCTTTGATTGTTAATTTTTCAATCAAATGTTCAATTATCACAATCCAGATGATGAGAATGATTAAGAATTAGGTTTATAATTAAATTAGTTGTTTCTCTTTAATTTAATTGCGATCAAAAATAACAATCAAATTAAACATCCTGATTCCTAATATTTAATTTAATTTACCTCAAGGTTAACAACAATCAACCTTTGATTGTTAACCAACTTCCTTGATGTTTAGGATGATTAAGTTTATCCAAACAACTGAACCGCTAAATTAACTCAGGCTCATCAATTGATTAAGACAAAAAAAATCAACAACAATCAATTGATTAACCTTTTTTTCAATTGATCAATATTGTCAATCAATAAAAATTGTTTCGTTTGATTAACAGAGTAAGTGTTAAATTGTGATGAGAAACAATTAAAATATAAACCTTAAAGGTTAATAATCAAGAAAAAGAAGCGAAAACTTAAATTACCAACAATTAGAGTTAACAATTTAATGTATTCTAAATTAAATCAATCCATCCAAATTAATAGTAAATAATAATTAAGAAAGTGAAGTTAATAGTTAATCACTTAAGCTGTAGATGTACAATTGATCATTATCATAATTTAGTTACCGGGTAAAAGGAAATTAACTAAATCATAATATGATAATCATCATCATTAGTCCTAAATTTATCTCATTGAAAGATAATTGGTTAATTTAAGGTAATGATAATCAACTGGATCTAAACTAATGAAACAAATAACAACAATTTAAACATAATTTAGGTTCACTTTATATTGTATTATAAATGAGAAGCTAATTTTATATAAGAAAACAAATTATATTTATATAAATGTGAAAACGAGTAAGAATCAACTGATTAAAAACACTTTGAGTTGTTCATCTTAATCATGATGATGATCAATTCCAATTGTTGGCTTACAATTTAACCTCAAAAGCTACGGCGTTGGATAAACGCGCGCGCGTTTAATTGCTTCGGGTAACGAAACGGGAGGTCAAAAGGGAAACAACAATTTGGAGCTTCTTGATTAATCATTTTACCATAATCACAATCGTCAATTCATCTTTGATCACAATCAGTTTAATCATCATCAGTATTTCTGGTCAAAGTGTTTATATTTAAACACTTTTTACGAAAATTGTTCATATTTTTAACGGTAAAACGTACGAGGCAATTTACTGATCATTCAGAGTAGATGTTATTAGATTGTAACAATTTCGATTGACACATTAATCAGGAACATTCATTTTCGTTGAAAAATCCTGATTGTTGATTCTATTGAAACATGTTAATTACAAACTAATCATCTTTGATTGCAACTAAATTAGATTTCGATTGGTGATATTAAATATAAAATGAAATATCAATCAATTTTATCAATTTGTTGTTTATATGATTGGGAAAAGATTTCCAATAATTAATTGATGATAATTGGGTTTCTTTTACAAATACAAAACGATGAGAAATTACATATTGTTATTGTACTGTGAGTATTTCTAATGATTAGTTAATTAGTGAAGTAGAAAATGTTTGATTGAAACAGGAAAAACAAGAGAGAGAGGAAAGAATTAAGAATCTTTAATTGTTGTATTAGATTCCATAATTTAGGCCACTGGTTTTTCAATTAAAGTAAATATCGGCCATCGAATGTTTCATTAATCCAATTTGATTCTCTTGATTGTGATGCTTGATGATGATTACGGATGATGGATGTTGTTACCTTAATGCTAACTCGTTGATTGGATTTTTTGATTAACTTGCAATCTAAATGTAAAAGTAAAAGTAAGTAAAGAAGATGTGATTAGTGTAAACATTTAAGTGGCACAATTAACAAAGAAAAAGGTGAAATTAAAGTTAATACAAAATCTGATTATGATTATTGTTTAGATTTGATTGATCAAAGGGAAGTGAATCTTTTCTCTCAATGTAACAAACACATTAACTACCAATTGTGTCTCAATACAATTGAATTGATTAGAAAATCATCTTTAATTGTTCAACTAATTGATCTGTTAATCTTTCTCTTCCTTGATTTCTCTTCCTTTTCCAGAGCAACAATCGTACAAAACAAGAAGCTTTATTACGCCAACATACTCGCCTATGAGGCCGAACAGTTCTACTCGACATAATGAACCTTTTATACCATCGAACGCATCGAAGTTAATTGTAAATGCACATTCAATTTCTCTCTCTCTCCTTTTCTTTCGGTCATAATAATCACTATGTGAGCGATTAAGCATGAATTGTGACAATCATCTTTTTCATCAATTTCGTCATCATCTTCATCCTTTTTCTTTACCCTCTTGGTTCATCATCTTTAACAAATCATTTTAACTACTTTCTCTCTGCTCTGATTCATCTATTTTCATCAATAATACAAATAATAAATTGTTACTTATTTACTGATTGTTCTAACAAATCAGTTAGCCCGGTGACCATTCAACTAATCATTACAAAAGTAATAATGAGTGAAGGTGGGGTTAGTATGGGGTAGAAGAGAAAAAGTGAAAGAAAAGATTGTTCAATGTTCCTCTCTGATGGTCACCATTTACTAATAAATTCATATATTTATCACTCATTTATTATTAATATCAACAATAAAAATAGAAAACCAATAAAATATTGATCACTTTTCTATTGAGATTTGATAAACTAAAATAATTTCATTGTGATTCCTTTCAAAGAAAAATGTTGATATTATTGAAATTCAATTGACAGGTGAAAGGAGAGACAAAAAGAAAAGGATTAAATCAAGATTGTTATTCATTGGATTTCAAATGTTGAGATTTACACGAAATCACAGCATCAACACTTGATAATCTTGTTAAACCAATTAAACGATGGCCTCAATTTGTGGCTTCTTATTTGCCCGTTCAATCAAGTGAATTTCAATTCATCAAACTATCATGGTGACAATCAATGTCTCAGAACAATGAACAATAGCTAAAAGAAGAAAAAAAGGTGGGTTTAGATTTAAGATTGATAATTCTAAAAGTATCTAAATCCCTCTCTCTCTCTCTCTCATTCACAATTCACTCTTTTGGGTCTTAATTGGAGGTATGACAGTAATCATCTTAAAAAGAAGGCACACTTACTTGATAATTAAGAAGATAATCATCGGAATACCACCAACAACTGATTTCATGTAATCTTCTTTTTCTGTTTACTTTGAATTGGAGAATTTGAAAATTTCTTCTATTCTTCCTTCAGGTTATTGTTGATCATTGGCGATAAGACGTTTGATGGTTGATAAAAGTTCTCTTTTCACTTGATCAGGAACAAGTCTATGGACTTCAGGGGTTACATTTCTCAGTATTTCGTCAACCGTTAAAGTTTCAATGTTTTTACCTTTCATGTAATTTTTACACAATTCGGTTACCTTTTCATCAAATTGATTCTCACTTAATCGATTCCTTAGTAACCGTTTAAGTTCATCTTTCTTACCTTCTTCTTCCAATTTTCTCATTGCTTTACTTCTAACTTCTTCTATCATAGGATCCATTTTCTTTAAAAGAGAAAATTCACTTGACCTTGAATCAGTAAAAAAATTAAATCAAAATTAATCACAATCTAAATTCAAATGAAAGTAACAATGGTCAACGATTAAACTAAATTAAGAAACAAATTTGAACAAAAATTTTCCAATTAAAAGTGAAAACAAATGAATCTTTTTTTCTAAAATCCACCCACTAGATGGCGACACAAAAGAAAACCGGTTAATTTAAACTGAATCAAAGTAAAACCAAGAAACACAAGAAAAATTAAATTTTTTTTAGATTGACACTAGTAGATTTGTAGAAACCTCACTCACACAAAAACATACATCAATAAATCAAAATTAATTAATTTCTTTCTTTTTTTTTCTTTGTTCTTAATTATTTAGATTTTAAAGATTTAAAGATTTAAAGATTTATATTTCAAAATAAACCTTTTATGCTAATCTTTCATATTTTTTTTCACTTTGTTTAGTTCTAATTAATATTAATCAATCATAATGCTTGATTAATTGATTTTCATGGAATCAATTGTGATTTAACTTGTGTGTTCATCGTATTTGCGCGCAAAATTAAAATCAATTTTATAAGATTAGAATTTTTTAATTGATTCCTTGATAAATTGAAAACTAAACCATTATAATTAATCAATGTTAATTAGAAATTTTTAATTTCTATTCTAATCGTTATAAAATTATTGTTATTTTTATTGATAATCTGTCCAATATTTAACTTATGATTTTATAAATTGAATCTTTAATATCATTCAAATCAGAACTAATGTGTTTTATTTAATTGATAGATCATCTTAGTATTGATGTAATGTATACTTAATGAAAAGTAGATAAAACGCACATAATATAAGAAACCAAGAAATAGAACAACTGCAGAATTTCTTCTTTTTATTTTAAGTTTAACAGGACTCAGAGCTTCTGATGAATTAAAATTCATGTTTTGAACAATGTACAAGGAAGAATATGACAAGTAAGGAATTAGGGATAAAGAAAAGAAAAGAAAATAATAAAGTAAATAACAAATTTCTCCCCTGAGGTCGAATTACACAATGACAGATTAAATCACAAGTAAATGACCAAAGTCCTGTCGTAATCCCAATAAAGGGAAAATGTTCTCTCAAAATGTTCTCCTTAAAATATTTTCTCGGACCAGAGTCCTTTTCTGAAAATCGTATGATTGTCAAAGGTCCAAAATTAAGGATTAGGTATACACAAAATTAAAAATAAAAATAAAAGAAAAATTAGAAATTAAATTTTTATCATTATTAACAAAATCTTATCAAGAAAAACATGGTTGTAATTCACTAACGGCCCAGTCCTAAGATTGTCTGGAATAATATAATGTTTGTTGAAATTTCAATCTAGGTATCAACCTGATCCCTGTGATTAGCCAAACAATAATAAACAAAATCAACTTCAAATTCACAGGTAAATTAATTAACTTAAAATTTATTAGATCAGTTTTCCATCCAATCTTTTCTCTCTTCTTTTCAAATCTACTAGTGGTCACAAATGACACCAAAAAAATGTTGCCTCATAGTTTTTCTGTTATGTGCTGTCTCTTTCTCTCTACTCTTTGAACCGAAATTAATTCTTAGAATTTAAATTTTTTTTTGTTAATCAGATGTTTTCATATTTATTACATTTTGTTTTTTATTGTTGTTAAATTTTTTACTAAATAAATGAATTGAAAAGGCAACTTTGATTGTTTGTGAATTCGATGAAATCATCGCGTCAATTGATCGATGGATTTAAATGATTTTTGGAACCATTTAAATCTCTTTCTAGTCTTTTACCAAGACCATCGGTGATTTCCCTTATTAAAAGTGGATCTAAATTGTTGGCTAACATGTACATTAGAAACCAATCGCCAATATTACCATTGGAACAGATAAGTTGAAGAGATTTGGTTTTGGAGAGACGACATCGTGATTTAAGAAAGTATGGACGAAGAGAAAGACAAATGAAGATTAGAAGACGAAATAGAATGACCAAAATGGTGAATATGGTCAAGATGATGTACCAAAACCAAAGGAAAAGATAAATTTTCTCATTGACAACATTCAATGGTAACATACAAAGAATATCATATGTTGATATATCTCCAGAGTCACCGTATTTTTGGAAGCGACATTTGGTCATTCGTGGGAACATCCGTATCATCGGGTTAACCTGGGAAGTCCGATTCTCTGAGAGAACATAAGAAACAACCGATGGTCCATAATCCATAAAGTCACCATCGAAAAACCAATCGGTAAAATACAATTGGCAAATTACGTTGACCAAACAAAGAAGTTCACAGAAAAAATATTTACAAGCATAAAGACGATGGTGACCAAAGTGTCGGTAAAAATAGTCCAAGATAATTTTTCGTTTATGCCCTTTCTCTTCATCGGTTATCAATGCGATTTGCATTCCAAGTGAAATCGTCTTAATTAAACCTCCTTCCCACAATTTCCACAGGTAATAAGGGAAATAGAAGACAACTCCTTGAAAGAAAAGAGTAAAAGTAACCCATTGATAATAAGTTTGCCATTTTCGATTATTATTGGAACCTTGTGAATTTCTGATCCATGGATGAGCTGTTTCACCATATCGACCTTGCGATGAATATGAAGCTGAAGATGTTAAGGAAGACGATGAAGATGAAGATGATTGTGATCCTTGTTTTGGCGATGATTTTGGTTCAGGAATGATGAAAGTTGATTGGATCCAACAATAGGTGTTGATCATTGTTTTAGGTAAATTATTTGTCTCCATACAATGTATTGGCTCACCGACATATTGACGGCCCGATAAAGGATGCTGAAAGCGATCAATATGACCGAAGTAAAAAGCCAATGTAAACGGAAAATTGCATTATCGATGTGAACAGTTCGTCTTTTGGTGACCCGTTTCAAGCCAATGAATAAGTCGAGCATAATTACGTGTCTCACCTTGAAACCAATTTGATTGCATTATACTGAATGATAAAGGAATAGAAAGAGAGAAAGTTGTTCTCGAATCAAAAGAAAGTGTGACAATTTAGCATAAGTGTTACTCTTGATTCAAAATCATCATCGAAAAGATGAACGAAATTATTTTTGAACGTTAGCGAAAAAATCTCAAACATCTAGTAGTTAACCTAATTACCTTAATCTATGTTTTCCTGGTTCATTTCCTTCCTTAATTTTTGTCAAAAGAAAAGAGGAAATTCTGGTAAAAATTCAACAATCAGTTAATTGGAAAAAGTAAAAGTAATCAAAGTAAAGTGGAGTCATCTTTAAATCCAGTTGAGAAAACATGATTTAAATTTCAAGATAATTAGCATGGTAATAATTTCAAGCTAATTCCAAGGTGAATACTTCATATTGGAAACTTGGATGGAGTTAATCTGATCACTTTAAGTTGACATTTAATCTCAAATCAATTGATTGTGATTACAACTAACATTTAAAAGGTTGATTTATAGACTTGATGATTTTTGTTGTCATTATTAACTCAACTTTCTTAAGATATATTCAAGTGATAAATAACATGGTTGAATCATTAACTTGATCATCACAATCATCACCATAAACAACATCATTTGTTTAATTGCTTAGCCAACAATTAAACAAGTGATTATGGGTCAGATGCTGTTCCTATTTCATGAAAAATGTTAAAATTCAAAATAACATCTAAGATGATAGATAAACAAATGGATTTAATTACATGAACAGTTAATGGTGAATATCATGAATTAACCTTCTCATCATGGTAACAACATGATGTTAATCAGTGAGAAATGTTGTTAACATGCAAATTGTTGAATCTTCATTTCCTTGTCTCAGGAGCAACCAAAAGGCAGCAACAACAATAAGAATACAACCAGAACTTTTACCTCACAAAGGAGAAAGTAAAGGAACTAATTATAACTCAGCAACATTATCTCCATCATCATCATCATCATCATCATCATCTCTCATCTTCTTTCATGAGAATATAAATGTTATCTTCTTCTTCCAGAATATGGGACACACTGGCAAAGTGCAAAATCTTTCATTCCGAGAATCCATCAATCTTCAATCTGCTCAATTTGCGATTTTCATGAGAAAAACAAATCTATTTTTTTCTACTTTCTGTCACCAAGATTATCTTTAAATCTGATTGAAATGTCGAGAATCAAATTAATTTATCTAATTCCCTTACTAACATAGTCGCACGAAAAGTTAAATATCCTAATAGTTGTTTAGCCCAACGAATTAGTCATTAACTAATCAACTTATTCCTTGTAACCAACCGTAATTTTGTTCACTTCTTGTTTCAATTACGAGTCTGTAATTATCATCTAATCACTTGAATTGTATTCAAAAATTGTGGGCTAACAATCAGTGATTTTAAACTTTTCTGAAAATTTTTTTAATTACTATGATTAAGTTGTAATTGTTCACGATTTAGAAAATCAGATTAGCTTGATAATTAATCGATGACAATGTGTTATAACAACGATTAGTATCAACAACCTTTCAATTTGCTACTAATTTTGTAGTTACAAGTTGAATAACTGTAATAATAAGTTAATTGTTTGAGAAAAAGTTGATTGAGCTTTGTAACAATCGACATTCATTGAGATCAGAAAAAGTTTCAATGAGAGTAAACAATTAATCTAATCAATATGATGATCGTAAATAAAGAGGAAAAAGTTTTACTTACGTTTATCTGATTGAAGAGAAAAATAATTAACCATTACAATTAAAAGAATCAACTTTCCAACAATTAACAAATTGTAACAATATTGAAGAAATTTAATTTAATTACGGTAAGAAAAAGGCACAATTAACCCATTGTATGGGGAAACACTGGAAGAAACAATCAAGTAAGAAAGTTAATTGTTCAATGGTAATAATTTGTAAGGAAAATGAGGAAAACAAAGTTGAGATAATTAAGTTAATTGTGATTAGTTAGTTTGAAATTAGAAATGAAAACAAATAAAAACAAGGAAAAGTTTTCTTTTTTTTCTGTTGACTGTTTTTACCATGTGACTCTGAAAGGTTCATGTTAATTGTGAGTGATTCTGTTCCGAGGTGGATCAAAATGAACGAAGATCAGTAATCCTGGATTAAGAAAGAAAGAAAAGAAAGAGGGAAAAGGAGGATCATCTTCTATCATCATCATTCGCAGTCTATGGATGAAGAAATGAGGAAGATGATGGAGGGCCAATGCTCGAGAAAGAAGATGAAGATAAACATGGAGATAAAGGTAAGAAACTGATGAAGATAAAAATGATGATGAAGATGAAGATGAAGATGAATCTTTTTTGGTATAACTTAGGCTAATCTCCAGATCTTCTCAGTGAGATTATCCCTTCAATGGTTATCCAATTGTATTACTCAATCTTGACGGTTCGAAACAGATTAACCATTGATAGTTTATCTTAACTTAACTGATTAGTTTAAATTTAAAAAAGCAAACAATTAACTAATGGTAATCAACTTTTTTCCTTCAATTGTATTGTTTATATTTCATCAATAACTTTTAGCCAATATGATTGTATGTATAATAATTAATTAATGGCTTGTCAGATTGATTTGATCATTCGATATCGGTTAATCTAGCTAATTAGTAAAATTAACAAATTACAACGATTTGAAAACTAAATCATGTTATGATCAGTTGGAAATTGCTGTTCAAATTATTTACAATTAGTTGATTGTTCAATGTGGTTAAATTTTACAGATGATATTTAATCAGCGGTTTTTAAAATTAACTTTTTGGCAATTTATCAGAATCCAGGTAATTATTCAGGAAATATTAGTATTGAAATGATTGATTGATTAAGTCGAGCTAATCTTAATCCTAATCAATTTATTATTAAGTCGGAGAGTTAAAAATAATTGTATAATCTTTGATTAAATAACAAAATTAAAGGCATGATTAACTTCACCTTGATATTAAATTATCCTAATCAGGTTGATGTATATCCGAACTGTTGAAGACTAAAATCATTGATGTTAATTACATTTGCTAGTTGATTTAAGGCAAATTAGATAAACAATCTGAACAATTAAAAGTAATTGTAGTTTTGGTTGATTTAAAATGATCATTTTACAATTTCAAATTGTCATCAAAGTTCCTTTCAATTAAAATCAAAACACTTTGATTTATCGTTGCCACTTTTTCATCTTATTTAGTTAATCGTCTCATAAGTTAATTATGGTCAGTAAATTAGGCCTTTTAACCTTAATTGGGCTAACTTTTTGTCTCGTTGATCCAACAAACGGACAAAATAGCGCTGCTAATAGTGATTCGTCAGCATCTTCATCATCATCATCGGCATCAGGTACTAATAATGCCCAGAACAACATCAATGATCAAAATGATAACAATAAAAATACAAACACTGTTAATAACAATGGTGCCAATGGAGGTTCATCATCAACATCAAGTAGCAACAACAACAACCCTGTCGATAATAATAATTGTAATGATCAAAACCCTCACGGTCGCATCTTACTTGACCCCTATGAAAACGGTTATGGTGATTATAAGGGAGATCCGTATGATCAGGCCGTTGTTGATCCTTGGTATCGATCCTTATTAAGGCAGGAATATCAGCTAATCTCCGTTTCAGCAGCGATCTCCAGCATGGTGATGGCTGATTATATAGATATGATGCGCAATACATTAGGACTTGGAGAAGATGAAAATACTGATGGAAAATCGAACGGAGAAACTTATTCGAATTCAAACTCTGGTGCTAATTCAAAATTTAACACGAGAACAAGCTCGAACTCTGATTCTAACGGTAACGCTAATACTAATTCCAATTCCAATGCTGATTCTAAATCTGATTCCAACGCTGTTGCTAATTCTAACACAAGTTCGAGCTCAAATTCTAATTCAAACGCTAATTCCAACACTGATTCCAATACGAATACGAAAACATACTCGCACTCTAATTCTAAATCTGATTCCAACGTTAATTCTAACACGAACACGAACTCTAATTCCAACACTGATTCTAACGCTAACGCTAATGCTAATTCCAATTCCAATTCCAATGCTGATTCTAAATCTGATTCCAACGCTGTTGCTAATTCTAACACAAGTTCGAGCTCAAATTCCAATGCCAATGCTAATTCCAACACTGATTCCAATACGAATACGAAAACATACTCGCACTCTAATTCTAACTCTGATTCCAGCGTTAATGCTAACTCGAACTCGAACTCGAAATCTAATTCCAACGCTGACTCTAACGCTAACGCTAATACGAATGCAAATTCTGTCAATTAGTTTATTTACTAAACCAATAGCCTAATCAATATGATTATAATATCATAATAAATCACAATTAAATTAAATAATAACAGGTTATAAAGTTATTTTCTTTTCCATTACATATTCAAATTAATACAATCAAATGAAACTTCCAGTTCCCCTTTCAGAGGCTAGTTGGTAATATCAATCAACTACAAATTAACGGTAATTAACTTTCATAAAGGATACTCGGAATTTCATCAAGTTTCAGAATTTTTTCTTTTGGCCTATCCGGAGAAAAGGTTGGACCTTGACTTTTCTCGAAACGTAATCAAGTATTGAGCGAAACATTAATAAGACCAATCTTATTGTAAACAATTAAAATGAAAAAAAGATAAAATTTCTTATCCTAGTCACAATAATAAACTATTGACAATCAACTGATTCTTCACAGGCTTTGACGATAAAACAAAAAGTATCAGTTCAAAATTAACCAGGAACATCGGGAATAAATAAATTCAAATGATCAACTAAACAATTCATTCAAATCAAATCAAAATCTTAAATCAACTTTTCAAATGCTTCAATTAAACATTTCGAGTAATCATTTTATCTGAAAAAAAACTCTAACATTTTGATGCTTCTATTAACTCTTCACTCAATTTTCCTTAACTCGAACAGTTCATCATCCTTTCGAGTTCAATTAAATTGTTTATAAATGTTAAAACACAATTAAATTCTTATTTAATTGCGAGAAAAAAATTCTAATTAAGGAATTTGAAAGACGCGCTTTTCGTTTCTATTGGTTACATGTTGTTGTTTGTTTCTTTTGCTTTGCTCAGATTGAGAGAGAGAAATTGGTTTCCCTTTATGTGACCTTAAACAATTAAGCTCTAATTTATTGTTTATTAAATTGATATTGAATTGTTTTGATTTTAATTATGCTTCGTTCGGTGGTTAATCAGACATTTTATCGGCGGTTAGTTAATGGTTCGATTAAAAGTGAAACTGGGTTGGTCAGATCATTTGCTTCCAAAAGTGAGGAAAGGAAACAAGCCTCAACTGCAACTCCAGCTACCAAGGAATCTAATAAACCGGAGACAATTGAGATATTTATCAACGATAAACCTTATGAAGTTGAGAAAGGTATCACTATTTTAGAGGCTTGTACTGTGGCCGGTGTTGATGTACCAAGATTCTGTTACCATGAAAGGCTCAGTATCGCCGGTAATTGTAGGATGTGTTTAGTTGAAGTTGAAAAATCTATTAAGCCTGTTGCCTCTTGTGCTATGCCTGTTTCGATGCCTGGAATGAGGGTTAAAACTAATTCTCCTGCTGCTAAAAAGGCACGAGAAGGTGTTATGGAATTTATTTTGTTAAATCATCCACTTGATTGTCCAATTTGTGATCAAGGAGGTGAATGTGATCTTCAAGATCAATCAATGGCTTATGGAACTGACAAATCTCGGTTATCAATTGCAGTTGGTTAGAATCTTTTTCTCCTTCTATTATTTTGTTGAAGAAAACTATTCATTATAGATTCAGGACTGTTATTCTAATTTTTCTGAGTCTTTTTTTTCTATTTAGATCAAAAAAGAGGAGTTGAAGATAAAGATATTGGTCCTCTTGTGAAGACTATTATGAATCGATGTATCCATTGTACTCGATGTGTTCGTTTCATGAATGAGATCGCTGGTGTCGCTGATTTAGGAACAACAGGTCGAGGTGGTGATATGCAAATTGGAACATATTTAGAAAATAATGTTTTGTTAAGCGAAATGAGTGGTAACATTGTTGATTTGTGTCCAGTCGGTGCTCTCACCTCGAAGCCTTATACTTTCACAGCTCGACCCTGGGAATTGCGACGTTTCGATTCAATTGATGTTATGGACGCCGTCGGATCAAATATTAGTGTTTGTCAGCGAGCTGGTGATTTACTAAGAATTTTACCTCGAGTAAATGATGACGTAAACGAAGAATGGCTTGCCGATAAATCGAGACATGCACCAATCGATGGTTTAAAGAATCAACGTTTAACTGTACCCTTAGTTCGTCCTTCTCGAAGTTCACCATTACAGCAATGCGATTGGGAAGATGCACTTCTTACTGTTAATCAAGTTCTCAATAAAATTCCAGCTGAAAGAATGGAATTCATTGTTGGACCTATGGTTGATGCCGAAACAATGGTCGCCGTTAAAGATTTGTGTACTTCGTTGAATATTAACTCTTATTACGTTCATGTAGACAGTTCGGTTGAACCAAGTTGTATACCTTCAGCTGAAGATCGTCAATATCGATCAAATTATCTTTTCAACACAACAATCGCTGGTATCGAAGATGGTGTTGATTTAATTTTACTTGTTGGTACTAATCCAAGGTACGAAGCTCCATTGGTAAACGCTAGAATCCGAAAAGCATGGAGAAACCATGTAATCGATGATATCGCTCTTATTGGTCCAAATGATTTGGATCTTCTTTATGACTACGAATGGCTTGGTAGTGACACTAAAGTTTTAGACTCAATTGCCGATGGTAAACATTCAATTGCCTCTAAATTGAGTAAAGCCAAAAGGCCAATTGTCATCTTAGGCCAACAGATTTTGAAAGGAGAAACTAAAAGTAATATATTTGAACAGGTTCGCTATATTTGCGATAAATATGGTGCCGAGTTAAATGTACTACATACGAACGCTAGTCAAGTAGCAGCTTATGATTTAGGTTTTAAACCAACAACTGAACGATCTCCACTTGATAAACCGGAAGAATCTTCACTTCTTTGGTTAATTGGTGTTGATGATGATAAATTATCAGCCGGAGGTGATAATCCATTCATCGTTTACCAAGGTCATAATGGAGACATTTGTGCAAATAAAGCAGATCTTGTCTTACCTGGTGCTGCTTTTACCGAGAAACAAGTTACCTATGTTAATATGGAGGGCAGAGTTCAGCAAACCCTTGCGGCAATAACACCTCCAGTTATGGCTCGTGATGATTGGAAAATAGTGAGAGCTTGTGGTGAGATCGCAGGTCATGTTTCACCTTACGATACACTTAATGATATCCGAGGTCGAATGGCTCAATTGGCACCTCATCTGGTTCAGCATAATGTACGACGATTGTCACTTCCCTCACTCCCAACGCCACCAAAATTAACACAATATCGTAAAAGTGATAAATCAACCAATTTAATACCCAAATTGAGAAATATTATAGATTATTATCAAACTGATTCCATTTCAAGATCATCTCCTACTATGGCGAAATGTATCGCCGCTGTTCAGAAAGAGTTTGAAAAACGTTCCTCCAAATGGTAAACAATTAAAATCCACTGTTAACATCCAATACCCACGAAAATAAGAGGAGAAACTGAAGATGGTTTAATAATTAATAACAATTTAATTTTTTTGTTTCTTTTTCTTCTTTGCAAAGTTTTGATTGACAATTTTTTTGACGAAAAAGAAAATCAAAATTTGCAAATTAAAAACAAAATGAAAGTTAAAAATTCACTTTTCAAGATTGTAGAGATTGTAATTGCCAATTGTAAAATAAAATATCTTAACCGATCTTATGGATTTAAATGGACAATTAATTTTCTAATGTTAATTTTTGTGATTGAAAAGGTCAAAGATTAATTGCTACCTTGATTTCCTTTCGAACCAACAAGATAATAAGCTAAATAGAACAATTCGAAAAGTTCTGATTTCGATTTCTGATCATTTTCTTCTCAATTTTTCCAATAGAATATCAATTTTATATCATACATTATATTTAATTTTATGGCAGGTATGGATTCCAATCATGTCATAATTTTGTTACTTTTTTGAAATTTTATCTTTTTTCGTCTGAAAATTTGTTGTTAATCGAATCGAAGCTCAAACGTTCAAAATTGTTTTCGAATTAGAGATGAAACTGTCTACTAGATGGCGACACTTTTTTCGCCCCAAATGCGCCATCTTGTGTTGGAATATTGGAGAAATATTTTTGTTTTGGTTCAACTATTTACCAATTTGTTAGTGATTAAAAAACGCTTGTTAATTAGTGTAATTTCTTTTTAATCATGAGTTCTTTTTTGGAAAATGAGGCCGAAGAATCTGATAATGATTATGATTCCGATGAAGTGGCCCGACATCCGCGAAAAAAACGTGCAAAACGAACCGAAGACTCTGAGGAAGAGGAAGAGGGTAATGCGTATTTCTATTTAAATGTTTAATCCAATGTTGTCTTCTCCTGTCCTTTATTAATCACTCTTTTTGTCTTATTTTTTACCTATAAATGTTTAATCTGGTATTCTAGACGATGAAGAAGCCCTGAGAGATGAAATGAAAGATCTGATCAATGACGAAGATGAGGAAGAAGAAGGCGAATCAGATGATGAAGAAGGGGGTAAAAAGAGAAGAAGAGATGAAGAGGAATCGGAAGAAGATTTAGATGATGAAGATCTGGATCTTCTTGAGGAAAATTTAGGTGTCAAATTGTCCCGTAAGAAGAAATTTAAGCGTGTCCGTCGATTGATTGGCGAGGAGTCAGAAGATGAAGGTGAAAAAGATGAAAGAGCTGCCATTGCAAATGAACTATTCGATGATGAAGAAGGTGAACAAAGATCTAAAGGTGATCGCCGACGACGAGCAGATGATGATGATGACAGATACCAAGGTATCTCAGGATCAGATGATTCAGATGATGAAGGCAATTTCATCGTTGATGATAATGATGAACCAATCAACAGACCAAGGAAAAAGAAAGGCTACCGATACAATGATGAAGCCATGCAACAAGCTCAGGATGTTTTCGGTGTTGAATTTGATTTCGATGATTTGCAAAACTATGGCGTTGAAGATGAATATGAAGATGAACAAGAGGACGAGTATGAAGAAGAGGAAGAAGAGGAAGGTGGATCACGAATTAGAAAGAAAACTAAAGCTAAGAAAAAGTCTTCCCGTAAATCAATCTTTGAAGTATACGAACCTGCCGAGCTTGAGAAAAGCTTTCTTCAAGAAAAAGATAAAAAGATTACCAATGCCGATCTACCTGAAAGATTCCAATTACGATCAACACCAGTTACTACTGCTGATGATGCTGAGATTGAAGAAGAAGCTGATTGGATCTATTTAAATGCATTCTCTCAGCCTGCAATTACCTCTCAAGTTTCAGATGCATCACAGAACATTGGCCAGGAAAAACAACCGATAGCTGGTAAAAAACCACCAACTGCAGTTCCGAAAATTCGTGAAACTCTTAAATTCATTCGCAACCAAAGCCGGGAAGTTCCATTTATTCAATTTTATCGTAAAGAATATGTCCAACCAGAGTTAACCAATGAAGATTTATGGACAATTTACAAATGGGATGAAAAATGGTGTCAATTACAACAACGAAAGGTCAATATGAAGAAACTTTTAGCAGATATGCAAAAGTATCAGGGTGATTTAATTATGGCCGATCCTGATGCACCATTACCAGAAGGAGCTAGAATCATCAGTAGCACTGATATTGAGCGAATTGACTTGGTAAACAGTTTCGATGAGCTCAGAGATTGTTGGGTGCAATTTCAACTCTACTATGGGTCACTTTTTCCTGCTATGAAACAAGCGAAAGTTGAAGCTGAGAAGAAGAAGCGATTAGAATCGCGACTTGAAAGTGGAGAAGAAGCTGATCAAACATTTGACGAAGATGATTTGATAAAAGATAAAATGTCTTCTCTTAAATTAATACAGAGGAAAGATTTCTATCGAGTTTGTCAAGAAGCGGGAATTTTGGGAATGTCCTTGAGATTTGGATTAACGCCTGAACAATTTGGTGAAAATTTACGTGATTCTTATCAGAAATATGAAGTTGAACAAATTCCAATTGAACCAGAAGAATTTGCTATCGATTATGTTTGTTCAAGATTCCCCGATGTCGCTGCTGTTATTAAAGGTTCTAAATTTATGGTTGCTCGTCAATTGGCCTCTGATCCGATTGTTCGTAAAGTTGTTCGTCAAGTTTTCTTCGAAAGAGCGGTTGTCCATGTTAGACCCACTAAGAAAGGAATGAAAGAAATCGATGAAAATCATCCCTGTTTTACATACAAATATTTACGTAATAAACCCGTTGACCAATTTGCTAATGAGAAATTTTTAAATTTGATGATCGCTAAGCAAGAAGGTAATGTGACTGTGAGAATTACAATGGACAAACAAAATCCGAAGGCAAAGGAAGCAACAACTTCGACTTATTTAGATGAGATTAAAGCTCTTTTTCAAAGAGTAAGTCAACTGATCAACTATTCTTATTTTCACTGTAATTCTAATTTTGTTGATTTCTATTTATTTTAGGACGAATTCAGTAGCAATGTACAAAAGTGGAACAAGTTAAGACTTGAAGCTCTCGAAACTGCTTTAGAAAAATTCCTTTATCCAGCTTTTGAAGCCGAACTCATCAATAAAATACAAAAAGAATCACAAGAAGGAGTGATAAAGGTAAATCTTGAATTTATGATTTTCCTTTGTATATATTTACAATTTTTTGCTTGTTCTTCAGAAATCCTGTCACAAGCTCTTCAACTGGTTAAAAGTTGGTCCTTACACTCCAAGTCACGAAGTAACTGATGATGAAGATTTTGATATTCGTGAAGGTCTTCGAGTTCTTGGTTTCGCTTACGCTTCTCACGAAGAGAGTCCAAGTTTTGCTGCTTTGGTTGATGGAGACGGAGAAGTGGTTGAACATTTGAGATTACCCAATTTAATGCTGAAACGTCACGGATATGCTTCGGAAAAAGAAAAAGAACTTCGAGAAAAAGATAGAGAAAGATTTAAGAATTTCATACTCGAAAGAAAACCTCATGTTATTTGTATTGGAGCCAAAGATTTGACATGTAAAGAGTTGATGGAAGATTTAACCAAGATGGCAGAAGAGCTAAGTAACGAAGAAAATATTCCCAAGATTCCAATTGAAGCGATCGATGATGAATTATCTATTGTTTACATGAATTCTAAACGAGCTGTCGCTGAATTTCACGATTTCCCACCAATCCTTCGTCAAGCTGTTTCTTTAGCTCGAAGACTTCAAGATCCATTGGTTGAATTTTCTCAACTTTGCACCGCCGATGAGGAAATTCTCTGCATGAAGTATCACACTTTACAAGATCATGTTCCTAAAGATGAACTATTGTTCAATCTTCAGCTTGAATTTATTTACAGAGTCAACGAAGTAGGAGTTGATATTAACCGCACTCTTGTTCACAATTATACTTCTCAATTACTTCAATTTGTTTGTGGACTTGGACCAAGAAAAGCGGCTGCATTGATCCGAAATCTAAAAAAATCACCAACTCCTCTATTGGAAACAAGAACACAGTTGATGGTCAATTGTGGAATTGGAGAAATAGTTTTCCAAAACTGTGCTGGTTTCATTAAACTTGACACAGCTCAACTCAGTGACACTGGAACTGAAACTTATATTGAAGTATTGGATAGTACTCGAATTCACCCGGAAGCATATGATCTCGCTCGTAAAATGGCAATTGATGCCTTAGAATACGATGAAACTAATGATCTTCCTTCAGCCGGTGCTCTAGAAGAAATTATGGAAAATCCGGAAAATCTGAAAGATCTTGATTTAGATGCATTTGCTGAGCAATTAGCTAAAGAAGGATGTGGTAACAAAAAGATTACTCTCTACGATATTCGAGAAGAATTGAACCATCCGTACAGAGACATGAGAGAGACTATCGATCTGCCACCAAAGAAGAAATGTTCCATCTTTTCACCAAAGAATCGTATGAAACTTTCTACGTCGGTAAACTCGTAATGGGAACAGTTACCAATGTATACAGACGTAAACCCACCCCTGGTCAAACAGACGAAAACAATCCGGTTCGTAACGATGATGGTCTTTGGATGTGTCCAGTTTGTAAAAAGAGCGATTTTCTTGAACTTAACGAAGTATGGAACCATTATGATGCTGAACTTTGTCCAGGTCAAGCGGTTGGAGTTCGAGTTAGACTTGACAATGGTTTACTTGGAATGGTTCCAATCGAGAAAATAAGTGACCATGAAGTGATTAATCCCGATGAACGAGTTAAACCAGGAATGACTGTGCATTGTAGGATAATGAGAATTAATGTTGAAAATAGATACCATGTAGATTTAACGTGTCGAACATCAGATCTTAACGATAAATCTTATCATTGGCGTTCTCCGAAAGATTTGTTCTACGATTTTGACGCTGAAGATGAGGATTACAAGGAAGAGGAAGAGAAAAAGAAAAAGAAAGCAGGAAAACAGAATATTTTCAAACGAATTATTGTTCATCCCTCTTTCCATAATATTGATTTTAAACAAAGTGAACAAATGTTAGAGTCTATGCGTCAAGGAGAAGCGATATTCAGGCCAAGTTCTAAGGGTCCCGATCATCTTACACTTACTTGGAAAGTTGCTGAGGGCATTTATCAACATATAGCAATTTTAGAAAAAAATAAAGACAATGCCTTCAGTTTGGGTCATCAATTAATTATCGACGGGGACGTTTATGAAGATCTTGATGAAATTATGGCTCGATACATCACACCAATGGCCAGTTTCGCACGAGAACTAACATCATTCCGACACTTTAAACCTCATGTCATGGGAAACAAACGGGAAGCCGAAAAAGTCCTTCTCGAGGAGAAGAAGAAACGAAACACAATTGTTTATATTTTATCTGCGAGTAAAGAATATCCTGGAAAATTTTTACTCTCATACCCCAACAAGGATGGAAAGGTAATTGAAAAATTCTCTATGATTTAAATGTCTCGTTCAGCTGTTGATTAATGACAATTAATGAACTTTTTATCAATATTTTCTTTAATCTTCATCAGGTGATTCATGAATGGCTTTCTATCAAACCCAATGGATTTAAATTCCGTGAAGGAATTTACAGAAGATTAAAAGATGTAATGAAAATATTCCAAGAAAGTTGGTTCAAGGGAGGATCAACTCCCCTTCTCACTGCTCCTTCTCAATTATCTCATCAACAAATGACCTCTCCTGCGCTAGGATTAAGATTCGCAACTCCACAACAGGTAAGAAATTGTCATCTGCTGAAAAAAAAGATGAAGAAACTTTTTATAGTCAATTGAACTATTTGGATGATAATTAAACTTATTTCATCTCTTTTAACTTAACAGCGGACTCCAGTCATGGCCTCACCTTACCATGTCGGCAATGTACCTTCGAGTGCTGCTGCCGCAGCTGCGGCCTGGAATAGAGCATCAACCTCAATGCCTCCTCCACGGTCAACACCTCAACAACGCACTCCAACCAGTTCCATGCCTCCTCCAACTGAACCATGGGCGAGAATCAGTCAACCTGGGACACCCTCACACGCCACTCCAGGAGCTTCATCTCAAATGTCAATTAGTCCTTCATATTCACCAGCAAACAAAGGCGATGCTACTCCACTTCTAGATGAATGGGTCTAAGTTTGGAAATTGTTTATTATAAAACAAAAGTTAAAATCAATTAATCAATTCATCTCAACTCATCTCAAAAAAAAAACAAAAAAAAACTTTAATAAAAACATCAAATAACTTAAAAACCTACAATCATACAGAACAATTAAGCAACTAATTATCATTTCATCGTCACAATCATAAAACATGTCAATAAAAATAATCAACTTTTGTAAATAATAACTTTTCATTTTCAAATAATCGACATAAATATTAACAATTTAACTTTGAACTTTAACTTTGAACAAGATGAAATCAATTACTCTAATTGCTTAAATTACTACTATCACTATTACTACTATTGCTTAAATTATTCAATCTATTGTAGTCTGACTACTCAATCTTTATGACCTTACTTTATTCAATTAAATAATTATAATTTTTAAGCTTAATACCATTGATTTTCAATTGATCATTGGTCAGCTGATTAAACCATTAAAAAGTACAATTATTATTATTTACTTGTCATTGTATAAGGACAACAACTAAAACAAAGCAAAAAACAATAATAAAAACTAACGATTGGACAAATATTAATATGATATCTTTTAATTGTTTAGTCAATTACCAAAATAAAGGTAAAACAATCAACGTTAATTTGATTGGTACATTTGTAAAATACATGAACAAAATAAAGTAGAAATTGAAAGTTAAATTAGCTTTTTATCGAGGATTTGAATCAATTTTTCCATCAGTCTCATCGTAGACAATTGAATTTAATTGAGACAATTTAGTTAATGAAGCAAATAAAGGATCAAATGAATTGGCGCTTAAGTGAAGCGCGGGCTCATCGATTCAATAGAATAGAATAGAACTCGAGATGAGATTTTTCAACGGTCCCTTGTTTTTGTTTTCTTTTTCTTGGATTGAACAAAGATCCTGATTTGGAATCATGTTTAGAGATTTCTAATTAAATTAAGTGTTTTATTTAAGTTAATTGTGATAAAGAAACATTTTCTGCTTCTTCCTGGTTTTCCGAAGTGATGAACAATAATATTGGTTTGTCCTCATCATCAGCGTCCGGCTCAGATTCTTTGATCTCATCTTCTCTTGTCACTTCTATTAACCAAATACCAAGTGAACTGTTGTCTGACAAGAGCCTGTTTGACAGTATAATTGGTGATAATGATCTGTGGTCAATGGTCGATGATTACAAGAAACGTGAAATTCTTGATAAATTTTTACCTAAATCTTTTGATGTCCATGAAAAAGAGGACACCGTTCGTTTATTGTTTAATGGTCAGTTGAAAAGGTTTGATGACAATCCAATGGATGATATTTATTATCAACTCAAACTTCAACGTACATCTCCGGATCTCTTAAAAACTTATGAAGAAGTCAATCAACTTAAAAGGCGAGCTTATCTAATTCAAGAACAAAAATACCAATGTAAATTGTTGACAGAAATTTTAACAAAAAGACGGATACTCTTCGAAGCAGCCGCTAATTCATCGCCCTATGGTATCAATTCAGTAACATATCAGAAAGCCAAAAGTAAACTAGTTCCCAAAAATGGAAACCTCGGTCTACATAAGAGAAGAAAATTACTTCTTAGATCACATAAAGTCAAGGAAAGGTACAAAATGGAGATTAAAAAATTGTTCCCCGAAGATGAATACAATACTACAGACGATGATAGTGACCTGGAATTAGGTATGAATCCAACACAATTGAATTCAAATTGAATATCAAGCAAAAAAGTGATCTTTTAGTGTATTTGTTAGGTTAGGTTACCATTCAAATTCAGGCCTCAAGTATTACAATTCATAAAAAATGAAAATCTTCAAATTAAACAACTCTCAAGACTGTTGTTTTAATTAATCGATTGACAATTAACTCATATTTCCTTAGCTGTCAAATATTTAGTTCATATAGAGTCTCATATGTTTTGCTACCTCATAAAAGGATAACCTGATTGCTTGATATTCATATTTGTAATGTTTTGATAACATTAACTGTTACTATGAGTGTTGAATATTAATTTTATTATTTTTCTAAATCAATTTCTTCCAATAGATGTTAAACCTTTGCGTACAGAATCTTCCCATGAAGACTCAATTAGTCTGATTGGTTCTCGTAGTAGAGCAAATATTGATATGATGTCCTCTTCTCGAGATGAATACTTGAGTATGATGAAGAAATTCAGAAGAAAAAGAAATGATGGAACTGATGATCCAACCATGGATTTCAGCAATATAACATTGAAAGATATTATTTCTCGGGTCGCCAATGATTCTGGCGATGAAATTTATGAGAAAATTTTATTCTTTAAAAATAAAAAAGTACATCCCAACTCTTCACCATTAAACTCAATCAATAGAAAGAAATCTAAACCTTCACCATCAACTGCGACCACTTCATCGACATCAATTGTTGCATCCAATTCATCTCAAACATCATTAAGTTCATCCCAATTATTTTCGCACAATTGTGGAAATGTTTCACCACCAAAGAAGAGTCAAAGCACAACAACACTTCTCAACACTAATTTCATTAAACGAGAACCATTGGACATTTTCGATTTTGACAATGATTCGCCTCCTCATTCGTTTCCCTTGCCTCCTCTTTCTCTCTCATCGACGACATCTAATCCAACCCCTGCTACATCATTTTCGTCTCTCATCTCAAGGCCTCACTCACCGCACTTTAGTTCATCGCTTCCTAATGTAGCCTCATCATCAACCCCTGGAACCTTCGTTGACTTTTCACCTTCATCCTCGGCATCAACAATTGTATCAAACACAATCTCTATTAATGTTACAACTCCAATTTCAACAATAACTACAACAACTTCTAATCCTCTAGCAATCGCAACATTAACCCAATCATCGACTACAACCCCATCCATCCAGCCAACGATCGCTTCTTTTGTGCAACCCAAAACATCACTACCCCATCAGACTCAACAACCATCACCTCAACCACAACAATTAATGGTTAAAACGGATCAAACAATTATTGATCCTGAAATAGCAACACAACCACAATCTCTCTGTGAAAATCCTCCATCTTCATTCTTTTCACTTATACGTGATATTTTCTACATGAGCTCTTCAACAGATCGTAAATTAACATTACACAAATTAGAAGAATTAGTCAAGGAAAAGCTGAGAACAATCGATCAAAGCAAAGTTAATTGGAGCTATGAAATGGTTCAATCAGCGATGAATTATCTGAGTGAAGTTTTTCCTCCTCCTGACATGATTCCATTGGTTGATTATAAAGAGAAGAATCAATTATGGCAATGGATTGGCGTTAATAGAGATACAGATGATATTTTAATCGCTCTATGTAATGATTGGCTCGAGGAAAAGGATAAAAAGAGAACAACCAGTTTAATGGATCCTTCTCAACCTATTCCACCGGCTATTTGTCCGACAACATGGACAGTAAGATGTTCATCTGATGAGGAAAAACAATGTTATCGTGATCAAGAAGCTTTAAGATATAAGAAACCTCATAAAGCTTTCACATTCACGATCCATGGTTATACTAGTGTCGTTGGACCAGTCAAAGGTTGTGGGGTCGGAGGAACTGCACCTCACGCTGCTAGTCCCAATAAAGCGCGTGAACATTCATTATTAACGAAAGATAGACCTCCTTTTGTTACACTTCTAAGTCTAGTTAGAGATGCTGCAGCTCGACTGCCCAATGGTGAAGGTACTCGAGCCGATATTTGTGAACTGTTGAAAGACTCTCAATATTTATTGCCTACTGTTTCCGAGCAGCAAGTTAATGCAATTGTTAGTGGAGCTTTGGATAGGTTACATTATGAGAAAGATCCATGTGTTAAATATGATGTTAATCGTAAAGTTTGGATTTATCTTCACCGAAATCGAACTGAAGAGGAGTTCGAGCGACTTCATGAAGTTCAAGTAGCTGCAGCAAAAGCGAAAAGAATTTTAAATAAAACTCAAAGGAAATCTTGTTCATCTTCACCTTCTCCTTCATCAATAACACAAACTCCTTCCATTTCAACTACAATTGAAACTTTTCTAGAATTAATAATGTCACAAATGTCACAAATCTATCAGGTAAACCACAGCTCAGTGCCAAAGCAAACAAATCCGCCCTTGGTTCAGTACCCAAAACTGGTGAATCTCAATTTGAAACAAACTCATCAAATATTTTAAACACAACATCACCTCAACAATCAACATTATCACAACAACCTCAACAGCAAACAACTCAACTGTCATCTACATTAGCACCAACCATACCATTATTAACACCAGTCTCAGTATCGTCGATATCAACCCAAACCTCGATACCGACGCTGACATCGACTTGTGTATCAACTTTAGCTCCAACTTTAACATCGGTACCTGTGCAAACATCAACATCAACTCCAACGTTTTCATTTGTCACTTCGAGCAATCAACAATCAATCTCATTCCTATCTAATAATGCTCCTGTTAAAGCTTCAATCGCCGCTCCATCAACATCGACATCAATCAGTTCGAGCAATTTCAATTCTATTATTCCAGGTTTAACTCTTGCAACAACTCCTTCATCATCTTCATCAGGCATCACACTTAATTCAAGTTCGATTTCTACTCTTACAACCACCGCTTCCATCACACTCTCTTTTTCATCTACTATAAGTACCACAACCACAAATACTTTACCAAATATCAATCTGAGCTCTTCTAGTTTACAACGTCTTTCAATTGCCTCACCAGCTTTTAAGAAAAAAACTCATAGACTTAAGGTGGTTAAGAAAGAGCCGGACTCTGGTGATTTAGGATTAACTTCATCTAATCTTTCTGGTAAACCAATTGGTTATTCTGGTGGAACCATGACCATCGCCCCGATGCCAACGTCAAATCAAATTTTACCTGGTTTTGAGAAGATTGTCCCAAATCAAACTGCATTAATTTCAACAAGATTGGAATCATTTACATCACTAATTTCTGGAGAGAAAGGATCTCAGGTTAAACAGATTCGACCAGCAAAATCTGTCAATTCAACGATGAAAGTGACTCCAATAGTGACTTCATCTGTTGCAAATACTGGAAAAAATATCGATAATGTTCAACATTTTCTCAGTTTAACAACCAAAGCTACAAGTAACCTTCCCAGTAATATAACTATTACTTCATCAACAACCAAACCAATTGCTCCTAAATTAGGATCGACTCATCTAGAGACCCAACAAATTATTCTTCCCTCTGCCCCTGGTCAAACCCTTTTCGGCAAATCGATTTTAAATTCATTTGAAACTAAACAACCAGTCACCCAAATAATACAATCTTCGAGTCAAAAACAAGCCGCTTCAACTGTTCAACATCAAATATTGAAACCTATTCTTCCTGCTCCAATTCAAGCTATTCAGTCACACTCTCAACAGCAGACAAATCAACTGTCATCTACATCGACACCAACCATACCATTATTGACACCAGTCTCAGTATCGTCGATATCAACCCAAACCTCGATACCGACGCTGACATCGACTTGTGTATCAACTTTAGCTCCAATTTTAACGGCGGTGCCTGTGCAAACATTAACATCCAATCCAACATTTTCATTTGTCACTTCGAGCAATCAACAATCAATCTCATTCCTATCTAATAATGCTCCTGTTAAAGTTTACTTTATCTCTAAATCATGTGTACGAAAATGAGAAAAACAAAAACATCACTCGAGAATCAGAATCCTAATAACTTAGACTCAATTGGTAAAATTGTAAAAAACAAACGACTACCTTAAAGAAAAGACGAAATTATTAACAATATATATTGTTTGAAAAATATTCTGATTCCAACAATTTGATTCATTTAATAAGAATGAAAAATAGGTAAGCAATTAAATCTCTTTAATTGTTATTCTTGTGACATTAGTTGCAATTTTTGGTAATACAAACAGTTGATTAATTGTTCATTCAACTTCTAACTTATTATAAAAAAGATAATCGGTCACTTTCGGTGAGATTTCCATGGTAATTGCTAGACCAGCATCGCGAGCGATAAAGGTTCGAGTAACTAAGGCCACTTGATATCGATGATCGAAAGCATCGGACATACGATCTTTTGAACCATTAACTTCAACCGCGAATTTGGTATTTGTGATTTTCGTAATGTACATACCAAGCATCACGGGTTTCTTTGATTCTTCGGACTATTTAACCAACAACAATGGAAATTAATTTAATTCAATTAATCCAAGAATCTAAAAGAAAACAAAAATCAACAGTAACTTACCTGTTCGATATCAATATCAATGTACAACCGCTGAGCGGGAGTCTTAGCTATTCCCCAACTTTCATCGTCGCCGTAAACCCAATCGTAATGGAAGGTCACATTTTCAACAACCAATTTCAATTGTATCGCTCCTATTGTATCATTATGGCAGATCAACAGAACGGGTTCTTGGGACAAACTGACCGAGTCCATGCCGTTAATAAATCCCCGTTTCAGATAAACATCACCTAGAAGTCTTCGAGGTAAACGAACGGGCTTAGTGTCATCAAAGCCCATTTTACCGACCATTTGTTTAGCCCATTCAGTTTGATCTTTCCCATTGATACATTTACCTACAGCTAAAGTTGAAGTTGAATTAATTAAATGAAAGAAATCATCAAAGATAATTACATGTAAATAATTGATTAAGATTTTTAAACTTACCATAAGTTGATGAAATTAAAGTTAATAAAAAAATGATAACTGAGATTAATAAAGTTAATTGTTTCATATTGTTGTTGTTGTTGATTTTGTTGATTTAGTCTAAAAATATGATGATGATTGATGAATTATTGTCTGAGTGATGATTAGGAAAACAATTAAGATGAATTAACTTTGATTGTATCACAATTACAATTGATTTTATCTCATCGAGTTGAAGATGAGATCAAAAAAAGTTTGAGAGTCGCTGTTGTTTTAATCAACTCTTTAACTCCTTTTGACCTGATTCAATTTGATTAAATTACATTTGATTGTGATTACAATTTAAGTGATTTACTCAGAGGCGAGTCAATTAAATGGTCAATGGTTAATCAGTCAAACAATCAATACTATGATCAATTGAAGCGAAAACGGAAACGTAAATTGGTGTAACGTGTTTCTGTCAATTCATTGGAAACCTAATTAACTTCCGCTTAATCATTAATTTTCATTCCTTCCTATTCTCATAATTATCATAATCAACATCACACTAATCATAATTTATAAATCATCTTCCTTTTAATTCTTAACAATTAACAAACATTTTTCTACAATCAATGATTCAACAGAAAAGAAGAGTAATTTAAAAGCTTATTAATTAACCATAGGAATCGATTTGTTTTTACCAACAAATCAATTCCAATCACTGTTAATATAATTGATCGATAGCAATCAGCTAATTGATATGATACGATTTGTATAAGGAATTGTTTTAGATTCAGTTGATTGTAATTAAGGATAAATTTATTATCAAATACCATATGATAATTAAAATAATGTATTTTCAATAATATAATAGTTGAGGTGTTGATTACTTAGAGATAGATAAACAATTGAGTCTTAATCAGTTGAATAAATAGTTAATTAACAATTTGTCTTCTCACAATCAATACATTTGATCAAGAAAAATGTATATTCAAAATAATCAAGTTAATCATACTCGAATTAACAATTGAAATTAAATAAGATAGAAAAGTTTTTGTTTGAAATAGTTAATATATAAAAGTAACTATTACAAATTGGATTATAATAGTAAAGTAAATGATTAAGATTAGTAATTAAGTGATTAAGTTAATCAATAGAGTCAATCAAGAATGAGAGTTATGAAGAAACCATGATCTCTCCGTTGGCTCCACTGGTAATCTGTTGATTATTTGTAACAATATCGACAATTGTTTCACCAACAATCGGATTAACTTGATCAACTTTATCGAGATGATCTTGATCAAAGTTAATTGTTTTCAAAATTTGCTTATCTGGACAATCCTGGAAATCTTGTAAGGCTGAAGCATAACAAGTTCTAACTAAATTGGTTGACCCTTTGGGAAGGTCACCCTTGGCCTCTAACTCTTCCGTCGAAGGTGAAGTGAAAACTTCCTCAGGCCACAACATCGGCCTGGTACCACCCATGTAATCGGGAACATTGTCCAGTCCTAAGAAATTGTCGATATTGTTTGGGTTGAGGAAATGAAATTTATTCTGATACTGAGCTGGAAACCAAGACTTGACCAGTTTGAGAATGGCCATTAGAAGCCATGGGATCTCGTAGACGGCGAGATATTGAAGAGAACCGGGATAATAGTTGAGAATCGTCTTAACGGCAAAAAAGTCCAATTCAATTTCCACATTTGAAATGCTTCCTCGACGAGCATCAACTACTAGACCGATTCCATGGCCATTACGTGCTGCCTGTTTCTCTGCACGTTCAATCATGAAGACGATGTATCGCTTAATCATCGGCATCCAGCCCGAAAGAGCTCGATGTCTCTCGATTCGCAAATATAAAGTTGTTATATTATTTTTATCCTTATAAAATTCGTGTAATTCACCAACTCGAAAAATTTCCTTCGGAAAATCAGAACTTTTCATCGTATTTACACCAAACGATTTTCGCCAACGAAGACAATCCGATAACATTTTAATCGCGTCTTTAACTTTCCCATATCGTTCATCGAGAAATCTTTTCACATATAAATCGTCACCAATACGCTTGAGGTCACATTGGTCAAACGCTTCGGTATCGGTCAATGATTCCTCCATAATCCGATTTCTAATTGTTACAATTGATTCCATCTCTTCACTTGTAATCTCCATTTTGCTTAATTAATTGTGATTCGAAAACACTCTGAATACAATTAATTCACTTGGAAAAGATGCACAAAAATTAACTCTGATTGTTGTTGATTCGTTGAACGTTGATTGTTGAATAAAATTTCAGTGAACTGAACGTTGCTCAAAGTAAAATTTTCCCGATCAAGTTAATGATCAAGTTAATTTAATCATGAAAACTGGTTCCTAGAAAAAGGGAAGTGAAAAGAGAGAGAGAGAGAGAGAGAGAGAGAAGAGTTTAAATTAACAATTAAATTAGTAATTAACTAGGATAATGATGATTAAAATGATGGCGATGATGAATGAGATAAACAATCAAGCGAATTGATTGTTAAATTAAACAACATCGGAAGAAATCAAATTTCAAATCATTTCTGTTTTACCTCAATAGAAAAATTGATTAAATTAACTAATTTCTAGTAAATTGTAAACACTTTGTTGGTAATACTGTTAATGATTAACATTGATTGAATTGTGGTCAACTGTTAATTGTGAATGAATTTGTTGAAACTTTAAATAGTTTTTTTCTCATCTATTTTTAATCTATCAACTGGTTATGATTACAATCAATTAATTGTTGTCATACTTAATACATAATAAGTCAAATGTCAGCTAATCAGGTTTTGATTAACTCGCAATTTATTTGGTCAATTAATTTATCAATTGATTAACTGATAGTAATAAATTTTTCTTTACTTTTCTTTTAATTTAGTTAAATATCAAGGACACTAATTAGTAGTTTGTTTACATTTAAATTTGATTCAATTTTGGTTGTTCATTTAATTCCAGTAACCTGACAATTAATCTGTTCACTTTTTGATTATGTATTTAAGTTAATTCAGTTTCACGGTCAAATAGTGAATATGATTCAATTCATTCAATTTAAATAATTGTAACTTTCCAATGATTAAGATTAATCTAATCTGATTTCTAACAATTTGATTCTATTTTTAACTTTTCTTCATTTAATTGAAAGTTTGGTGAACTTTCAACTTTATATTAATAAATTAATTTCAATCAACGACCTTGCCAATTAAATTTAATTGTAATACAACAAACACCAGCATAATTTACTTGGTAAACTGTCAATTTATTAGTAAATTTAATTATTTGTACCTCACAATTAAATGTCATTTTAATTGGTATTTAACTAATCAGATGAACTTTAACTTTTTATTAATTTCAAAAGTTTTAATCGTTGAATCTTAATTGCTCATCATGGTTAATTATTGATTGTAACTGATTAAATTAAAAACTATCTTCTCTGATTTTCCAAGGTATTTAACTCTAATCTTATTGTTGATTGTTTATTTACTTAATTATCGATTACCTTGAGCATTGATTGTCTTTCTTGTCATTTGTTCAATATCAGAAAGGGTTGATCATATTTGACAATTAGTAAATTGTCCAATTCCATGAACTGTTAACAATTTATTCATGGATCTCACTAATTGTCTTAATCGTTGTAAAAATAAATAGCACTTTTGATAGGAGTCTTGATTGCAATTAATCCACTGGCAAAAACAAAGGGGGTAATTGTTAATTGTGATCTAAAATTAATTACGATTGCAAAATTTAGGGTTGCTAATGAATAAACAATTTAATCACATGTTCAATAGATGGTTTGTTGTTTTAATCAAATTGTGATTAATTTTCATGTTTAGAAAATAGCAAATAAATAACGATTTGCTTTTGATTGTAACATTTAGTTGATTGTGAATCTTTTTCTTAATGATAAATTTTCTTAATTTCAATTGCCTGAAGCATTTATCGGAAAATTGAAACTCGTCATAGAAAAATAATAAACTTAATGATACCAAGACAATTAGATTGTAATCCTAAATCAGATTAACTGATTGTTGTATCAAACTCCTAATAAAATTAACCTTGAATCTGAAGCTAATTGAAATTAAATGATCAAGACAATTTTTAAATGTTAACTAGATGAATTGATTTTCAGTGTCAATAATTAGTTGATTGATTTACCTTAATAAAGGATAAATTAGCTGAATAATTAAGAGAAAAAATTTACTCACTTTGATCATAATTTGATTGTAAATGAATGTAAACTAATTGTCAGCTGAATATTTGATGAGATTGATAAGAAATCATGATAATGATGAATCAAAAACACAATCAACTAGATCGATATCAATTGTAACAAGGATTTAATTGATTTCACCTGATTAACAAACATTAATTTGGTGACAATTTACCAACAGATTAACCAACATAAGGAAAATGAATGTGAAATTGTGTTGATGGTTAAATGGGTTCGCCTTTCCAATGTCTATGTAATTTCATGGTTAATGTACTGAATTTTACTGAACAATATTCAATTCTCAATTATTTTCATCATTATTATTTATCTAAATGTTATTATTACCATGATGATGATTAACTTGATCCACCTAAACGGAAAAATCGATGAAACAACAATAAAGAAATTGAGTTAACGTTTACTTACGCAGTCTCGTCACAATCAACTAATCATTAGTATCAAGGTTTAAATCATTACCACTAGTTAATGGTTGAATATGTAATTGTGTTGATAAATTACTTAATTCTAATCACAATTAGAATACAAATTACAGTTGATCAGTTTTTTTTTCCTCGCGACTTTTATTTTTCACTTTTCACAAAGATGATTAACTTAATCACTTAGAACTCTTTATCCTTCGTACCAATTAAAGTTAATCAAAATTGTTAAAATAATCATATCTTTTCATTAGGATTTTATTAATTCTATAAATAAAATTTAAATTATCAACAATCAGCTGATTTAATTCAGTTAACTTCAATTACAATTTATGTACAACGTTGTCATTGTTTTATTATCTTTAATTGTCTTGAGATTATTTAATTAACTGGTCATAGCTATCCAATTAATCAATGGTTAAATTATCATGTACATTTGATTGTTTGAGAGTTACAGCTGATTAACTAGATTTAGCTATTCAATCAACAATTTGCTGGAACTAAAAAATCACATAGAATCAAATTGACTGATCAAAAATCAAAGTTAATTGTTGACGAATCAACTTTTCAAGGCTCTTTTTAACAATTTAATTACATATATAATATCCTATCAAGGTTAATCAACAATTCATTTCAAACCAAATCAAATTGATCAATGATTAGATTTATTTTAGACAAATTAAGATAATGAGGAAAAAAAGTTCCACTATCAAGATTTTTATAAACTTGATAAATAATTTGATTAATTAAATAATTTTCAATCAATCCATTGAAATTGATTGAAATGTAAATCATCTCATGATTATTTCTAATTTTCTCTAGTCAAACTTAATTGTTATCAAGAATTTTCAATTCTTCGTGATATATTCAGTCCCCATAAGGGACAAATTGTTAATACATTTGCCCACTTTTGGTTGAACTAACAAACATGACATTCAATTGAGTTGGAATATTGATAATCCTTGGTGGTGATCAATTTATATTAAAACAAATACAATTTATCGGGTTTAATTCACTTTTAATTACTTTTATTGATAAAAATTCGTGCAGTTTAGTTGCATTGGAATCCAAGAGATGGCGTTACTGGCGATTTTCTCTTTATTTTGATGCGGTTTAATTTTCGGACGAAAACAAATAACCGCAATTCTCATGTGTTTGTTTTTGTCTATTGTTTGGTTTATATTGATAATATTTTGAACTGTTAATTAAATAATTTGTGACCATGACTGTGACTTATGTTGACCAGGTGAAAGACCATTTTCAAAAGAATAACCGATTTCGAGATTATCAGTCGCACTCATGTAAAGTTCACTCGGTTGATTGGAGCTGTGATGGTCATCGATTGGCCTCTGGAAGTGTTGATAAATCAATTTCTATATTTAATTTGGACAAAGATCGATTAAATAAAGAGTCTACATTAAAGGGACACTCAGATTCGGTTGACCAGCTTAGTTGGCATCCATCTCATCCTGACATTTTGGCCACCGCCTCATTGGATAAAACAGTTCGCCTTTGGGATGCTCGTACCTCCAAAAATTATTCCACAATTAATACCAAAGGTGATCTTAATAATCTTTAATCAAGTTGATTCCTTGATCCTTCAAACAAAGGCAGATTATCATCTTTAGTAATCACATGGTATTCACCTGATAATCAGGATAAAATTCATGTTGTTGATGATCATTAGAACGATGATAAATTGCTCTTTGTAATTACTTTTGTTGTTTTCTTCTCTTCTAATCAATTTATTTCTCATTTCCTTAATTAGGTGAAAATATCAACATTTGCTGGTCTCCTGATGGTTCATCGATTGCCGTTGGTAATAAAGAGGATCTTATTACTTTCATTGATGCCAAACAACAGAAAATTAAAGTTGAACAATCATTCAAGTTTGAAGTAAACGAAATAAGTTGGAACAATGATAATGACCTTTTCTTTCTGACCTCCGGCCAGGGATGTATCCATGTTCTCAGTTATCCCGATTTACAACCACAGATAGTACTTAATGCTCATCCGGCCAATTGTATTTGTATTGAATTTGACTCAACGGGTAAATATTTTGCCGTTGGTTCTGCTGACACAATGGTCTCATTATGGGATGCGAATCATTTGGTTTGTTTGCGAACGATTTCACGATTAGAATGGCCTGCAAGAGCGATCAGTTTCAGTCATGATGGTAAATTATTGGCCTCCGGATCTGAGGATCTCTTAATAGACATAAGTTATGTTGAAACAGGAGAAAAGATCACTGGTGTTCCCGTTGATTCACCGACTTTCACAGTGGCCTTTCATCCTTCCCGATACATATTAGCCTTTGCCTGTGATGATAAGGATACTTTTGGCCGTGATTGTGGAACCGTAAAGATATTTGGCTTACCAAATAATTAACAATTAAATGAAGAATATATTAACATTCCTTGATCATTTATTATGATTCAATCATTTTCCAAGGATCTCAACAAAAACGTCAATACTTTTGTTTGGCCATTTGAATGTAAATATACATTTTCTAGGGGAAAAACATCAACAAATCAATTTCATTTCACTTGTTGAAAATCAAGTCATCGATAATTATATAATTTTCTTATTAATTGTCATGGTAAAGAAAATGCATCATTTGTAAAATCTACTCATTGTAATAAAAAAAGATTTTCAGTATAAAAAGAAATCGATCACAAAAACAAAATACTGATTAACTAATTGTTTCTAAGATGTAACAGTCGCCATTTTAATGGTGTTTGCATCTTCGACGTTCGGATTGGATTCGTCCGTCGCCACGGAGGTCAAAGTGTCCGTGTAACTGCCATCAGACGCTGGGAATCCAATGTTCGGAGATGGCCTGGGCTTTGGTACTAATGTTCCATTGTTCATTCGCTCGATTGCAATTCGGATCTAAATTAGCGATTGGAAAAAATGGTTCGAAACAATTGAGAAAATTGTGATCAACACGATTAATTGTTACTCATCAAACTTACATCTTTTAGTGTAACTACCCCAACCAAACGACCGATTGATGTTACATAAGCTAAATTCAATTGTAACATTGAAAACAATGAATGAACTTTAATCAACGAAGTTTGTTCAACCAATTGGAACGGCGCTGGGTCGATGTGACAAGCTGAGAGATCAATGATTGAATTTAATTGCTCCTCTTCCCAAGCGAGCTGTTCCTCCGGTGACATATCAATTACTCGCTCTCTTGGCTGATTTGTGGTGGAAACAAAGATGCAACAAACTATTAGAACAATTAATTGATTATTTGGATCAACAATTTAAAATGATTACCAATTGGACTCTCCGTTGAATTGAAGGGGTACTTGGAGCACTATTGGATACAACTCCACTAGAGACCTGCAATTAAATTAATCAAAACACAATAGAGTCAAGGTGAAATCAGTTGATAGTTAATTGTGATAATTATTGAATTCTTACTTTGCTTGGATGAGCATCTTGAAGTTTCAAACTCTTCATGAAGATATTTTCAAATGCTTGACGTAATCGAAAGTCTGTAAATTAATGATAGAAAATAGAAAATATTAATCGACTTATTGACTTATTAAAGGGTCAGTTTGGTTTGTGAATGGTCAAGACCTTGAGTTATCGTTGAATTTGGTGAATATGTTGTGAAAGTTGCTGTTTGTTTCAAGATTGATTTAACTGGTGTTTTGGTCCCCATGGTGGGCGAGGGTGGAGGTGATGATCGTTTCGGCCCTGATTTACCTCCATCGATTGAACTTGCACCACTTCCAGCCGATCCGGTGGTGAATCCATCGTTTTGACTGTTGATTAAACGAACTTCAAAACGCGATTTAGCTTCCGGTGTTTTTGGCTGAGTGAGCGATTCTCTTGATGATTCCATTGTCGAGGGTAAAGTCGAAAAGGTTCTCATCACATCTTGTTGAGAATATCGTCTTTGGACTTCTTGTAATCGCTTCTCTTTGCTAAGTTGTTTATTCAAAATGTATCGAAGTTCATGACGCTGAATTGAGCCTAAAAGTATCATAGACGATGGAGTATCTACTAGAGGGAAGGTTTCGATCTTAACGAATGTCTCCAAAGTGTTCAGTAAATCCTTGTAAGAGCAGCGTCTCCAAACATAAACGACATCACGAGTCATTATATCGTCGACCATAATCCGATGGGCCGTTGATGAGGTCGATTTGATTGATGGTAAAAAGGGAAGCTTCTTAATCTCAATGATAGAATCATAAATTGATGGTTTTAACGATTGAGCGATCCCATTGGCGATCAGAACGGACATGATAACAGGAATAATATGAGACATTTGACCAGTTAGTTCAAAGACAATGACCGTCGTTGAGATCGTATGTGTAACCGCTCCAGCGAAAGCGGCCGCACCCACGACAGCATATCCTCCAGGAACAATCGGGATGTTTCCTAATAAACGACGAAAATACAAATCAATCATATTGATGTTGATAGAAAATTGAACAATTAAGGAAACATACGATCTCCAAAAGGTATTCCATCCGGACATAGAACGGCCATAATTTCACCAACAAGTCGACCGAAAGCTGCGCCCATTAGAAAGACAGGGATAAACACCCCGCTAGGAACGGGAATCGTTGAGGCCAAAGCCGATGTCCACCACTGTTGATAATTGAAGTGATAAAAGTGTCACAGTAATTAGATCATTTTTAGTAATTTGCTGATTCACATCACGGGAAATAAACAGTGATGATAGTTGACAATTTGATTGAGCAAATTAAATTCTCACCGTCATGAAAATATAAAAACATAAATGAAAATAAAAACTCGTATGATCTGTAGTCCAATCCTTCAGAATACCCTGAGTAACATAATCTTGAGAACCTGATCCCCATGTAATATTACTGAACAATTGATCAACCAAGTGATGAGTTGAAACCTGAATAATAACAATTAAACACAGAGAAAATTAACTTTACAACGAATCTAATTTGCCAGTGGATGAAAAAATCACAATTAGAGCTTGAAAAAAGTTTAGGAAAACCATACTAATAGTTAAGGAATACAAATCGAAACTTAATTATCCCCTAATTGAAATTAAATAGGATTTTAACAGGAATAAATAATAATCGAAAGATATTATTAATTGTTGATTGAATTTACTTGAATTTTGATAACCTTGAAAGTAAATTTGATGCAATTACACAACAATGAAAGACAATAATTAGCCTCAAGTTATTATTGGTGGACGATTGTGAATTATAATTATGAGCATAATTGTTAATCGGAAACAAGAACAAGTTGACAATTAGGTTAATTGTAGTTAAATCAATCTACCAACCTACTTACCTCAACAGTCATGTATTTACCTAGGAATGGAGGGAAAGTACAGCTCGTGATAATAAAAGTAACCAGGCCTGGATAAAGAAATCGACTGAGAAGAGAAATGATAATCAATTGTAATTAAATGATAATCTAAATCTGATTGCAAACAAATAATAACAACACATAAACACTTGGCACTCATAATAGATAATCAAACATTCAACAAGTTATTAGATTGATGATGAAAACGCTGAGGCTTTGTTATTGTCTCTTTAGGTGAAGTTAATTGATTATTAATTGTTGAAGTACTTACTTAAGTTGAAGAAATTGATTCCATCGTTTGTGATTACGATTGAATTGTACAATTTTACGATGGAAGGCAACATAACAAGCACCACCGAATCCGCAAACTGTACCAATCAGGGCGAAGATGAACAACTCTTGGGGATCGAAGGGAAATTCTGATTTGAAGCTTGTTCTAAAAAGTGCCGAAATTGCTGTCGAATTGAGAATTGGAAATTAATTAGAACTTTAATGCGATTTCATGATCGATTTATCAATAGTCTTACAAGCATCTTTAATCCATACAGTTAATAATCTCCAAATTGTGGCACCACAACAAGCGGCGAAAAAGCCACGCCAATAGTTTCTCACAGCAAAGTAAACTGATGTTACCTCGATTGAGAAAAGCACTCCACCGATGGGTGTGTAAAATGTAGCTGCCACTCCCACCGCACATGCAGCGGCCAACATTTCACCGGTTCGAGATTCATTCTCGTAAATACCTTTAAAAGTGGTCACCATTCTGGACATAAGAGTCGCTATGATTGACGATATATGGACAAACGGACCTTCCCGACCCAATGGTAATCCGGAGGCAAGAGTAAAGGAAAGTCCAACAATCTTGGCGATTAGAGTTCGAAAGGTAAGATACTCGTTAAGCACCACACCACCTAGAATAGTTTTCATTTCTGGAATACCCGAACCAACCGCTTGTGGAGCAACAATATGTACAAAGCCCGAGGCGAACAAGATCATCAGCACCGGTGTCGATGTCCACCCAATAAATTTCCACACCGGTGAGTTATATGTAAAATCTTTGTACAGTCGCTGGCGAGCGGTCACCGTCGATTCGATGACAATATTAATAAAGAAGGATAAAAATGCCATCGACATCCCGAGAAGCGCTAAGAAAATCCAATCCTCGCCGATCTTTGCGAAACTGTGTTTCCAAAAGATCTGAAAATAAACTGTAATCAATAGAGAAACAATTAGTTGATCACCAAATTCGGTACATTTAATCAGCTAACATTTTCTTGGTGGGTAAACAATTGATTGATTATCAGACTAACATTTGATTGGAATCATTTACCGGACAATTAATAATCTAAAAGAATCAATTTTCAATAATCAAAGTAAACAAAATGTTACAATAATCAAAATTAAGCACAATACCAATGACAATTATTGTTTAAGTTAATTAGTTGATTTAAATAGTAACTTATCATTTCGAGGACAAATGATTGATACAATTAATAGTAGCTGATTATTCAAACAATTATAAAACATTTGATTGAGCTTTTGATTGTGATTAGTAAATCTAATTACATTGTATAATCTGATTGTTTAATCAGGAAACCTTGAGTTGATTTCAATTTGAACAGTTTAAACTATTGTCAATTAATTGTTACAACTAATGAATGGTTCAAAATTGTGATTACGATCTGAACGATTAATTGTAAGGAAATTAATCAATGAACTAATTCTTAATTTTGATAATAGAAAAGGAAAAGGAATCAACTTTTTCTTTCAATTCTATAAATAAATTCACTTTCTAAACAGTAGTTGTAACAATTAACGAGAACGTGTTAATTGTTGGAACATTTTTGGCAACAATTATCAAGGTTGGATTACAATTAAATCATAGACAATGATAATCAGTTGGCAATCGAGACAATCTATCCAATGGTTAACGATTTACTCGCAACTAATCACAATTAGATTTAATTGTCATGATGAAATTTTCCAAATTAAACATTAATCATTTTTCAAATTTCTTGAACATTGTTTATAATTTAATGTTTCTAATTGTGTTAATTGTTAATCAATTAGAAAAATGAAACTCACATTAATCAGCTGATTGATTGTTGTTAATTGTGAACAAGTTGATAGCATTGATGATGAAAAATATCAAAGCTAATTAGATTTGAAAAGAATCAGCTAATTAATTGTCAAGCAAAACAGATTGATTAACACAATTGGAGTCATTGGTTGGATTTTTAATTGGGAGAAATTGAAAAAGTTAATTGTTACCTTTTTGATTTACCTTAATTCAATTAAGTGATGAAAAGATGTTTAGTTTATTTGATGATTTTCATGATTAGGCAATTTTTTGATTGTTGAAATTGTTAATCAACACAAGTTAATTTCATTGATCGGTAACTAAACATATCTCATAACATATAGATTGTTTTAATTAACTTGACAATCAATTGTCAATCATAATCAGTATTACAATTAACTATTAGTGGTAATTGATTGTTAATCATTAACTAAATTCGCTAATTTTCTGATTGATAATCTCTTTCTTTTTTGATTATGTTAACAACTTTACGACTAATCAATACTTAATTATTATCAATTTAATTAGTAATTAACCTACAATTAACTTCACTTTACTACTTGATTTAATTTTCATCTCGATCATTAATTGTCATGATAAATAGACGATTTTAAATAACCATTTTTCGCAAGATTAAGTTAATTGCTTCATATCAATTTTAGATTTTAAACCAATGGAATATTTTTTGATCAACACACAGAACAATTAGTTAATTGTTTACTTAATAACAATTGATTAAATGTTTACTGTTAAGAACGAGGATCAACTCAAGTGTAAACCTCAAGTATATCAGAAGGATTAATTTGGTTAATAATTATATCATTGATTGTCGATTAGACTTGATTGTTATTTCACAATTAAAACAAAAGTCAAGAGTTGATAAACAATTTGATAGGCATAACAGTAGAGTTAATAGTTAGCAATCAAAAAGATAAATAATCAACAATCAAATCACGGAAATATTCAGATCTTATTGGGTTTTATTAGTGACAATTTAAACTGAATTTAGGATTGATCAAGAAGCAATTAGAATCCGTAATCTTTTGTTGAAAATTGAAACTTGATGATGAAGAATCGTATTAAAAGTTAATCACTTGATTGTTGGTAAGATTTGCATAGAATTAATGAAATAATTTAGAACAATTAACTTACCAGAAAATTTTCTTTTCCATGTTGATTGGTACTTTTTAAATCCTTTCTTAATTAACGACGATTCCTCTTTACGTTTAATTGATTTCATCCTTCGAGCTTGAGCTTTGGCAAATCGACCCAAATCCTCGCGATATTGACCATACATCTGAAACAATTAACATAATTTATCAGTTGATTGTTTAATTTGGTTAATCTTCCTCTCTATTGACCACTAATCCATAGGATTAATCACTTACATAAGTTACAAGAGAATCGGAAACAACACCCATGCTTAATTGTGATTAACACATGGATTAGTAAAGGTTATTAACTTATCAAATTTGGTGACATTTCATTTGGTTATTTAGGTAAATTGTTAACAATTAAACGGTAAACAAGACGATAGGACACTAAGAGTGGACAACAATCACTTTAATTGTTACTAGAATTGAGTTGAAATCCAATGAACTTCATGATATCAAAATTATCCAACAAGGTAAATGATGAGAATCACAGTCTAGCCTCTAGATTAATTAATACTTAACTAACACTTAATTTCAACAATTTATCTTTAATCACTTCACAACTTTCATCTTCATCTTCCTAATTATCATCTTCATCTCATCACTTATAAAGGTGTAAGATAATAATTAAGAAGGAAGAAAATTTTAGATTAGAAAAGTTTAATCAATAACATTTTTCATCTTAATTGTTTACTAATGATCAACAATCAATATAAATGTATCATTAATTGGATCAGCTTCGCATCCTCGATTGGGATTAGTGTTAATCTGTTAAAATAATCATCTAATTAAATTGATTAATTTTCCCTCCGAGAAGGTCACACTTTAATTGTTGACTTTCATTTTTGGTTAATTGTGTTGTAATCAATCAGCAAATTAAGATGATTGAGGCCTGAGGCATTGGAAAATTATTGTTATTCAATTAGTTTAACAATATCTTTGATTGTTGATTGTTGTGGTTTGGATCAATTTGGTTGATTAAATTGTCACAAATATGGAGAAATCAATGCTGATTCTTTGTTCATATTGTCATCGTGTGTTAATTACAATTAGTTAACCATTCAATGGTTGATTGTTCTGTTCCCCTAATAATCATTTAATTGGTGCAATATTATCAATACATTTAATGATTGAACAATTAGCTGACATAATTACAACTAGTCAACAATTAACTAACCAAAGTTGATTTTTGTTTAAAAAGATGAATCAAATTGTATATTAATTAGTAATATTTAATTATGTTGATCATAGTGTGTAGGTTAATAGCTTTGTACAATGTTAATTGTTGCCAAGTCGGGAGTTGATTAACAAAGAAATCAGTAAATTGTCAACAAATTGAATAAAATATTATTCAAAACAAGTTACCAAACAAGTTTATTAATCATTTACCCAAATTGTTATAGTTAATTACAGAGGAACAAAAAATTAAGGCTTGATTTAGATTCATCATTAAGTTAATTGTGGACAGAGGGAAATCCCAAATGTAATTTTGGAGAAACTTTTTGATTAATAAACTAAAAGTGAAATTGTTACAGAAAACAATCAAATCAACTAATTGTCATGAAAAGTATAACTGATATTTTAAAGTTAATTGCAACATTGAAACTTAAATTGTTGAATCAATGATTAACAATTACCTTTTTGACCCTTTCTAACAATTCAATTTGATTGTTGCTATGTTATTATTTCAAACGATTATCATTTAGCCTGAGGCTAGTTACAAATCATCGTCATTATGATCAATGATAAACTAGTCAACAATTAAAAAATATCTCGGCCATTAAACTATCGTAATTGCTGGAAACATCAGAAAGGTTAATCATAATTGTTTTCCGACTGATTAAGGCGTTGATTTAATTATCACCATCATCGTGTTGCTTTATTCAGGTAAATGGGATAATTCAGTTCAATAATTGAAATGGATCAACGATGATGATGATTAACTTGATCATCTTAATCAACAACTTGTTAAATATAATAACAATTTCAAGATCAAATCAAGCAAATCATTTGGTGATAACAGTTAGTTGATTAAGGGGAAAATTGATTAAACATGAGAGAAGTGATTAATTTTATCTAATAAGTAATTAACTAATTACAATAATAAGATTGATGAGTTTGTGTTTTTAACTTTTCAAATTGATCAACCAAAATTGTTACGATGTTGATAAAAAAAACAAATAACCATTTTAATTGTTATTAATTAAACAAGGTAATTGTAACATTTAATACATATCAATTACCGGTTGATTAAGGTAAAAATGATTGCTAATTAAATGTTAATATTACTATTTAATGATTTAATAGAGAGACGGATTCATATTAAAATCAAGTGTCGATTAAAACTTACCAATGTATGTTCATATCCGAGACTTGATCCTCTTCGAGTCATTTTGATTGTTGATGGATTAAGGATTAATCCGAATGAGATTAAGATCAAGTGACTAAGTTTATCGGTGGTTGATTTAAATTACGATGGACACTTGGAAAGGCCGATGAGATTTGATTGAGTTTTCTGACGATTTGAAGCTGAAAATTGAGACGAAACGTTGATTGTAAATCGTTGATGATGACGACTGATCGTTGGGGCAATTAGAGTGATAATTAATTGCTATATTGATTGTTATTAATTTTATTATTTTAACCTTAAATCACAATTAACAAGGTTTAGGGATAATTATTAACAAAGACAAAAACATTGAAGGTAAAATTAAACAGCAACAATTAACTATTGGAATCAACATATTGACAGTAAAGAGTTGAACCCAAAAAAACCCAATCAATCAAGAGAGGAAATTAAAATAGATAATTATTATAATTAATCATTAATTGTAACATCTTTCTGATTATATGACGATGATGATGATAACAAACACACAATGATGATGATGAGACAATTAGTTAAATAGAAGTGGAGAAATTAAAAACTCTGAAAAAAACGAACCAATATAATCACATTTAGATGGATAAAGAAATTATTAGAACAATTTAGAATTGTGATCAGAGTTGAATTGAATTGTGTCGAACAATTAACTGGATTAACAAAGGATCTAGAATCATGATCAACTAATTATGTTTTCATTAACTTAATTAGGAAGTTAATTGTTGCCGACGATGTTGGTGTTGACATCCCGAGAACATTGTAATCGTTTGGACGAATGATAAGTTTAATTGGAATGAAATTAAAAGATTTTAATCAACGATGAACAAAAGATAATTAAGATGATGAGGATGATGGAAAAGATGATGAAGATGATAAAGATGATAGAAAGGGAGTCAAGATGATAAAATTAAAGAAAAAAGAACGAATCGTTTTATCTTTTCTCTTATTCTGTAAAAATTACTAATACAAATACGTTGATAGTTTATGAGTGAGACTCAATGATGGAGGGAGATGAAGATAAGGATGATAAGAGAGAGAGAGAGAGAGAGAGAGAGAGAGAGAGAGAGAGAAAGAAAGAGAAGATAAACCGGTAAAAGTGAGACTTTCTTTTTCTCTTTAAAAGATAAATTTAAAAACTAACATATAAATTGAATGAGGAAGGTGAAAATAAGGTCAACTGATTAAAGATTATTAATCTTAATGATTATGATTAACTTTGATTAACTGATTAATTTTCAATAGATTTGATTATTGAGACTCATGATTATATAAGGAAATTCAACTTTTTTTTTCAATGTTAATTATAACGTTTGAAAAAAAGTTAATTGTTCCAATCGTACCTTTAAATCATTTGTGTTCAGACTGATTGTGGGTTAATTATTACAATTCAAGGTTAATTTAAATTTAGTTTTTGTTTCAATTAGTTATATTTAATATTCATTAGACTCTTTTGATTGCTCAAAAATTAACAATTAATGATAATTGGACTTGAAATTTACAAAGAGATATAAAGTTAATTGTGTTCATGGGCTTTAACATACAATTAATTGTTGTTGATTATTTTTTTTTGTACCTTGCGGTTAAATTTTTGATTAGAGTTGAAAAATGATTACATCAATTGGTACAATTATAATTGTGATTAGAATCATTAGAAACAAACATAGGTGTTGATATAACGAAAATTTTTACACAAGATGAAATTGATGAAAATCATTTGATGGAAAATAAAATTTACATAATGATGTTGATGGTGATTAAATTAATGCTAATCTGATTAGATTAGAAGTCGCTTGCTGCTTAATTGTTCAGACAACGAAGTATTTACAAAGATAACGTCGGGCCAATTCAGGTGATCCACTTGCCCGGTAGATTAACGATAGATTGAAGGATATCTCACAATTAAGATTAAAACGAGTCTGTGAGGAGAGATCAAGACAATTAGTATTAATTGAGAAATTTAGATTATCATTTAAATGTAATAAACCTTTTCAACGGGTGAATTGAAATCCATGTCAATTGAACAATTTAAAGCTCGTTCATAGAAATGAATCGCTTCGTTTAAAAGACCAAGTTGATGAAAAGATCGACCGATATTATAAAGACTTTCTTGACATTCACCACGAGTTTCGAGGTAAAGATTGAGGAAGGCGCACATCTTATTAGAAAGAAAAGACAAAGATGATTAGTTAATTGTTGCACCAAGAGAATTGAATGCTATTCACCTGCATAAAAGCCGAATGACGATTCGAAGTGAATTTTTGACAGGCGATATGTAGAAATCCAATAGCGACACATAAGATAGCGAAAGGATCTTTCGGGTTTTCTTTGTGTAAATTTACATATTCACCTATTGGATATAATTAAAGTATTAAATTTATTTCAATCAACAGTTAATCGTTTGCGTGATTACCTAAAGCATGTTTATAACTGCCACTAATTAAAGCATTGTGACCATTGAAATAAGCGAGAGCTGTTATATCGGGGAATTTAATGAAATGTCGTAAACAAAATCGGTTGTGTCGCAAATCTTGATAGATTAAGTTAATTATTGCACCAAAAAGATTCCACACTTGCTTATTTCGCATATCCTTTTTGTAAGGAGAAAAATTAAAAATGATTAACAACTGAAAATTAGCAATTCTTGTGATGATATTTACCTTTGATAGAATATTTTTAGATAATGAATAGATGTACTTATCATCTCGAACCTCGAACAGAGCTAAAAGAGCATAATAATCTATATGCTTTGCATATTCGCCTTCACTGAAAACGGAAGAGTATGAAGACAGTGCAGTTCGAATCAGATCTTCTCGATCATTTAGTTTTTCGTGAATTACTCGACATAATTTTAGATAAATATTGATAAAGTCCTTAAAGTCTAAACCTTCACCGACGAAATCAAGATCGGCTTCCCTTCTACTGGAAATGTCCATTTCTTTTTGAGCATCTCGAAGATTTTCCAAGCGTCTAGATAGAGAACATGATGTTGCCATAATCATTAATTCTCGTTCAGTGTCAACAAATTCCATCTCATTACTGAGAAGTAATTTGGCCGCATGAACGAAATCTTTCCACATTTCTTGATTGTACAATAGGTCACATCGAAGTTTAAGAAGCTCCAGATTAACTATAGCGGCATTATCTTGATCGGAAACATTGGTTGCGTCTTGAGGTCGACCAATTTTGATAAGGAGATCGGTTAGTTCAAGTTTCGCTTCATGATCTTCGGGTGATGAACGAATTACTTCACGATAAGCTCGAATGGACTCTTCACATTTTTCGAGTTGACGTAAACAACGAGCATATTTAAGCCAAACTTGAGAATTGTGTCTCGCTTTACTCATGATTAAAGCGGCTAATAATGGCTCAGCTTCTCGATGCAGACCAACTCCCGTGTAGGCATCCGCAATGTCCAAATAAAGGTCACTCATTTTCTCGGCACTTCCGATTGTTATTCCTCTGATTAAACTTTTCACTGAAAACATGCACTTTAAATTGATTAAACTAATTACTAATTTTGCTCTCAGGTCAACGGGTAATACTTCAAACGGTAATTTGACTTCAACACGTTCGCAGAAAAATTTAGACCAGTTGTCAGAGTCAATGGTAGTTATCTCTTCACCTTCGGCTTCCAATTTGATGCCACAAAATTCACGGAAAATTTCCAACGTTTTACCATAATTTTTTTTCGCTATCAACAATTCTAAATATAGATTAACATCTTCGCAAGTTACGAAATCTTGGAATTTCGAGAAAGTAGTTTCCATTACATTTAAACTAGAATTTAAATCTTCAGCATTATAATAGATTTTAGCAATTTCTTTAGCAAGCATCATGGCGAATTCCCCATCTCGAGCTTTCAATTCCCCGAGAAGACCAGTGTAACCATCGAGAGCTTTTTTAAGATCACCCATTTTCTCATAAAGTTGACATCTTTGTAGTCGAATTTCAAAATTACTTGGATTAACTTTGATTGCTTTGTTAAGACATTTAATTGCTTGGATATTGTTACCCTGTTCTATTGCCATGTCAGCTACTTTGATCCAATGTTCACCATCGGAGGGACAAAGATAAGCAGCAATTAGATTATATTGAAAAGCTTTCTCGATTTGGCCCATCTCTTCATAGAGCATTCCAAGAGTTTGAAAAGGTTCAGGGGCAGTTGGTGCCTGACGAATTACCTCTGAACACATGGCGATAGCGTCTTGGTGACTTCCACGAGCGAAACAAAGATTGGCCTCACCAACCAGGCCCAGTAAATCTCGAGGTAGTTTACTCCGTCTTGCTCCTTTTCGGCCTGATTCTTTACGTCGACCTTTACGTTTATTTGATCCATCGCTGATCCACTCAGGATCACTTTGAGCATCATCTGATTCTAATTCCTCTTGATTAAGTTGAATTGATGCAGTGAATTTCCTTTGAAACTAAAAGGCGAGAAAAAAGTGAACCAAAATCTTAGACGAAATTCAATCAATACAATTCTCTAATAAACTCACATCCCGTTTTTCCATGACATCAGCCAACTCATCGAATGAAATTTGATTATCAATATAACGAACAGTTAATAGTTCATCATCAATTGGAACAACCGAATCCACAAAAGGTTCACTTTTCTCATGGTTATTGTCCAATGTAGAGTTGGAATTTTCAATACAAGAGGCATCTTCATTTTCACTTTCATCGGTTCCATCATCTTCACTCATCACCTCACTGATAACCATGTCACTCTAAAGAAGAAAAGAACAATTAATAAAACAATAACAAAGAAATTAATTACAATCAGAAAAAAATACCAACAACATAAATCGGAAAAAAATACTCACCGTTCTCCATGTTTTCTTAAAGGTTTCCCATTGTTTCTCAGTTACTTCTTTCATTAGATTATTAAGAAGTTCGGAAGCTTTATCATCATTCTCCATGATCAAATTAAACCAATCAAATGTGAAACAATCAAAAAAATTACAAATGAGTTTCCAAAAAAAAAAATGGAATAAAAAATGAAAACAATTTAAAAATCTCACACAAAAATAGTAACTATTGGTAACAAGAACATATGGAATTTAATGAACACCATCTATGAGAGATCAATGAAATGACCGATAATCTTTAGAATCTTTTTCACAAGTTAATATAAAAATCAAAAAGAAATTAAATCAATTAAATAGTTAAAATTATCGACAATTAGTTGGTCTCATTGAATTGGAGGAATAAAATTTTTCTTTTCTAATTTTTGCTCAATGGAAAAAAGAGAAAATTTAAATTTGGCGCTCAAAAAGAAAAGTATTCAACTGTAGAGGGCGAAAGGGTAACCAGCCTGGAGAATTAATTTTTTTGGATTTTTATCCGATTTTGGTTAATGAATTTAATTGTGAATTAATTTAAAGTTTACATTAATTAATTTCTTTTTTATTTTCTAATTGTTTCACTTTAATTAACGAGAAAGTGATTGTAGTGATTGGCTAATAATGTCCGCTCGAACATCTTCACAACCTTTGCCTGCAAAGGAAAACGCCTTATTTAAAAAGATATTAAAATGTTATGAACATAAACAGTATAAGAATGGATTAAAATTTGCCAAACAAATTCTTTCAAATCCTAAATTTTCAGGTAATTATTTAATTGTCCTTTTCACTTTTAATCAATCTTGTTAAATGACATTCTAATTGTCTCACCATTTCAACTATTCTTCTCTAAAATGATTCCTCATTGAAAGTATCCCTTTTGCTTTAGTATTTTCTCTTCTTCTCTAAAAGTGAAAATGATACTTTAGTTGTGAAGCCATGTGATTTTTTCTTTTTAACCTTTTTCCACTCTTATCATGGTTGATGATTTATCTTTTTTTATCTAAAGCTGTTGTTTTCATTGATTGATCGCTACTTCTTTTATTTATTTTTCTCTATTTTATCTATTTAATCATATTAATCTATTTTGTATTGTAACTCACATGGCTTATTCCTTTTTTCAAATATGTTTCCTTTGATATGTTCTTATCATCATGAATATGAATATTTTTGTTCCATTTCTCTTTTCTTCAATTCCTTATATGTTATTTTCTTATTTTATTCTATTTTTAAATTTTTAATCAGAACATGGAGAGACACTTTCCATGAAAGGATTAACCTTGAATTGCTTAGGACGAAAAGAGGAAGCTTACGAATATGTGAGACGAGGATTGAGAAATGATCTTAAATCTCACGTTTGCTGGCATGTTTATGGTCTTCTTCAAAGAAGTGATCATAAATACGATGAAGCGATTAAATGCTATCGAAATGCATTGAAATGGGATAAAGACAATATCCAAATCCTTCGAGATCTTAGTCTATTACAAGTTCAGATGAGAGATTTGGAAGGTTATCGAGACACTCGATCACAATTGTTGCACCTTCGACCAACCCAGAGAGCATCTTGGATTGGATACGCTATGGCTTACCATCTATTGGGCGATTATGAGATAGCTGCAAACATCTTGGAAGAATTTAGAAAGACAACATCCAATGCTCAGAATAAAGGAGTTCATAGAACCAATAACTCTAAAAGTACTACCATTGATTACGAACAATCTGAATTAATACTTTACCAAGTTATGGTCTATAAAGAAGGAGGATGTTATGAAGATGCATTGGAACATTTAACCAAATATGGAGAAAGTGAAGTGTGTGATAAACTAGCCGTCCATGAGTATAGAGCTGAACTACTTCTTAAATTGAAGAAAAATACGGAAGCTGCTAAGGTGTTGAGAGAAAATTTGATTGCCCGTAATCCAGAAAATACCAGTTATTATAAGCAATTAGAAGTTGCATTGGGATTAAGTGAATTTGGCGATGCGAATAATAATAAAGATAACAACAATTCTAATAATAGTGGAGACGTTATTGAGAAAGAAAACCTTAGAAATAATGGTAAAACTGGTGGAAATGTTTCTATGGACGATTTCGAGGATGCCAAATTAAAGCTTTACAAAGAGTTTCAACAATTGTATCCCAAAGCTCAGATGCCATTTAGAATGCCATTAACTTTTATCATGGATGAGAAAAAGTTTGAGAAACATGCTGACTTATATATTAAGAAAAGTTTGAGAAAAGGACAACCCGCTTTATTCAGAGATTTGAAAAGCTTGTACGCTCTTCCTAAAAAGTGTTCATTTTCAATTGGAGACGATTTTGGTGCTAAATCTCAATCAATTTCCTCGTCTACAGCCTCACCTCCCTCTTCATCCTATACTAACAAATATGTCCAACAACCAATTTTTAAGAGACAAGTTGTTGAGAAACTTTTTCTTAAATATCATGATAATCTTATCAGGCGTGGTTACTTTGAATCAGAGGATTCAAGTGATGGTCCAGAAGATGCAACAACTATTTTATGGGTTGACTATTATTTAGCTCAACATTTTGATTACCTAGGAAATTATGAGGATGCATTGAAATACATCAATATAGCCCTTAGTCATACTCCAACATTAATAGAGCTTTATGTGATTAAAGGTAAAATTTACAAGCATGCGGGTAACATTGAGGAAGCCGTTTCACATATGGAGGAAGCTCAAAGTTTGGATACAGCGGATCGTTATCTCAACTCAAAATGTGCAAAATACTTACTGAGAGCTGATCGTATTCGTGAAGCGGAAGAGATGTGTTCAAAATTCACCCGTGAAGGTGTAAGTGCAAGTGATAACCTGAATGAAATGCAGTGTATGTGGTATCAGAATGAAGCAGCCAAATCACACCAGCGACTTGGTAAATGGGGAGAATCATTGAAAAAGTGTATAGAAATTGACAGACATTTCGCTGAGATAACTGAAGATCAATTTGATTTCCATACTTATTGTATGAGAAAAATGACTTTACGTTCATATGTTGGATTATTGAAATTGGAAGATGTCTTGAAAAGTCATGCATTTTATTTTGATGCTGCCAAGACTGCAATTGAAGTGTATCTTGGATTATATGATAAACCATTGGGAGACGAAGAAGTTGGTGAAAATATTAACCCTCAGGGAGTAAGTGCCTCTGAATACAAGAAGATGATGAGTAAACAAAGAAAAGCTAAGAAAAAAGCTGAAGCAAAAAAGGAACAAGGATCAACAACAATATCATCTACTAACGTATCTACAACAACAGCAACAACCGAAACAACCACAACCACTACAACTATATCAACTTCACCCACTAATGTTGATTCGGGAAATGTTTACACAAATTCAAGTGATAACAATTCTCACCATCAGAATCATGGACATCCGAACCATTCTCAATCACATTCTCAGTCTCAGAATTCAAATTCTTCTGTAGCTGTGGTAAATTCAGGAGAAAAATCTGATGGAAACAATTCATCCAGTAATCCCGGAAAAGAGTCTACTGGAAATGAGATGTTCAATGAGAAATTAATTCCAAGTAAATTGGAGAGACCTGACGATCCCTTAGAAGAGGCAATTAAATTCTTGAAACCTTTACAAATGTTGGATTCGAATCGTATATCAACACATTTGATGGCTTTTGAGATCTACTATCGACAAGAGAAAGTGATGTTAATGCTTCAAAGCCTAAAGAGAGCAGTTAAATTAAATCCAAATGATCCAATTGTACATAGACAACTGGCTTTGTTCTACGATTTTGTAGAGAGAAATCGAGAAAAACTCAGTCAACCAATTAGACAAGTTTTGAAATTGGAAATGGACAGAATATTAAATTTAAATACTGATGAATTGAAATCAGCATTACAGTTGAATGAGAAACTCTTAGAGACCAACAAAGATTCATTGGTGCACCGATTGGAAAGTCTCAAAGTGATCGCAATGTTGAAGCGCGTTGGAAACAAATCAGATGAACAGCAATCACCAAATGACAGCGAAAACGATGATAATAAGGAAAACAAATCAATTGGTAAATCGAAACCACCAACAATCAACCATAGTCAAGATGAAAATTACAAGAATTACCTTAACTCTCTCAATATTAATCTACAATTTGATGATTTAGAGAGACTCACTGATGTAACCCTAGAATCATGTATTGATCTTATAAAATGTCTTAAAGAAGGCATATTGGGATCGGTTAATGGATCATTAATTGAAAATATTGTTAATCGATGTCACAAACTTTTCCCTTATGCATCAGCTTTTTTACCAATCAATCCAAGTGAACAATCAACCAGTTTGATTCAATCCTCTGGTGCTGCTAATTCAAGTCAATCCGAATCTTCCTCAATTGTCCCTGATTTGTCGCTCAATCAATGAATCCCACCAATTCAGTTGATTAAATTAAAGTCAACACTTTGTATCTTCTATCTTAATCATATTGAATTGATATATCTTGAAAATTATAGAAATAAACAGCAAACATTTCTAAATGTTTATCAAGTTCGTCCCTCGCAACCAATATATTAATTCGGATCCAATCACGATTGTTGATTAAAAACAAAAGGGTAGAAAACAATGATCACTGATTAACAGAATTTTTATTTACAATCTTTTTTTCTATTTGTATTTACAACATTTGAATGAGAAAAATAACAAATTTACAATAAAACAGTAAAATTAAAACGAAATGAATTGATTAAGATTAAAGTTTATTCAATCAAGTTAATTGTCTTTCATTCATCTGGATTCAATTTACATTTCCTTCTGAAAGCTTGACCAATTTCTCGAATCCAATGATTAGCAACTAAAACAATTAGAATGAGAAGAGAAAAAAAGTTATGATTAACAAATTGTGTTGACAATTACGATTAATCTCTTCATGGGTTAACCGAAGTTCCCAAAGTTAACTAACAATAAGTGTAACCAAGTTGATGATGATTCTGTTCAGTTATAACTAAATCAACAAGGTGACCTTTCAATTGTTTCAGTTAAAGAGAAAATTGTGAAAAAAGGAAAACGTGGTTAAGATGATAAAAGGTGGATGAGGATGATAAGTGATATGAGAACTTGAGACATGATCAAGATGAGAAATTAAGATGACCTGATGAAGATGAAGAGGAAGATGAACTTACCCCATTTCTCCCCTACAAGGACTGGACAAGCTCCGTGCATGGTGTTTTCATAAGCTTCGCCGTTGTATTGTAAATTGTACCAAAAGGCCGCTGAGTTTTTCCGTGGTTTGAGGCTAACACCAAGCCGAGGGAAAACTGTTCCACCGCCTTTCTGGACATCGCTTAACTGGACATGATCAGGTAACATTCAATGCCAAGTTAATTAAAAGAGGAAGAGAAAAGGGTAACACAAATTAATATGAAGGTCAAGTTATGGTTTAATTGGAATGAGAGATTAATTTTATATTTAACCATGATGAGAATTTAATGTTTAACAAGTAACTTGGAGATCGCTTGAGGCCGTTTTTAAGTTAATTAAATGATCAACAGAAGAAGCAAAATATGCTTGTTAATTGACGTAATTCAGTTAATTGTAAGAAGCGATTGTTCAACTTACATAAAACATTAATGTTGCCGTTCGGTCACCAGCATAAGCCTCTCTCTCTGGGACTAAGTGCCGCTCTTCAGGGGGTCGGTCAACAATCAGGTAATCATAATGTGGAGTATAATGTCCGCCCATTCCGTAGTTAGCGACCTGCATCAGTTCAGAGTGACTTTCGTTCATTTTTGTTGATAGACCAGTGACTTCAGATACTCGGCGATTGATTCTGTCGATCAGCTCATCGTCGTCCTCTGAGAACCAAGTTGTTTGACTTGTTCGAGTATCGGAAATTTCGTCCTCTTTAAAATTGTCCGTTTGAACCTTAGCTCGGGTCAACTGTTGATAATTTGGATCAAGGTGAAGACAGAAAACTATGTGATTAGCATACAATTGAATTAACTCACAATCAGCAACAATTAACGAGCAACAGTGACAAGCGGATATAATTTTCATCTCAATTTATTGTTAAACATAAAAAGAAATCATTAAAAAGTGTTTATAAATTTAGATTACACTAAATCAACTCTTCCTAATGACAATTAGAAACATAATCATGATCATTAATTTTTCATCATCAACTTAATTGTGATTAGAATTGGTTAGAGCAACAATTATAATAATCAACTAAACAAGAGGTTATATGTTAATGGTCATTTAAATGATTCAATTGTCGATTGTCACAATCAGGATTCACCTTACAATTACCTGTAATTACAATGAAATTACATAAATGATTTGATTTGAATATTTAATTCATATTTTTACCTTTTCAACAATTAACAAATCATTTTCATGTTCACTAAATTTGAATATTAATCAATTAAGATGCTCTTAAGGATAGTTAATTGATTTTAGTGCTAATTAAACTGTGTTTAAATTGTTGATAAATTTAATTATCAATACGATTCATTTAATTAAGTCACAGTTTGTAATCACCATTGAGGATACCATCTAACCATGAATTGATTAATTTGTAACAACAATTAACAGGATCATAATCAATTTTCAAGAAATTAGATTAACTTTAAAATTGTTTCATGTTAATCATTAGAAATGATCAATGAAAAACTTGCAATTAGTTGCAATGATTAACTTGATTATATAACAAAGGAATCTTAATTGTGCTCATAATTTATACATTTAAATTGATTATTAAATCACTAATTGTGATGATAAATATCATTCAGTTAATAGTAATTTAATTGTATCAAAAATGGTTGATAATTGGATTGAAATTTGAAAAAAATCCATTGAGACAATTTCTCACCACCAGATTAACGGATTAACGGATTAACAATTAACAATCAATTTTGAATAAAATTAACCCGAACATGATTAAGATGATGAGTGTTACTGTTCCTGATCAATCAACTAATCACTGACTCACATAAGTTGATTGTCAATAGTCACATCAACAGGAAAATAATAATAATTCATGATTCTGAATAAAAATATAATCTTATTAACAGAAAATGTTGTTCAGAATTTTTTTTCTTCTGGTTGGTTGATTGCTGATTTTGCTGATTTAGTTCATGTTAAAGTGATGATCAACTTGATTAACTTACTGCTGGAGCTGCCATTTCCCTAATTGTGTCCGATTCAGAATCAGTAAGAAGATCATGAAACATGGCGATGAACGGAACCCGATAGAAAACTTCAACTTTAACGGGCTGAAGTATCAACCATTTACTTCCCATGTTTGAATAGTAACAATTTAAATCTTTAGTTTCAGCGGGAGTCTAAAAGATAATTAACAAAAAGAAAAACAAAATTAGAAAAATTAAATTACAATTTAGAAAATTAATCAACAATATCATCTAAGGTTTGGTTAATTTCGCGCGGTTTCAATTGTGGCCTTTTCTTTTGAACTCCTTGTTTTTTTGCCTCCATCATTTCGAGAAATTAATAGACTTGTTAATTATTACACACCAAGCAGACTGATTAATGATCCATTTTGATTAGTCACTAATTGACTAACTTAATTCACTTCTCATTTTGTGTTAATTGTTAAAATGATTTAAGCGTTGAAAGTATTCAGAGGTTTGTTTACATTTTCATACCTGAAGATCAATTGATTTTGAGACAACAATTAAAAATGAATTTACTTCTGGTTTATATCAACCTTGACTTAATTGTGATTAGTATGTCTACTTAATTGGTAACAATTGAAAAAAAAGGACAATCAATTGATGGAAACAATTATATTTTGATCATTTCACTTTCATTGTTATCGTTTTGTTATTCTTGTTGTTATTAAACAGACTGTTGAGATTATCTGATTTAAACACTTCCTCTTAATCCGACAACAATCATAATTCATTTAATAAGAGGATATAAATTGCCAACTGATTAACCATAATTAAGGGATAAAAGATTCACAGGTAAGAAATTTAAAAGTCCATCACAAAGGATATGAAATATGATTTAGTTTCCAGTAATTGTAGTACAACAATTGAACCGAACACAATAAAAGTTGATAACAATCACAATTAAGAATTGATTGACCGATGTATTTGATTATGATGGCGATGATTTGATTTGATTTCCTTTATTCACCTTCACTTTCAATCTTTTCGCATGATAACAATTAAGAGAAACAACTAACAGACAAAACTGATTATTAGGTCACAAGGAATTGTGATTAACTTTCTCTCTCTTCAATTTAACTAATTGTTATTAATAGAAAAAGAACAACGAAAAATTAAGTTAATCATTTTGTCGCGATTTCTTTTCTCATAAATATCGCATCTCCAATCAGCTGATCCATTGCAAGTTACATTCTAATAGTTGCAGCGAAATTGTTACCCTTTTGTGTACGTTGATTGTCAGTTAACCAGTTAATCAATATTTCGATGAATATAGTTAATTAATTTAACTATTAACCGGAACATAAAGGTAATCGGTCCAATGGATTGAAAGTGGTCTCCATCCAATCAACTAATTGTGATTCTGATGGAAATAGTAACGAGTATAAATTGGGAAAACTTTTTTTCTCTTCTCAAGGCCTAAAGGTTATTAACTGATTTTCTGTAATTTAATTACAATTAACTTTCTTTTTTAATCATCATCTCACTTTCATCTCCATCAACAGAATGTTCATTCTGCAACTTTAATCATCTTCCAAAATATCAACAATTTGTGATTATATTCTAATTGCCGAGAGCTTGATTGTCTTAAATGTTTTCATTTCTCTCTCTCTCTTCTGGTCATTCTCATTAAATCATCTTCGAGTTTCATTATTTAATCAGTGAACAGATAAAAAGAATTTCTAATTTTAGAATCTAATTTAATATCCGGAAGAAGAGAAGAAAATAATTTCCAGTTTCTTACCTGTTCTTCCTTCACTCTCACTCTCCTACCTGCGTTTTTGTTTCTCTAATCATCTTGATGGTCTAATTTAATTCTTATTAATTATGTTCAATATTCAATCGTCATTACAATAAGATGGCATTGATGAGTGATTTAAGGTGTAAATCATATTCGATTGTGATCTTAATCATTAAGAAAATCATGTCATCTATTGTGTTATTTTGAGAAAAGAGAATGAGACAAAAATGATTCCAACGCAAGTGAATCTAATTGTAACCATATTACAATTTAATAACAATCAACAAATTCTTTCATTTCCTGCTAATTAATTTCCACTTTTCTCGATCCTTATTAATATTCAAATCAATTGTTTCTTTTTTACCAAATTTCCAATCAAATTAACTCTTCCAAGTGTTAATGAGATTAGGCCAATTAACGAAACAATTAACGGTAATTTTTCTCGCCTTGAGCTAAAATCAGTTAATTGGAACAAATTGAAATCATATCTCATTGTTAATTCGCTAAATGTAACTGATTTGATTTTGATTGTTTCCAAAAATGATTCCAACAGAAAGAGAAATCATAAAATGATCATTTGTTTGGGTAATATTTCCGGTCTGCTTGATTTACCTTCATAACATCAATTCAATGTTACATGGAATCCAATCTAGATCAACAATTAAGAGTTAATCTTAAATTGTTTACCATTAAAAAGTAATGGAAACGGTCTAATGTCTAAAAGATTAGATCAACAAACTAATCAACCAAAAGGAATCAATAATAATAATTGTTCTGATCTTGATCCTAATTCAGAATCGGTGAAAGGGGAAATCATGTTAATGATTGAGCTTTGATGATGATAGTGAATGAAGATGATTTCTGGATGATGATGAGAGTGAGAAGGCAGATAAACACGCTAATAACACAATCTTAATGTGGTACGTGTTTAGAGACACGAAAACGCGTGACTAGTTATTAGAAATTAGGTTTCTCTTTATTTTTTCTTTCTTTCTTTTTTTCATGTTTTCTCATTCTAAATTGTTACCAATTTTTCAAGTTAATCATCATCATAATGATTAATCCCGAAAAATGTGATTCTCAGTTAATGATGATCAATTTTGTCGTCTCATCATCATCATCATCACGCTTTCACCCAATCAATTTGAACGATAAACAAACAAAAATCAGATTAATTGCTGGAAACATAATAATCACAATCCAATGAATAAAGATGATTACACTTAATTCCGATGATTAGAAAACACAAGAGATCACAATTTAACTAATCGTAATTTTGGGTTAATCAAGAAAGAAAGAAATAAATTCTCGTCCAATTTCAAGTTAACACAATCAACGATTTCTTAATTGAAACAATTAGTTGATTATTAATCTTACGGTTTTAAAGACAAATGATAATCACGCTGGTCTTTTGAATAACTGGATTAACTAATTGTTTGTCTCTTCAATTGTTGTTACACTTTCTCTTTTCAATCAACCAAATTAATAGTTGATTGCTGTTGTTTTCTGTTATTCAATAAGTGAAAGTGTAACAAATTAGTTAAAGACAATTAATAAATTCCAGGCACCAAGCTACCCACTTATTAACTATTAATATTTACTGAAAAATCAACAAATCATAAATCACTTGAGTCACAAACGATTAACTAATCCGTCATAGTGGAAATCGTCGTTGATGTGAATTGTTTTTCGTTGAAAGTTTTCCTCGTTCTGTTTCATAACATTTATTGAACAGAATCACAATTTCTACTTATCAATTCACAACCTTAATCCATCAGCTGATTTAAATTAATTGTTTACGGACAAAATTTGATTCGAGGAAAGTAAAAGTCTCCAAATCTTATCGGTAAATCGTAATCGTTATGAACAAAACGATTGATACTGTAACTTGATCTCTATTGATGAAAAACAAATATAATCAAATGTGATGATGATACCAGGAAGATAATGTATCATAAAGATAACCTTTGACCTGAGGCTAATTGTTTATAAATAAAACCGGATAAAAGGAAAAGCTTTGGGTCAATTTTCATCCAAACTTTTCAATCTTATTGCGATTTTGTTGCTAATCCTGTTTTCCTAACGGTACATTTGATTAAACCTTTTTTTACCGTTTCTCCCACATAATTAAAATTGTAACCAACATCATGATGATAATAATAAAAGGGAAAATGTTAATCTTAATCTTAATCGGTAATCTTTTTGTTTAATCAACAAATGAATCTTTAATCAGTAATAATTTTGTCTTTCAGGAATGACAACAATTTGCTGACCATGATGGCGATTAACAGTTAATATAATTATAATTGAGTAACAGTCCATCAATCAGTTTGATTGTTTATCATTAAGATATTCAATTGATTTGATTTGATTTACTAAGTCTGATCCAATTTGGAGAGGTTAGAATCTCAAAAATAACAGCAATCAACTAATTGTATCAAGGTAACCATAATAATGATACGTTACTGAAATTAATATTTTTGTTACAATCAAAAACTAATAACAAATTGATTTTATTACTGATTTGATGCTAATAATAATTAACGATAATTATATTAACATTAATAATAATCTAATAACAAGAGCATCAATAACATAACATGAAAGTTGCGATACTTTTGTTAATCTAATCTAGTTCACGATTAACTGATTGTAAGTTAATTCATGATTTTAAAAACTCTCAGACATTAACAATTACTAAATTGTTTGTTCGTTGCAATTATTAATGTGATTTCCCTTTGATCTGTTGACCTTTTCTTTTTGATGGTTAATGTTGATTAAAGTGAAATTAATTAATTGTTCATCTTATTGTTAGTGTAATGTAAGCCAATTCATAATTGTTACCGCAAAACTAATTGTTTACAGTTAAAACAAATGATTTCGTTGATTAGGTTAACATGTTTCTTGGTTGTTTATCATTAGTATTAATATTTAAGTATCATTACGATTTGAAGGTTAATTGTTGACTCTTGATTTTGTTGATTTGCTGTTCAAATCATTTTCTTTTCTAACCTTGTTTAAAGTTAAACTCATCATTCATGTTAATTGTCGTCGAAAATTGTTCTAATCAACTATTAGAGTTTCAATTCCTTGTAATTACTCATCGGTTATCGGTTGAAAGAAGATCGTTGTTTCGGTTAATTTGGCGCTTGAAGAAACTTTCATGATGATGATGAATGAAAATCAACATCATCATCGATAAATAAGAGAATCAATAACTATCTTAGTATCTCAACGATCATCAAGCAAAACAAATTGTAGAGATAATGATGAATTGGAATACGAGTTAATTACTGGGGAAATGGTTTTGTTATTATTCTAATTCTTACCCTGAAAACTTCACCTCTACAAAGCTCCTGGTAATTACGATAATCATCATTGTCGCCATCAAGGAATCGCATGGTGTGAGGTGGCTTTGAATTATTCAGAATCATTGAGAAGTTGGTCCAATAGGTAGGAGATAGTTCATCATGCTGAGTTGATTAAGGAATAAAAATAAAGAGAGATAACGGAAATTGCTCATTAAACATCAAGTTGATTTCAAAGGTAAATAAATTGACCAAATGATTGACCAATATATTCAAATGATTTAAGGGCCGATCAGTGAACCTGTTACATGCTAATGATCAATATAATGAACCAATTCATATGATAGTTGTTGTGGTGATTCAAAACTCTGGATTCACCATTAACAAGGCCACTTAAGTCAATCGATCAGAATGGGAAAATTGATTGATCAACTTACAATTTGAATCGCCATGTTGTAGAAAGGTATAATCTCCTCAACTGGGGCCGTTTTGTTTCCTTCCCGATGGGCCTTTCGCAAGGCCTCTTCAAACCAATCCAAGGCTTGACCATAGTAGCCGTTGTTGAATGAGTGTTTACCCAGATACAAACAATCTCGACCTAATTGAAAGTTTAATTGTCAATGAATTAGGTTTAGTTTTCACCGAAGACTCAAAAACAAAATTAATCATTTTGTTGCTCTTGGTTACATTTGATTGATCATTTGACCTTCTTGTTAGGGTCACAGTGAAATACTTACTTGTTAGGTGGACTTTTGTTGGCAGATCTAGTATACGGCCTCGGGCGATATCGCTCATATTGAGTCTGTAAGTATCGGTCAATCGGACAAGGGCAAGAGCGGCTCCTCGAAGATCATCTTTGGTTGGTAATAGATCAGAATAGTCGGTAACCAGTTTCTCAACAGCTGAAATAGAAACAATTAAAATCAATTGATTGTAATAAATGTGTAATCAGAGAGGAGAAATTAGTGAATATTCATTTAATTAACCTACTGATCAGGGTTAAAGTCAGTTAATCATTTTATCATTAGTTTTTATTGGCCATCTTGATGGAGACTCTTAACAAAATTAATCTAATCATTTGGTATCAATCAACAACCAAAATGATTATTTAAACACAATTTGTTAACGTCTTCAATCAGAAGCTAAATCTTGGACTTTTTAATTAAATTGATCTAATTTCAAATCAACGATTAACATAAATTATCATCATATCTTATCCTTAAATCGTTAACTACAGTAGTTACCTCACAATTTACTGATTCTTAGCAATTGAATTAATCTTTCAAATTGTTATGAAACTTTCCTTTGATACTAACAAGTAATTAATTAGCAACTTTGATTGTTTGTTTGTAAGCTAATTTGATTTGATGAGAACTGTTGATTATTGTGACTTTTAAATTATTAATAATTTCCACCACTTTAATTGTTTCGTGAAGAGATTAATACATTTACAGGAAAGAAAATTAAAATTGTAACAATTAAGGGATGAGAAAATGTATCAACAATTTAATCTTAATCATTTAGTATCATCAAACCAAAGATTATCATTGATCTGGGAAACTAAAGACACTTTTTAATTGTTACAATTGTAATTTTTTTAATTACTATTCCAACCAGATTATTGAAACTAATCCGTATCAAGGATAATCAGTTAATTGTAATTGGCACTCCTAAGATACAACTTTAATTGTTGGTTAAATATTAATCTGTAAATCATCATTAATATATGTTTTGTAATAACAATCTGAACTAAATTAAATCTGATTACTATTATTGAAAACTGAGACAAAAACAATCATATTAATAACTTGAGACAAATTATTAACAATTTGTATTGATTGCTTTTAGTATTTAGTTAATTGTGGTTACAACTATTAACTTTAATCTAGAATTATAATTAATTATCGCAATTGAAACAGTTAGGCTGTTGATTGTATTATGAGTGTACGTTAATTACTAAATTTAGGGTTGATTGAGTTAGTTGAACAATTTAAATTAATTTAAAAACCTATTGATTAATATTATTGGTCTGATAACAATCAAACAAAATCAATCAAATTAACAGGAATCTCTGTCAGGTTAATTGAAGCGATAATTAAAAAAAGATGATCAAGCAAATTGATTCTCGTTGATTGTGATTCAATTCTGGTTGATAAATTAATGTAACAATTGATAATGTAAGTGTAACAATCAAATCTCAGTGCACAATTGATCAAAATTAGTTGTCAATCAAAGGATGGAAATTAAATTTCTCGGATCTTGATTAATTCAACTGAAAGGTCAATCAACCGTTAATTTTTAGTAATAATTATAATTTAGATTTGATTATTATCATTACTATATTTTGATTGAAAATTTGTGAACTTAATTCAAAATTAAACTAAACCTGAGGATATGTAACAATTTGGTTAACAACGGATCACAAGATAACAATCAAATTAAATTGTTTGGTGATGTAAATTAGTTACTGTTGATTGTTGAGTTTACTGAGTAAATAATTTTTAGTTAACTGTGTTACCTTGAACAATTTTTAAACTAATTGTTAATTGTTATATCAATTTGAACAGTTTTTAACAATCAAATAATCAAATAATATTGATACAAGTGATTAAAAGTAAATCAGCTTATTGATCAACTGATTATCAATCAATTGCTATTTATATTTTTCTTATTTTAATCTATTGGAACTTATTGTTTTCTCAAAACTGATCAACTTTACCGATGAATTAATTGTAACAATTTAACAGCAATTATAATACTTACGTTTCCATTCATTGATGGACATTTTTGATTGAAGTCCTTCCCAATCAATTGTTAATCGTTTAACTAATTGAAAAGCTTGAATCGGATTACCGATAATCTCATCGGTTGAATCTTTACCTCGAAGCTCAGGTAAACCAGCAGTTCGAGAAAACTCATCCAGGTACCTGAACAATTAAGAGAAAATTAAATTGTAATCAATTGCAACCGGTTCTCATAATTCAACCAACAATTTAATTTAATGATCAACTTGACATATCAATAAATTATAGCTTAAAGTTGTCGCTGTTGTTTCAACAAATTAGTTGAAAATTTTGCAATTTTATTCATTGAAAAGTAAATCAATAAATTTAATCACAATTACTAATTTTTTTAATTGTTTCGGTGCCTTGTCAATTAATCGGCTAATCTATTAATTATCATTTAGTAATAGTTGCTACCATTTCAATAATAATAATAATTGCAAACCAGTGACATGATATTAAAGTATTTTTGTCCTAATTAAAGTTTTGTTTCACCTTAATTTTCATTGTAATTTAATTTAGTTGACAATTTAAACCAACAATTAAAGACTTACCCTCTAACTGTATTTAATTTAGCTTGAGTTTGGGCTACATAATCATTTAGTGATGAAATTAAATGACGTTCAAGATACATTAAACTCCGTAGGTGAGCAGTTGATGAGAAAATATCACAATTAACTAGATTAGAAGATGAGATTATTGTTATTGTAACAATTAGATGAATTAAAAATGATTGGAACATTTTGGAAGCACAGTTAATCACAATTAGGAAGGAGAAGAAAACAATCAAGAGATAGATTCACAATCACAATTAGTTGAGCACTAGAAAGACCAAAGTGAAACAATTAACGAAAATTGTATCCAATATATTAGTTGATTCGTCAACACTAATTACACTTTTATCCAAATTATTTAATCAGGAAGAGAGACTAAAATTAGTTGATTTAAAGGTGAGATGATTATTGATCCAATTGTTTTCTATCACAATTTGTAACTTGTTTGCATTCGTTGGAAGTTGATGAGAATCAAATGATTAGGAACAATTTAATTACGATCATAGTATCCACATGGGTATCGAAATTTTTTCAAAGTTTAAGAAAATTTGATTAACTTAATTGTGAATTCACTTCTAACGGTAACATCGAATTGAGATCTGAACACCGAATGAACTCAGAACTTGATACTCGTGATTAACAACGTTCTCTAATTTTTTCTTCTCCCTTTCTTATCTTCCTTTTCTCTCTCTTATCATCATCTTCCTTCTTTCATCTTAATTCATTTTTCAACTGTTCTCTCTCATTCTCTCTCATTTTCCCCTCTCACTCAACTTGTTTTCACCTTAAGGGAAGGATAAAGTAGGTTAGCGATAATCATGAGGCAAAGAATATCAAATTTGATGAAGAGTATCAACATTAACATTTTACAATCTAAATTAAGTGATTGGCTTGTCTCTTTTTTAATTTCTTCAATTGATCAATCTTTAAGCTAAATATTTTTACATCGAGTACAAAGTCAATACTTTTTGTTTTTCTTTTCAACTCCTTATAACATTATTGTTGTTTGTATAATATAATTTGCTTTCTAAATCATCAGGGGCAACATTTTACTTATTATTATTATAATTATCGGGTGTGTGGTCAGCATCCAATCCTATTGATAACCAGAAAGCATAAAATCCACTGATTGCAAGACCGGGTAGAAGGGTTTTGATGAAAGTTTGAGGGTCATTCCAATCTTTGAAAAATTCAATTATCCTTTTTGTGTCCACTTGTTTTCTTTGGTAACTTGTGGTTATAGATCTTTGTTGTAATAGAATACGATAAGTTGAAAGTCTAGACAGCATCTTGATGGAAACCTAAATAACAGAATAAATTGTCAATAGCAATTAATATAAATTCAGTAGAATTAAATAATTAGTAAACAATTAAAACTCACCTAAAGGTTGAACAACAACAACAAAGGTTACAAAAGAGAAAATATCTAATATCTGAAAAGAGAGAAATTGATCCAAGTAAATATCGAATCTTTCTTTTGGCGGGTAAATCGAACGAGAAAAGAAAAATTTAATTACAAGAGAAAAATAATTTTCTCTTTGTTTACCTTAATTGTTGACGGAAATTTTTTACTCTTTAGTGTTGGAATAGATTATTTTTTTCTCAATTCATCTTCAAGATTATCTCTTCTTCTCTTCAAGAGATTTAATTAGTTAATTAGAATCAATGATTTTATTAGAAACTTAAGTGTTTCTTGTTTATCAAGATGAAACCGGTTTATCCTCATGACATCAATGTAAACGTATGTACACCTTGAATTTGTTCATTTTTTATTACCTTTTAGTTGATTTAGAAACTAATCATCTCTAAACTACAGTTTGATCTAGATTAAGGTATATTAATTTAGATTCTTCGATTTGTTTTGTATTCTCTTTTCGTGAAAAAGCAACATGGTTGATGAAGAGAAAAGCGTTACTGTTCAAGCTCCTGTTAACATCGCGGTGATTAAATATTGTAAGTAATTAATTCAGTCTACTAACCAATAGGTAAACAATTAACTTTTGACATTTTTCTCTGTTATTTGTCTATAGGGGGTAAGAAGGATGAGAAACTAATCATACCAATCAATAGTTCAATTTCTGGTACCCTTTCAATTGATGATCTTTGTGCTACTACTAAAATAACAGTCTCATCAAATTATCAAGTTGATCAATTTTGGCTTAATGGTGAACAACAAATGATCAGTGAGAACAAGAGATTGTCTCATTGTTTGGAGAAATGTAAGTGGTTATAGTGTTTGTTTTTAGAATAGAATTTGTTAATTTGATTAATATTTATTCTTTTGTCAATTTAGTTCGATCCTTGAATGGTGACATGAAGAGCTACTTGAAGATCGAGTCTCATAACAATTTCCCCACCGCCGCTGGTCTTGCAAGCTCAGCTGCTGGTTATGCTTGTCTGGTATCGGCTTTAGGTGCTTTGTTTGGTATCACTGATGGTAAACAATTATCAATTTTGGCTCGACAAGGTTCAGGAAGTGCATGTAGATCAGTTTATGGTGGATTCGTCGAGTGGATTGCAGGTCATGACTCGGAAACATCATTTGCTCAACAATTAGTCGATGAAAATCATTGGCCGTCGTTACGAGTTATCATTTTGATTGCTAATGATAAAGAGAAAGATGTTGCCAGTACCAGTGGGATGAAAAGATCAGTGGAAACAAGTGACCTGATTCACCATAGAGCGGAAAAAGTTGTTCCAGAACGATGTGTCGAAATAAGAAAAGCAATTGCCGAGAAAAATTTCGAAAAATTTGCTGAATTAACTATGAGAGACAGTAACCAATTCCATGCAATTGCTCAAGATACTTATCCACCAATCAGGTACATGAATGATGTTTCATGGTCAATCGTTGGACTTGTTCATGGTTACAATGAATTCGTTGGGTCAACCAAAGTGGCTTATACATTTGATGCTGGACCAAATGCTGTATTGTTCATGGAGAAAGATGAGACTCGACAATTTATGTCAATGGTTAATCACTTTTTCCCAATATTGGATAAAACTAATGGTCTATTTAGAGGAGAGCCAATTCCACCAATGGAGACAGTTAACCAGCCAATGATTGATTATCTGTCCAAAAAGTTAATTATCAAGGAAAACAGTTTAAAAGGAATCATTCACACTCGAATTGGTAGTGGACCGAAAGTCGTTACTCAACAATCAAGTTAATTGATTGACAAACTTTAATCCTTCCTATTGTGCCAACTCACAAATATATTTTCATGGTATTTTTAGACGCACTAGTTTCAAGCTAATTTACTTTATGATCAATTAGCAAATTAGGTTTTTAATTGCATGACAAAAATTAATTTTAAGCCATAAATTTTTTTACTGTTTTAGTTTCAAAGAAAAATAGTTTAAATTACTCATATTAATTATCCAATTGAATAAAAATTGTTTATAACTTCAAGGAAAAAGTGTCCATTAACTAACTCTACGTATTTAAAATTGTCGTCTACAAATCAACGTTTAGAATTAATTTTCACAATTTAACCGAATTATAAAATTACCGCTCAATTTGCTGGAGCTTTAAATCAGTTTCTTGTTTACATTTTCTTGTTTCTCTATCGACTGTTGGGTGAACATCAAAGTTAATTGTTTACTGTGCCATTTAATTGTTCTGTTTTCCTGTTGAATCTTGAGTTAATTAATATGAATGGAACTTTGGAAAATGCTAATCCATTAATCTATGAGCGAATTGATAAACGACAATTCACTGGAACTGAATTAGATGATGAGATTGACGATGATTTTGATCCAAGGGAAGTGTATGATCACATAAGGAATATTAAAGATCCTGAACATCCATTGACACTTGAGGAATTAAATGTTGTCTCCGAATCAAATGTAATTGTCGATGACTCAAATAATCTGATTGAAGTCTATTTTACACCTACAATTGATCGATGTTCAATGGCGACTTTAATTGGACTTTCGATTATGGTTAAATTGATGAGATGTCTTCCACCTCGATTCAAGATTGATGTTAAAATAAGCAAAGGAAGTCATTCAACTGAGGAAGCAATTAACAAGCAATTAAATGACAAGGAAAGAGTTGCTGCTGCATTGGAAAATCCTAGTTTGTTACAAGTAATCAACATGTGCCTGAAAGATTCAATTTAATTGTTCCAATTGACAATTTTGAGATGGAAACACTTATCCTGATGATTTTGTTTCCTTCCAATTGAATAGAAGGAAAAATCTACTTGATTGTAATCACTATTTTTCTCTTCTTTTTCTCTTTATTTCCATTGGTTTGTTTAAATATCTGTAGTAATTGTAATTCTCACCTTACTTGGTAATTGTTGTTGTTTCATAAAAAAAAGTAACAGAGTGAAGAGCAATTTATAATTTTGACTATTTCTGACCTTATTTGAATAAATTCCTACTATTTTATTTTTAAATGAAATTGATTCATACAATTCAATTTAGAACAAACCAAACCCATTGTACAAAGATCAAAGTTTACATTACAAGAAGGGAAACAAAAAAATCTAACAATTAATGATGACCATGGTTATTGTGATTGTCACCATGACTTGAATGATGTTCATGAACACCTCCAGTAATAAACTCCATTGTGAAAGCCCAAACAGCGATAAGAGGACACATTAATCTGAATCCTGTTTCCGGGTTGGCTCTTTCCATTGTTTGTCGAACCATCTTGCTTAACTCTCTCCAATAAGTCATCTTTAGTCTGAATTAATTAACAAAATAATCAGAATAACAAATTGATTCACAATTAAAATGAATAACAAAAAATCAAAACATTGATTAGAAGGACAAATTGAACTTCACTTGACTCGAACTCCAGATGGCAGCAGTTTCCACAATCGTTGCGATTTCTTCCGTCAGGTGTCACCGGTGATCGAACACGCTTTGTAGATACCGAAGCTAGTCGATCGAGTCAGTCAGTCAGTCGACTAGAAAGCGACTCGAGTCGAAGCCGAAAATCAATCAACTCGGTCGACTCAAGTTAGTCGACTTTGAGTCGACTTAAATGCAAAATTAACTTGAATTTCGAGTCATATTGTCCATTCGCAAATCAAGGTCACCAACTGATAGATTTTCTGGTTTTGAATTTAGTATAAAAAGTTTCAATTAGCCCCAGACAAGGCTGAAAATGCAGTTTTCAAAGAGAAATCTTTTTAAAAGCGCATACCAAACTTTTTTTCTGTTTGAACTCCTTTAATTTATTAAGTTTAAGTTACAAGTGAGTCGACTAGTGAGTCGATAAAGCACCGACTTCGACGAAAGTCGATGAGTCGACTTACAGCCGAGTGAGTCGAAAAAACTTGCGAGTCAGTCAGTCGTCAGTGTTTCGACTAGCTTAGGTGTCTAACGCTTTGACAGTTAAGTTTATGCTGCCATCTATGTGAGGGTCGGGGGGGTTAACATTTGGTGCATTTTATTTAAATGAAAATATAATTAAGATTGATGATTATTTTTGTCCATTTTGTTGATGTTTTGGCCTTTTATCAAATTTGTCACAACTTTTCATGATTTTGTGTCACTTGTACTTTGATTGTCATTTGTTTGTATGAGATTTTAACTGGTTACTTGAGCTTTGATCGACACCATTGAATGAATCGCTACCGATTATGATATTTGGTAATTTTGTTGATTGATTGGTAAGGTTAATTGTTTGATCCATTGATTGAGATGTTGGTGGTGTTTCATGTTGATTTGAACCATTTGGAAGGGAGAGATTATTATTTGATGAGATAAATGATTCAATTTGTTTCTGTCTCTCGGCAAGTTGAGCTTTTAATAAGAAATTAAGTTGATTTTCTGTTGTAAGTAGTTGTTGAAACAAATCTAAATTCTCGGCTCTAACTTTTTCATATTTTCTCCTCCATTGGCAAGATTTTTCTTCATCAAAATCAGGTGAATCAGATCGATGGATTGACTGGTCATGGTGATTACGATTAATTTGATCAAAATGATGAGAGTGAGCGGCTGAAATAGCAGAGGATCGTGAAGGTAAATGAATAGCTGATTGAATTGAAGCTAATGTTGATATTGCTGAAGCGGTTGATGGATCAGCTCCAGTCAATCTATTATCGGGTGGACTTAATTCTCGACTATCTCTCCTTGAATCACCGGCTAAATTTTCACCCAATTCTGGGGAAAGGATTGTTATCGCTGCTTGAACAGCTCCTCGAACCAGCGAGTCCAAAGCAAACATCCAATGAGGTTTGATATTATGACATCTAAGGACTCGATTAACCGCATCTTGGGCTAATAAAAGTGCCAATTGAATCTGATTGATTCCATCAAATTCAAGTTCTTCTTTAACGAAAGAAATCGCTTGGGCCAGTGGAGCTTTATCTTGTTCGGGCATGAAGTCACGAATACCCGCCAGTAGTTGATGAAGATGATCGGAGGTCAATAGAAGACCTTGAATATTTTGCTGGAGTAAATGTAACCAAGTGTCACACATAAGATGAGAATCGTCATTTAAAACTTGTACTAATGTCGCTCTCCTTTCAGAGTCTTTCTTTAACAAATAAAATCCTCCAGTGTCACCGTCACGAGGGGTAGTCGAGGCACTTTCGATTGGTGGGCTCATTATACTTCCGCTATTCCGTCGGGCATAAGGTGCATCTTCAGAACTGTCGAAAAAAAAGAAAAAGGAAAAAGATTCAGAAAGTTTCGAATAACTAATTGACTATTGATAAACTTTGAACATTTCCAACTAATCAGATGAAAAGACAACGCAGAGTAAGAAAAAAAGTTCAATGGAAACGAAAAGAGAAAATTTAATCCGGTTAATTGAGAGAATTGGATTAATTGTTAATTTGATTATTTGAGTACCTTAATGAACTTTGGGAACCAGGGATTACAAGGCGATCTAATTTGGGTCTCCGATTTTCATTTTTTCCACTACAATTTGTTTCATCCTTTAGTCTGTAGTTAAAACGAGTAGATTATCAAGAAACAATTAAGACAATTAATTAAAATGATTGACATGCCAAAAAAAAGTTAATTAAAACAATGGAAGAGAGAGAGAGAAAAAAAACTATTAAAAGAAAATCCAATCAATTGTAGAAATCGTAATTGATTTTGATTTTGACGATACAAGTGGATTACAATTAAATGTTAATTGTTGTTGTTTGTTTGCCTTCAGGGCAATTTGGGTTTTACGATCTTGATTTGTCATTATTATTACTATTATGGTAAAGAAAGCAAAATGATAATTAAATTGTTAATCAAGCTTGTAAATCATCAAGTGATCAATCACCCACAAAATGGTAAACACAATTAGTTTTAATTATTTACATAAATGATAATTTACTTTATCCACTCTCACGGTTGATATTATGGTTAAAGTGATAATATTATAATACTTTACAAAAGTTATCACTATTAATAGAAATCGTAAAGAAAATAAGATAACATTTAATTTCTTAAATATTATCAATCATGATTACCAACAGTAATTATTATCAATTTGATTGTGTGCAAAGGCCTCAGTTAGAAGTTGATTTTTACTGGTTAAATTTAAGTGTATTTGAATGATATGATAATAATCCAACGACCTTCATTAAATACTAATAACGAATATTGTTAATCATGATAATTATTAATGAATCTGAAGGATAAGTTCCGTGATCTTGATTGGTGATTTTTTGTTCTCATTCAATTAATTATCATTTCTGAGATAGGGAGTGAGTGAGTGAGAGAGTTAGTTAGTAGCTATTAGATTGTGGGTCATTGTTTAGTTTATCAAGTTATTATCGATGAACAATCAAGCTAATAAATGTAATTGTTGATGGAAATGTTTTTCTAATCAATATTAACAAAATCGTAAACAAGATAATAATTGGAATTCAATTAATTGTATCTGATTGATTGAACGTTGAAAGAGCTACTCAATTAAGCTTGAAGATTAAAAGTTGAGAATTTGATCCTAATTGTTTTATGAAGAGAGAGAGAGAAAATACTTACTTGGTCGCATCATCGGCACTTGCGAATCGATTCCTTGAATCTGGACTTCGATCGTCTCGAGGTTGATGAGATTCAGCAGGAACAGAGATGCTACGATTGAAATCAAGGTGACTCTGTTTATGGGGTGTAGGAGAAGATGACATGGGTATTGTTTTCTTTTTCCGGTTTCCATGATGATTCTCAGCTAGAAAGTGATGTTCAAGTAATTCAGCGGCGGTCGCTCGAGTATCTGGATTAGGATCGAAACAGCGTAAAATAAATTCTTTAGCTCGTTCTGAAAGAGATTGTGGTATCTCTGGGTGTTCCTTGTGAAAACCAACTTTGAAAATAATCTCAGGCCCAGAAATACCATCGATAACTGGAGTACGTCCAGTGGCCATTTCAACTACTGTACAACCTAAAGACCAGATATCAGCTGGTGCCCCATAACCTCGTTGACCCTGGTCAATAACCTCCGGTGCCATGTATTGAAATGTTCCGGTAAAAGTTTCAGTAGCCGGATTGAGACCAGCTAAACGTTTGGAAGCACCAAAATCTGATATTTTAATTATACCCGAATAAGTGTTGACCAATACATTGTCTCCCTTAATATCACGATGGACAATCTTTTGATCATGAAGATATTTTAATCCCTGAAGCATTTGCTTTGTATAATAAGCCATAGTTGATTCATTTTCTTTTAATGGTCCCCATTTAGATCTCAATAGTTGAGATAAACTTCCACCGGGAACTCTTTCCATGAAAATTTTAAAAGTTCTATTCTCACAAACTGACCCTAAGTACTGGACAATGTTTCGATGTCTTAATTGCGAGTGAAGTTTGATCTCTTCATGTAAAGGTTGAACTTCCCTAAGGGTGAAACAGAAAACGTAAAGCGAAAAACACTAATTAGATATCAACATAATCGATAGCAAAATTACTAAATTGTTACCCTTCATTCTTAACGGGAATTTCTTTGATTGCAAGTTCGATTTGTGTCCTTTTATCACGAGCAGCGTAAACTTTACCATAAGTTCCAGCGCCCAAAACAATTGGTCTCCTTTGATCATCTAAATCATATTCATACTAAATTTTACGTAAATTAAAAAGATCAATTGGTTAATAATGTTTCATTTAATTGCATTAATCAATCACCTGAATCGGTTCATTGTCATGCTGAGCTCCAAGGTCAGCAATTAAACCTTGATCACCAGTCATCTCCACGATCAGCTGATGAAATCGAGCTCTCAAAGCTTCAGATGGGAAAAACATTTGAAAATCATCCGAGTTTAAATGGACATAAAGGAAAAGGCATCTCTCATCTCGCTTGTAGAGACTAAAGGATAAAAGAGATTCGAAAAGTTAATTACAATTACGATAGAAATGATTAATTGTTGAAAATTTCCAATTAGTTGTTAAATTGATTCAAACTCACGAGCTCATTAGAGATAATTAAATGATTACAATGTTGCGATTATACAATTATTAGAGAGAAAAGAAAATCTCAATTGACAATTAAATAATTGTGTTCACAATTAACTTTATGTTAAAAGAGGGACAATTGAACCTAAATTGTTAGCTCATCTGCAGAAACAGAAAACTATTTTGATTAAATAGTGTTATTCAATTGATGCATCAAACAGACTTTTAATAATAATAAAAAAACATTTTGACAACTAATGATTAGTTAACAATCAGTTTTATTATAATCAATTGCTAATTTGTTGATTGTTTAATTTGTCTATGATATTTTCTCGTCTCTTCATTAAACTTTTCAATTTAATGAGCGATTATCATCATAATAATAAATATGAATAAGATGTGGATTTTTCAGTTAAGATTACATACAAGCTACAAGGATTCTATTCGATGTCGAGATATCAAAAGATTCAGCTTAATATCCTACGAAACGTAAAATAGTCCAAACTCGATCGAAGCGGCCATTCATAAGAAATTCTGGCTCAATTTTTGTATGTACGAGTTAAGGTTTTTTTTGCGAGCTTCGAAAAGAAAGAGAGGGAGAAGAGCATGGGTCCCAAAAAAACACTATTAACAAACTTTCTTACGAAAGTATTATCAGTTTATTGGGAATGAATTTCGTCTCAATTCAAACAAAAAGGTCAACCTTTTGGGTGAATAATTTATTCTGGTCATTGGTTTTTCTTCAATGTTTAGTAGGGTTTTTTGCTTTTGCATTTTGAAGTAAAAAAACTGAAAAGTTCGAAACTTTTTTTTACTTTGGTACAACTTGGATAAGAGTTATGATTTAATAGCACTGACCCTTCCGTTTATATCAATTGATCATCAGAAAAAATCGTCAAAAAGTCAATCATGAACTTGTTGACCTTAAGGATTAAACTCGACGAAAATAAGTTGTATTTAAGAGAGAGAGAGAGAGAGAGATCCAATATTCAAGTCACATGAGTATTGGTGTGATTGATTTTGATTGGAATATTCAGAGGAATGACAATTTTAATTATTAATTAAAAGCTGCCAAGGTTAATTTACATTGATTTGTTACCAATGAGATAAACTATTAATTAAAATGTAATCTTGTTGATAAGATGATTGAATAGTTTATCAAAAACTTTGAGTTTATTAATTGTGCGATTAAATAACATTGAATTTCAATGTTAATTGACAATTAATTAACCTTAACCATTTAAGAAATGATAAATTAAATATTTAAACAATTTAAACTATAAAGTTAATTGTTCACAAAATGTTTACAATTAGTTAATTGTAAACAATAATAATAATAATAATCAGAAAAACCCAAAGATAATATTAACCTTGTGTTGGGTAAATTCAAATTAATTCAATCTAATCAAATTTAATTAAAACTGATTTAGAAATAGAAAAACAAATTGTGTAACAATTTAAGTTAATTAATAACTCACCTAACGCCTCTAATGTTTGATGCTTCAATCACCCAATTGTGGAGTCGACGACAGTCCATTTTTTTCATACAATCGAGGCAAACATTGGTTATTTGGACAGATTTCTCATCGGCATCCATATTAACTGTCGCGTAACTGGGCTGATACGTTTTGGTAGGTTCGAGGACTAGAATGGGAAACTTGATAACATCGCTAATCTCTTCATCAGTGGCATCGATAAAATATTCCATCCAAAAGTTAAATATATGCTCATCGGGTGACCTCTCAGCGTCTTCCGGTTTCTTACGGAATCGATTGATCAGTCGGATGTTACCTATGGTCGATTTTAGGTACCAATTGGGTGGCTTTAATTTAAACATACATTCGGAGGCTTGAACGGCTTTGGCATAATTTTCGGCAAGAACTGAGATCTCAAAGAAAGTGGCAACATCCCAATACTCTTGTAGAGATGTCAAACTACCCTTTCGACCGATAAGGTTGGACAGAACCATTCCGATTCGTTGTAGCTCCTCGGAGGCTGCAAAATTGGCACCATCGATAACTAATAGAGTGGCCAGATTAATACCAGCGTATTCGTTTGGTTGAACCTCGAAACCTTTACGATACCATTTGATTGCATTCTTAAGACTAACATCATCGGTATATTCCGATTCGACGAACATATCTTTATAAATTCGACCACAAAGACAAACGATATCGGGAACATGGCCTTCCGTTTGTTCTAAGGCCATGGTGATAAATTTAAGCGCTTTCTCTCTATCACCTTCCTTGTTACGACGATTAAGGGCAAATGCATAGAGATAAAGAATCGCTGAGCTAACGGTTAACTTTAGATGAGGAACTGTTTGTAAATCGGTGAATAGTTTAATCATTGCGTCGTAATCTTGAATCTCTCGAAATGACATGAACATATTGTAAACTGTCTCCATGGAAATCAGGTTAGGATCATCGAGACGTTTTCTCAGGTTATGAAGAGTTTCCCTTAATTTTTCACCAGTATTTTCATCACGAGCTTTTCTCAAATCACTGAGAAACTTTTCCTTCATATGAGCTCTTAAAAGAAAAAGAAAATCAGTAAATTAGTCTCGTTTTCATCAGCGAAAACTTTGATTAACTTACTTTGTTTGTATCTCAATCTCTTGTAAAATTTTGGTTAATTTAACATGGAGAAGGATTTTAGTTTCAGATGAGGTAATTATATCACCATTTCCAAGTCTATTGATGACATTGGGCTCCGTTACGATACATTGTTTATTTTCATTGACTCGATATGAAATTAGAGTATAATTTGAACAGGTAAGTCTTAATTGTAAAGCACTTTCAGTATTAAATTCATTAAAAAGAAGTATATTTTGTTTCATTCCGAAACTTTCACGAACACCAAGAAGATAGAGTAATGAATTCTGTTGTTCTTGAACACTAAGGTCAATTATTGCAACATCGGCTCCATGAAATTGTTCAACTGCGGACATTTCACCGAAATCCAATTTTTGGAATAAGATTAAATGTAATGAAGCGTTTGAAGCTTCACAAGCTTCTTGAAGCTCTTCATAGGCAATTTTCCGTTGAGATAATGATGATGAAGCCAAAGTCTAGAAAAGAAATGGATAATATCATTAGTAAATTACGATTAGTAATCAGGTTGTTTAGTTAATTGTTATCATTTAAAATTACCAAATCCATAACACAAACAACTTCAACTCTGGGTCTTGGTTTATGTTCATAAACATCAGTAACCATTTTATCACTTGATGATCTTTCAATAGTACCCATAGTTTGGTGTATAAAGGGGATGGGTAACTAATTAAAAGGCTTCCAATTGAACAATTTAATTTTCCAATCACTTTGTTGTCAATGAGAGAGAGAGAGAAAAAAAATATTCAAGTTACTAATAAAAGTAAATCACAAAACAAAACACAATCACATGAACACCTCGTAATTGCAGATACTTCAAATTAACCCAATAAGTGAATGGTGATAGTAAACAATTAACAATAAGGAATAAGAAAAATGAGAGATAAACAAATGTAAACAAATAAAATTAATTTTGTTAAAAGTTAATCTAATTTGGTGAAGACGAGAAAACAATTAAACTGGTAAATATGATGTTCACTTGGATAGTTAACTATATTTTGATTCTAATTTTAAACAACTCAAATTATATTCTTGATTCAGATTCTCTTGTGCTATTTAAATAAATAGCTCAAGAGTTTCAGTCATGTAACTAAATTAACAAATTTTTGCTTAACGATCATATGATTTGAGAAAGTGATTTGGTGCTGCCATCTAGAGATTACTATTGTTTCTCTGATGTTCTCACCCTCACTAGAGATATTCCGATCTCAGATTTTCAGTTGATCGATCAATTTTCGCTAATAAATCGATCAATTTCGATTTTTCTAATTCAAATTTCGTGGTCGAAAAAGGCTGAAAATTTTCTCTTTCTTTTGTATACTGTCTATTTTCATTGTCTAATTTCTTAATTAAGTAAAATTTATTAATCAGTTTTTTGAGTTTTGAATTTTTATCGAAAATCACGTGGTTTTTCAGATGATCGATTTTCTGAAAGTTGAGATCGATCAATTTTTCTTTCCTAAAGATCGATCTGATCGATCAATTTTTCAGATCGGAACAACTCTAACCTTCACTTTTATTGGTAAGTCAATATTTTCATTTGATTTTGTGATTAATTGTTTGATTTTCTGTTGGGTGAATTAATTTGTTAATTAAAATGTCTTATTGGCGAGAAGTTGGATTGACCTATTTAAGATTCAGTAACATTGCTGCTGCTACTGTTCGTCGATCCATTAAAGCAGATAGAAGAGGCGATTTCACCTCTCGAGCTCAAAGCTTCATTAAAAATATTTACAAAAAATCATCTTAAATTAATTATCAATAATGTGATTATTAGAATGTAATATCAATTTAATCATTTACTAATTTTCTCTTCTCCCTTTAATATATTTTCTAGTGTTTCCATTTAGTTTGCTTGCTTTCAATTTTGTAGAATTAACAACCTAAATCCAAATCTTCATATTCTCTTAAAAAATGAGTGTTAAGGTGAACAATCTGCTTTTCCGGTTAATCACTGGTACCGAAGGAAATCGCTCATTAATCTGTATTACTGATGGAACAAAGAAACGAATTGGATCCCAATTGTTGAAGAATTTCATTAATAATACACCAGATCAAGGAGGACATTTTCTTCTGTTAGATAATCCGATAGAAAACTTTAAATTGGATCCATCAGCTAAAATAAAAATTCATCAGTGTCTTGGTTCATCCATCGACTGTTTTGATGATCTTCAGATGATAAAATCGATCCCTTCTGGTCGTGAACTATTTATAGATTCATTGTTACCATTATTTAATCTTTATCCCGAAGAATCTGCTCAGATCTTAAGTGATTTGAAAAAGAAATTTACTCGTATCGTTGCATTAGTTTCCCTGGAAGCCTTAAACCCTTTTGAATTGTCCATCATCAAAGATCTTGCTGGTTCGATCATCGATGTCACATCTAATGGTCCAAATTACGAAGCATTAATCATCCATCGAAAGTCTAGTGGTCGAATTGGAAGTAATTTGTTCAAAGTCAAAGAATTTTTCACCATAACCGACAATAAATTCAGTTATGTCAAAGATTCATCGACGGACAAACTTACTACTGGTGAACAAACAATCGAAGATCTTCCCTTTAATTTACGACCAGAGGACGACGATAATTTAGTGAAAAAGACAAAAACCGCTCTCACCATGTAAGTAAATCAAAATTCGAACCCTTTATAATTAAATCACTAATTGCTCTTTCCAAACAATCATTTCTCTTCTCATTCACAGAAAACCTAACGAAGGTGGTAAAGTTTATTACGAACCTGGTAAAGAAGATGATGTCGACGAGGAAGACCCAGATGAAGATCTATTAATTTAAATTGTCTTAATTACTTTCTACTAACTTTTAGTTATCATTGTTAGTTACCCATTTAGACACTTGGCCCAAATCCCTTTCCGCTCATATTATTTTGGGAGCTGAGAAAACAATAAAAGATACAAAGAGAAGCAAAGAAATTCAATCTTTTGTTCATCGATTAATCATTAATCAAGCAAATGATCAATGAATCCAAAAAAAAAACGAAAAGCTAACAATCAATTTGAATCCATCGGAATAAGAAGAAGCTGAATGTTATTTCCAATTTGATCAATAATTTAAAAGCAAGAGTTAAGTAAACATGGATTATGATTGACTATCAATGGAATGAGAATTTGTATCGATAATTCAAATCGCAACAAAATATGAACAATTTAACTCCAGAATTTACTAAGACCCTCTGTTGGTGATTTACTGTACAAGAATATTGAACAACTGAAACAATTGAAATCCCATGGAAGGTGAATAGACCCAACCTACAGTAAATGCTTCGCAAGGTCTTATCACCATGAAAATGCTGAATTAGAATGAGAAAAGTATGAGATGAACAGAATTGAGATTATCATCGCCATCAATTGATTTCTTTCACCTTAAATTGTTTCTTTCCATGTATTTATCAATCATCGTAAAATTGGTGACCATCAGTTTGTCCTTTTCTTTTCTCACCTGAGCTTTAAATAGAAACAATTTATCCTACTGATTGTCATCAGTTCTTAATGGTTGTGGTTTAATCTTCTTCTTATCTTCCCTGTTAATCATTTCCAATTCATCTAATCATTTGTTTACATTTCTCTTTCCATTGACCGTCCACCAGGGAGAGAAAAGGCAATTACCTTTTTGTTTCGAGAAAATCAAATTATCTTCGACTAATTTTGATCTCATTCTAATCAGTGTTTTAATTTGATAGAATTGACTGTTAATTGGTTACACTTAATGAGTTGATTCTTTCCGATTCTCACTATCGTTCGTTTCTAATAGAAAAGGAAAATTAATTTAACCTTTCAATTTGTGGATTCGAAACAAATAAAAGCTTTTTGTCCATTTACTTGTGATTTATTGTTCCAAGGTGAGAATCTTAATGGTTACTATTCAATCAATTTGATTGTTCTATTGGTTTAAAAGCAATTTGATTGTTTCTGTGTTCGGCCGTGAATCTATTTGTCTATTGATTCTTTCTCTCGGTGAATTTGTGTGTTCGGTCTGCGACCGTTAAAATCAGTCAAAATTTCGGATCCACGAGATTTTTCCAAGATAACCTTTTCCTCGTTTCGTCAGAGTTTCTCCTCGACAACCAATTTTCTCAAGAGGAGATTTTCATCTGGTGATCTTCAGGGCGAAGGTGATGAACTGGAAGATACAACGACCGGAGGAATAAGATCAACCGTTATTCCATCAACGACAAGTCAACAATCACTACAATCTCAGCAATATTCACAACAATCATCACCATCGTCATCACAACAACAACAACAACAACAACAACAACCGATACAATCAGGAACTGTTAACAATAATAGTGGACGGTCAGTTGGTCCTCGATCAGGAGTTATCCCAGCTAATCAACCATCACCATCTCAACAGCAGCAACAATCAAGTGATTCATCAATTAATATCGGAATGAAAAGCTCTACTACCTCAGCTCCAACTTCACCCGCTAAAAATGTTTCCTCATTCTTGTCAAGAGCGACTTCCTTGACCAGCTCAGTTACCTCCAATGTCGCTGGTGTTGCAGGTCAGATAAGTTCACGAATAAAGGATCCAAGTAAACAGAAGATCCTTTTAGTGATTGATGACCATCAAACTGATTGGTAAGTTGTAACAATTAACAATCAAATAGTACTAATAACACATAAGAAGATTTGATTGAGTAAAACTGAGAAAACGGTTGAAAATATTAGAAAAAAATCAACCCAACCAGGAAGAAAGAAATGAAAAGAATCAATATTAATAACATCAGTTTAAAAATAAAACAGGAACTAATTTAGTGATTAATTAAGAACATGATAGATCAATTCTTTACTTAATCACAATTCTAATTCATCCCATGTATTTCAATTCTCATAAAAGGTCAAAATATTTTCGAGGTAAACGCTTATCTGGTGAATTTGATATTCGAGTTGAACAGGTAATTAGTGCCGATTGTTTGTTTTTCTAATATTTTACTTGAAGCAATTAACTAATTGTATTTATATTTCCCTAAGGCTGATTTTCGTGAGCTCAGTGTTACTACCAATTCTGAACAAGGAGCATTGTGTAGTATAATAACTCCTGAGAAAGGTGGAAATCGTTCAACCAGGTAAGAGATGAACAATAATATCTAACGATTAAGATGATTAACATTTCGTTGTTTACGATTTTCCGTTTCCCTATCAAAATTTCAGAACCTTTCGTCCTGATTTTCTATTAGTTCGTCAGCACATAAAGGATGTTTCATCGGATTTCAATGAAACACTTCTCGGTCTTAAATATGGCGGAGTTCCAAGTGTCAATTCACTTCACAGTATTTACAATTTCGTTGATAGACCTTGGGTGGTAAGTGTATCATGATAATAACTCCATTATCATGGTAATTCTGATGATTATGAACATGATGATAATATCAAGAAGATGAAAAGGTGACTCGAGAGCGAATGTTAAATGCAGAATTAGATTGTGTCCTGAATATTTGCATTAAGTAAACAGTTATTATCATTATCATGAGGGTATTATTGTTATTAAACCAAATACAATGTCAAATAAATGAATACAACACCTCTGGTGAATTGAGAATAAGATTAAGGTTAACATCTAATACACTCACTTGAAGCTTGAACATGATCATTGGATGAAAAGCTTGGAATATGAATAATAATATGAAAGTTATTAATGTAATAATTGTCTAATTGTGATTGATTATTTTAATTCTAAACTTTAAACTAACCAATATTCGAGGAAACAGTTGAAAGGTTTCAATGTAATTCATTATATTGGAGATAAAAGATCAACAACAATGAGAAAAGAATCAAAGAAAAAACCTTTTTTTCGTGTTTTCTTTTTATTTTTTTGTTCTCTTATTGATCGATTCTCATTGAGAATTGAATGGAAAGAGTAAGTAGTAACTACTATTATCAGATATTCACTCCCACTTAAACTCCCAGAAGTAGTTGGAATAATAATAGTGATTCGCACCCAGAATCAGGTTGAATATTCGCTTAACTTGACAATTTACTTTTGTCGTATCGACGACAATTCAACCAAATGGACTTTGAATAAGCATCTTTTCTGATTTTCTTTTACATTTCGATTCTCAGGTCACATTTAAATCTATCAACTTATTTTTTTAGAATTTTTCTCTCCTGTCGAATTGATTTACTAATTACTTTTTATTTTTCTTTAATTTTTACATGTATTACTCTTTATTAACATGGACATAATTATCTTCAATTAATTCCAACAATCTGATGACAATTAACAAACTGTAGTTTTCACAATTGATTGGCATCCAAAGGAGATTGGGTCGAGAAAATTTTCCTCTAATTGAGCAAACTTATTATCCAAGTCATCGGGAATTGGTAAGTTAATTGTTAACCATTTTTTAATGTCATTACCAATAATAGTAATCTGGTTCGTGATTGGCAAATTAACTTCTCTAATTACATTTTTAATCAAACAACTGGGGAAGAAAACATCAATGTCATTTTTTACCAATTCTCATAATTATCTGAGCACCTAACAATTGATACAAATATAATAGAATCTATTACATTGGTGATTAAATTTAAAAATTTTTGCGTTTTAGGCAATTAAGGTAATCAGGATTTGGATCCCATTGACATTTTTGACCCAATTTTGAACAATTTCGTTGACGGTTTTCGTTGAAAGAGTCGATTACATCATTGATTCCTAGTGATTTATCGATTCGGGTTGAATCAGAAACTGAATTTCTATCTGGTATTCTCGATACCGGTCTGCATATTGAGTAACTACCTTGACAATCAAATTCGAGTTGCCATTTGGTTTGCCAATGACAGTTACCAGATCGACGATGATTCTGTCCAGAATTATCAGAATATCTTTCATTATAATGACCATAAAGCGGGTACAATTCAGAATCGACCACCTTACAACCACAAGCTCGTGCATAGTTACGACGAAATCCCTTCTGTTGTCGAATCGTTAGATTGGCCCATTCAGAGATAAAATTACAGAGAGAAATTAAAGGTTTTCCATTTACTATGCGACCTGTAGATTGATAAAACAAAAAGAAAACTTAATTACAGTAATTAATCAATGATTTTGTATATTCTCAAATGACAATACTGTTGAAATTATTTTACAACTAAGACCAAGAGTTGTTAGTTTAGGTGATCAGGGCTGATCAGAAAAGCAGTTTAGTAAATTAAATTGAATGAACCAATTGGTTCTTATGGCTAAGTAAACAATCAACTCGATTATCAAATTATTATTGCTTACACATATTCAACATACTAAAGGGCTTTTCCATTAACTGAAAACCCGAATTAAACTCGGTGAATGTTAGTTAAAATATCAGCTGGTTGGTTAATTGTCAGCTGATTGCGAAAAATAATCGAGCTTTACCTTTTCATTAACTTTTTGCCGTAGTTTCCACTGTGCTTTTCAAATAACCAACAAGTAATTTAATCGTAGTGATGATTAGATAATTGATTAGAAAAGCCCTTAAATTAATAATTAAGGAAACAATTTAAAGAGCTGTTGATTTGTCAGAATGATAGTAGTAAGATGTGTCTAAACGTTAAAAAGGGAGGAGCTTAATGTTGTTAGGGGGTAGGGGTCAGAAGCAACTTTGCAAGCCAAATCACACATGCGCAATGAAAATACAATTGATAGTGCGCACATCTAGAGAGTGAGATAGGAGACCGAACTCGAATAAAAAGCAAATGTTTGTATTGACAGTATTCACTTTCATTTCAAAATTCTTAAGAGTCACATCTGAAGTTTCTTTCTTTTCTACTAAAATGAATATAACAGACTCAAGCAACAATGCAAGTACTTATGCTTCCGAGCAAGCTCGATATGAAAGCTTTTCCAATCAGCGTGGGGCACGGAGATTTCATACCGAACGGAGCTAGCGCGCGATGGTTTTTACTTTACAGGAATATCGCGACAGGTTAAATGTTTTTTCTGTGGATACCTCTACCACGCCTCAATCTGGCAAGATTTACACTGGATTGAACATCGTCTTCATTCATCAGATTGTCCTTTCATCCAAGGTCTTCCTTGTGGTAATATACCAAGATCTATATCAACTGTTGTTCTACAGGAAAACACGCCTCTAAGAGTCATGGTTAATTATGAAATGAAGAATCAAGGATAGTACAGAATAATAATCCTTCACATTCTAATAACACTGCAGAGGATCGAGTGATTATATTTAACCAAATTGAGGAGAAGATGTAGTTGATGACTACCCAAGACCACAAAACAATGATAATGTCACTGGTATCTCTAACATCCTAACAGAAAATGAAAATTCTAACAATCTTCCAGCAATCGAAAGAACGAACCGACGTTTTCCTAGAGTATCTAGGCGTATAACAAGAAATAGGCTGGTATCATTTTCAGAATCATCCAATCGACGACGATACTTTAAGCCGCTGAACCTTCAGTTTAGAACACTACAAAGTCGGACTGAAACTTTCTCAAATTGGCCGATCAATGAGATAATAACACCCAAAGAACTTGCAGAGGCCGGATTCTTTTACACTAGAGTATACGATCACACCAGATGTTTCAACTGCAATGGAACAATCTCAAATTGGGAGAGAGGAGATAATGCATGGGCTGTCCATGCATATTACTTCTAAATGTAGTTATCTATATTTGAAGCGAGGACAGATGTTCGTAGATGATATCAACTCCCCAACAGATACAGTTACTCCCCTTACAGAGCTACCACAACCCACTGATGATAAGGACAGATACACTTGCAAGATATGTCTCGACAAAGAAATCGGTACAGTATTCGCACCATGTGATCACGCTATCTCTTGCATCGATTGTGCGACACAGCTTGACGATTGTCCAATTTGTAAATCAAGTATCTCTCATATATGTAGAATGAAATTGATTAATTAAATAAACTGTTTTCTTATAAAATATCAAATCATTTTATTAGCAAATGAACTTCATCAAAAGAATTCACAATATCTGTAAAATCTGAAAAGCCAGTGAAAATTATTTTTCCTGTATGAAAAACCGATATTTTAGCTTTACCGATATTATAGTAAGCAGCTGGGTATATTTCAGGGTTATATTCAAAGTCTCCATTGTTTGCTAGATCATTCAACACAATTGGATGACCTAATGCACAAGTAGCAACGATATTAACTATTCTTCTTGTATATTCTTTTTTCTTATGCAATTTTAAACACAATTCATCAACAGCATCTTCAGCATCCTCAATTCTCTTATTTCCGACGACATTAATCTTTCCATTTCGGAATACTAGTAAACAATTTATTTTCGTCTTAATGATAGCACCATTGAATCGTTTAGGTCGGTAATCAGTTTGAGGATAAATATTTATCAGCTGTTTTAGATCTATCTCAAAAGGTAGAGAGGCGACCACCATGTTTGTAACCCGTGGGCAAGTGTACTCATCCATTTTGTTATGCAACTGAAAACTTGTATTCCAATCATCCGAACTTATACTTTTACTGTTTTATCATTAGATTTTGTATCAGCAGAAAATACTTGATAAATTTTATGAATGAAAATTTCAGAGAGCGAAACTTTACAAATGCTATACAAAACTCTCCACATGTTCGTGAAGAAGGGTGTTGTAAACAACGGCCATTCCACAACATTTTACGCGACCCGATAGCATTTATCATTTCCTGATGCAATGGAGGTAAACCAAATGAATCAAAATATTCACATTCATTCGATGTAAATCTCATAGCAACCCAATGCGTTCCAGGAGCAGATGACTTGTCAGTATTGACGATAATAAATGATGGATACTCAACTATTGAAGGTATTTTATCTCGCGCAAAACATCCTATGAATTTATCGTAAGAACAAAGAGCTTTCTTTATTTCATAATCAAACATTACTTTTATTTGAAATCAGTTACAGCATTACGTTCTAAATCTATTTCAATAATATTGTCAAACTCGCAATAAAGAAGTACAGTTATTGTTTCTCTTAATGGTTCAGAAAATCTCAATTGAACTCTCAACGAGCCTCTTTTAATAGGGTTAATATGTCCAGTCATACCAGGTCCATGTGACAGGTCTGGTGCAAAGTTAAAGGCGAAAATTGTTTTTCCTCCCATGAAATCTTCCTAGTAATATTTACTGTTGTATCAGTTGAGTTCATATTCATTGCTTGAAATAGGCCAGAGTACTCTCGTACATAATTGATTTTTGAAGTCGGGTTGATACGCATTTGTCGGGAATTGAACACCATCAACGTAACAAGCTGCATGTGAAACATTAAAATGGTCAAAGTGGAATGGATCTTGAGACTTAGAACCATTAAATGCTGTATTTTTAACCATTAATAAGAATAATCTTCGAGGGAGTTGTCCAGTTATAATATTATCTAGAACCGCATCAAGAGAGTTTGCATGGATAGAGGCTTGTCGTAAATCAACCCTTGAAATAGGGTAACATGCAGGCGCAATAGCCAGAGCTTTTGAGTGTGCGTTTGTTAATTGAGGTGTAGCCTTCATTTTATGCACGTATAGACATGCATCTTTAATCACCATTGCAACATCGCTTACTCTATCCTCACATTGCATGAAGAATGAAGGATCGTGTGTAAGGATTCTTACTTTAATATCTTTACCTCCAAGTATAGCCTTGCCTTGAAATGTCATATCAAAATGTAGCCGTCCATAAAGATCAACTTCTTTACTGCTACCATCTGCAAAACTTCTCGGAGTGAAAAATGATCGTCTCCTTATTGCATTCTCCATCCACAAACAACTCGACAAGTGCGAGTTTTTAGCATCAGCGGAGAAGCCTAGCATGTTTTCAATATAGGCTCGGTAAGCGTATGTTGAATTAGACATGGTAACCTCTTTCCCTCCAATTTCAAGCTCAACTTGTTTTATCATAGAATGAAGTAAATTATTTACTGGTGTTACAGTTTCCCAGTCTTGAATAGTTAACGCAGAATCGTCTGCTTTTCGGATTTTAAGTTGAATTTTCACATAAAAATATGTTTCATGAAGAAGAATATACTCATCCTTAGATGTAGGAATTGAAAACTCTATTATTTTTGTAGAGTCGAGAGATGATATTGGTCTGTATTGTACTTCATAGCTTCTCTCAATAGATTTCTGAACAGGTGGTATCGTAAAAAGATCCAATTCAGAAAGGACAGCTTCTTTCGAATATTTGCTTTGAGTGGTCATTTTAAAAAATTATAATCAGCTATGTAAGATCTTTTTGTCAACTTTCTCCTTTTTATACCTGAGCCGGACTGACCATCTTCATTTCCCTTTTCTTTTATAGCCTCTTGAGCTACTTCTTGAACAGTATCGATGATTCTATTGGTCATGAAGTTTTGACATCATTCAAAA